ATAATACAATAGTAATAATTATTTCAAATTATATTACAAAAATTATGTTAAATATTATTTAAATATTTTTTTAATATTAGATAAAAAATTGTTAATAAAATCGAGACAAGACAATACAAAACGAGATTTTTGCTATTAATATTCACTCAAGATCAAGACAAGATTTAAATTTTTCAAAATTTTCAATACCAATACAATATTTTTACGAATATTGTCTTGTCTTGGGTCTTGTGCAACCCGAATCGGAAATATTTTATACATGTCGAAAATTGATAACTTTTAATTGGAGCGATTCGAGAAATAATCTTTTCTGAGGAGAGACCGATAATGTAATCGTTTCTCATATTTGGTGCTTTTCCTCGGCTTAAGAATTGTCGGAATTTTTCCTCTCCTCATCCAATAAATTCACTTTCTCCGTTTTAAACCCTATCCGTCCTCCTCGTATCCGTGTGTGTAGTAAATTTACTTTTAATAGCTCGGCTATTTTTAGCGCGAGAAGGGGAGAGGGATGCTTCACGAGGTGTCTTCGTCTCTCGGTTAAGGATTGGAGTTGGACGCTTTCTCGAGAAGAAAAGAAAATCAGACGCAATCCACGTGAAATTACGTGACGCTTGATGTGTCGAGAGAAGACCCTGTGACACCTTCAATTCGACGCGAGGTAGGGGTCGCAGAGAAGGGTGGAAACTGTTCTTTTCCTCGGGGTATCTCGCCTCGGGCCTGGTCGACGCGTCCCGCGATAGAAACGGTGGAAAAGCCGGTTACAAGTAAATCGATACGAAACCACCACCACGCAGCATCCAAGGCTCTGACGACCTTTCGCCTCGTGTCTCCCTTCTTTCCCCTTTCTCTCTTGCTCGTCCATTTTTTCCCTTTCCCTTGAATATCTTGGTCGCGCGACAACGTGATTGCATAAAAGAATAAAAGAAATTGGAATCGTTCAATTATTCGAATATTTGTATATTTTTCTTTCTTTTTACTTGGGTTACAAAATGCATTGTGTAGTTAAGAGAGGATAGGGAATAGGGTTGCACAAGACTCAAGACAAGACAATATTCGTAAAAGTATTGTATTGGTATTGAAAATTTTCAAAAATTTAAATCAAAATAATCGAAAATTTAAATTAAAAGTGCATTGTGTACTTAAGAGAGAGTAGGGAATAGGGTTGCACAAGACCCAAGACAAGACAATATTCATAAAAATATTGTATTGGTATTGAAAATTTTGAAAAATTTAAATCTCGTGTTGAGTGAATATTGGTACCAAAAATCTCGTCTTGTATCGTCTTGTCTCGATTTTATTAACAATTTTTTATCTAATATTAAAAAATTATTTAAATAATATTTAACATAATTTTTGTAATATAATTTGAAATAATTATTACTATTGTATTATATTTTAATCATAATTATTATTATGTAATCGATATAAATGCCGTCTATTTATATAAAAAACATTTACTGTTTCATAGAAAACAGAAATTAATAACTATTTACAGAGTCCAAGGGAATGTGCAGATAAATATTTTGGAGTGGTAAAAAATCAGGTTCATATTTATCCCACATTGTCAAAAATGGCTCGAGATTTTAAGTTCAACAGCCTCGTCCGTGCCAGTAGAAAGACTTTTCTCAATAGGAACTCTGACTATGTCAAAAAAAATAGAACCAGATTACAAAATAAATTTTTAAAAGCACTAATATGCATCAGTTTCTGGGTGAAATGCTCTTTAATGTCTAAAATTTGCGAATTTGATTTCTAATTTATAAAAATGTTATATTGTATTAATATTAAATTTTTTTTAATTTATTAATATAAAATGTTTTTATTGAATAACATTTTTTTAAATTCGTATATAGTTTTTTTTTTCATTTACAAATATAAATATTTTAGTTTTTTTGAGAACCAATAATCTTGACAAGACCAATAATTTTGACAGTCTTAGTCTTGGTATTGTTTTAATAACTAATTAAAAATCTTGTCTTGATCTTGTTTTGAAATTCAAAACAAGATAAGACAATATCATGACTAATCTTAGTATCTCGTGCAACCCTAGTAGGGAAAAATATTTATTAAGTGGGTCCCTAGATCCCTTAACTCGGTTTACACTTGACGAGCTTTTTTCTAAATTTCTCAGCCCAAGGCTAAGGCTTCGCGACAGATGGACGATTTATTTACCCTCGAATAAATTGTAGGTCATCCTAAACAAGCTTCACCTGCAGGATGCGGAGTCAGTCTGAGGATTGGCGCCTGAGCGAGAAATATTTTACTCGTCCTCGGCTGATATGCGTCGCGTGTCGACAACACATTCCGTCCGGAATATATTCCGTCCACCAGGCGTCATGCCGCATAGTGCGAATATGATGCCCATCATTCAGCGCGAACGCATCGTTGCTGGTGTATACAGAGTGTTTCTTATTAAGTGCGACAAATTTCAGGAGATGATTCTTTGTCGAAAATTAAGGGGGGTTTCTCATGTAAACGTATACTTCTACATCCCTCCCTGTCGAGTTACAGTCCTCAAAAAATGGGGATAAAAATTAGGTTTTTATTTTTTAGATTTTTATTATAATTTTGTTTTTCTTCAAATTTTCCCAACATTTATTGTAATTTAATTTTTATTTCAAAATTTAACTTCTCGTAATTCGAAACCTATGATAATGTATTTTATTTTTTTTTCTTGGAAACTACTGCATTTATGAAAAAAATAAAATTATAATTTTATTATAATTTTGTTTTTCTTCCAATTTTCCCAACATTTATTCTAATTTAATTTTTATTTTAAAATTTATTTCTCGTAATTCGAAACCTATGATAACGTATTTTATTTTTTTTCTTAAAAACTACTGCATTTATATAAAAAATAAAAGAAATAAAAAAGTGCATATTGCTTTTTAGTGCATATTTTTAGGTGATCATATTCTGGCCCATTAAAAAATTCTAATAAAAAATTGAATAGGGATTGCTAGTTTCAGTCCCTTCTAACAATACGGGAGGCCGAAAAAAATATTAATTAACCTTTTTACTAGAAAATCTCCACCTAATTTCATTTCTTTAACTTATTCCAAATTTGAAAAAAAAATAAAAACCTAATTTTCATCCAGATTTTTAGAAAAATATAACTCCATAAGAAGGGATATAGGAGTATTTGTTTATATGAAAAACTCCCCTTAATTTTCGACAAAGAATCAACTGCTAAAATTTGTCGCACTTATTAAGAAACACCCCTGTGCATCTTTAGCATCTCGAGCAAAAAAGATCTATAAAATGAACGGTTCACGACAGAATTTCCCTTTAGACTTCATGTGACGTATATAAATATTTATATATAATTTTTAATACAAAATTTCATCAAAATTTATTAAAATTTATTATAATTTAAAATTCCATTATAATTTATGTAAAATTTGCTCCATCGATATCCGGGAACGCGCGCTTTTTTTTTAGATTATATTGGAATTGATGTTCTTTGCGGCTCTTTCTGGCGCGTTTTCACCGCGCGACTCTCGTCAAAAAAAATAAAAAAAAAAGCGCAACCCCGTGTCGGAGATCATTTGTCGCGATGTCCGAAGAGAGCTTTCGGTCGATCGAGCTTGAAAGGCAGCCCTCGGTGCATCAGTTGGATGCGGTTGCATTTATCACACGGTTCACCGAAAGTCAGTTTCCGCACAATTCTATCTAGTCCAGCGTGTTTTGTGGCATCTCGTGTGCGACAAAAGGACGTGGCGTTTTGCAAAGTTCGCGAACTTCCGCCGAACGAGGGTGGAAGGTCGCATTCCGCCTTGAATTTCAAGACAAGATAAAGACAAGATTTTTAATTACTTATCAAGACAATACCAAGACAAAGACTGTCAAAATTATTGGTCTTGTCAAGATTATTGGTTCTCAAAAAAACTAAAATATTTATATTTGTAAATGAAAAAAATATCACTATATATGAATTTAAAACAATTTTATTCAATAATAACATTTATATTAATAAATTTAAAAACATTTAATATTAATACAATATAACATTTTTATAAATTAGAAATCAAACTCGCACATTTTAGACATTAAAGAGCATTTCATCCAGGAATTGATGCACATTAGTGCTTTTAAAATTTACTTTGTAATCTGGTTCTATTTTTTGACATAGTCAGAGTTCCTATTGAGAAAAGTCTTTCTACTGGCATGGACGAGGCAGTTGAACTTAAAATGTCTCGAGCCATTTTTGACAATGTGGGATAAATGTAAACCTAATTTTTTTACCACTTCAAAATATTTATATCTGCACATTCCCTTGGAGCCTGTAAATAGTTATTAATTTCTGTTTTCCATGAAACAGTAAATGTTTTTTTATGTAAATAAACGGCATTTATATCGATTACACAATAATAATTATAATTAAAATATAATACAGTAGTAATAATTATTTCAAATTATATTACAAAAATTATGTTAAATATTATTTAAATAATTTTTTAATATTAGATAAAAAATTGTTAATAAAATTGAGACAAGACAATACAAGACGAGATTTAAATTTTTCAAAATTTTCAGTACCAATACAATATTTTTACGAATATTGTCTTGTCTTGGGTCTTGCAACCTTATGCAACCTTAAATCGAGAGCGTATTATTGACGTGGACGACGAACACAACATCCTAGTATCGTTACGTAATACATATCCGTAATACATATAACTGATGATTAGCGGATGGATGGAGTTACGTAACGAGAGACGAGTAATCGAGATCTTGCTCGAAGAGGGTGGAAAGTATTAATTAATTACCTTTGCCTAAGCCCGAATTTGAATTTTTATTGAAGGATAAACTCGTTAAACGTGTCACTCTCGAGGGAAATCGAGAGGTGGACGTCTTGGAACGTGTAAACTGGAAATGTGTATCGCCACAGCTGATGGCACAGTTCGAGGGTGGTTTCCGCCGTTTATCGCCGGGAACTAGGTTCGAGTATATTTATTTGACATTCCGCCGTCTTAAAGGAATCTCTTTATGGGTTACAGGGTGACAGTGCTGGGAGTTCTACTGGGGATCCTCGAATGGGATCGTAGCGTCCCCTGCATTCTTCTCCTATGGGAGTACATGATCGGGTACGAGGGCCTCTTCGTGGCCTGCATAGCTGTGGAATTTTCCATCTGCTTCCTGGCGACGAGGGGCAGCATCCTGGACACTGCGGCAAGAGCGCCCATCCAGTACATCCTCTACATCCGGTTGTGTGAGTACATTTATTTTTGCGACAATGCAAAAGTCAGAAACCGTCGTCAACGATGCATTTACCTCAGAATATGTTCTACTCTTCATGGTCTTTGAAAATTTAGTGTTCTTCCATTTTAAAAGAATTTATTTCGATTTATATAAATTAATTATTTTTTATATAATTAATTTTTTATTTATCATTAATTTAAATAATTTTTATTAAATTAATTATTTTTTATTAATTATTTTATTCATAAATTCATTTGTTTATATCAAATTATTTTATATTAAATTATTTTTTATTAAACTTATTTAATAAATTATTATTAATAGTTAATAATTAAATAATTATTGATTATTATTATTGTGTAAACTTATATATCATTTTTAAAATTATTTTTAATATTATCTTTTAAAATTATTAATTAAAAACGTTTTAAAATTATTAATTTAAAATTATTAATCTTAATTATTTTTAAAATTATTAATTTAAAATTATTAATCTTAATTATTTTTAAAATTATTTTTCGAAATGTGGGAAAAAGTTGCGTACAGTTTTAATTTTCTCACCTTTCTTTTATCATTGAGAAAAAAGATATGACTTGTTCCGGAATTGAAAAAAAAAACATTGAAATTCCGTAGAAACATTTTGTCACATTTTCGCGCGATACGGATCTTTTTTAATCCGCGCGATCCATTCTTCCAATATGTCGATAAAGCTGTCGACGATATTGTTAAACTTCTATAGACTAATATTGAGAGAGCCATTCCATATGAACCGTTATTGATGAAACGGTTTGATGACAATCATAATATTTGTCGGGTTGTTACACGAGCGCGCTCTTTTATGTACCGTGTGTAATTTTTTTTTTTTAGTATCTTTTTTTAGTATCTTTTTTTAGTATCTTTTTACTTTCGATATTTTTTAATTTTTCAGTACACTTTGGTTTTCTTTTCCGACTTTAACGTGAGCCTCTTTATTTTCGTGCTTTATTTTTTTGCCTCTCTCTTCTCCGCGAAACCTGCACGTTTCTCGAGATGAGATTTATTTTTCATTTTAAGGTTTATTAAAATATGCAACGCCGCGATTTCCAACAGGCATTCAAACGCTCTTTTGCGATTTCGCGAAACATTTTTCATCCGATCGTTAAATAAGCAAAATTCGCGCGAAATGAACTCGCGATTCAATTACCGTTTAACGTCAGCCGAATGTAAATAAAGTGACGCGATGTATTAAACTTCCGGGAATTGCAATTTATCGGTTAATTATTTTTCCGACTCTTTCGCTAATTGTTTGTATAAATTTTTCGCGATACTTTGCAAAATATGTGAGATAACTCAGTTAAAGAGAAATATCATCGTTCACTTTCGATGATAAAGTTAAGCGAATATAGACTTTTAATAAGAGTGAAAGAAGAAATAAGAGTTTGAAAGATATCTTAATTACACAGATGATTTTAATATCGAGGATTATCAAAACTATTTTTACGTGTTCATTCAAGAAGTGTAATTAAATAATGGCACACAATAATAATAGTAATTCCAACAATTTTGTGATTGATAAGATTGCTTTTGCATCTCATCCTATCCAAATAAATCTATATTTTATTAACGAAAAAATAAAAAATAATTATAATAAATAAAAAATAATTTAAAAAATAAATAAAGAGTAATGATAATTAAAAATGAAATATAAATAATTTTATATATATATATATATATATATATATATATATATTTTATATTTTTTACATTTTTGTTCTATTTTTATAATTATCTATTTTTTTATATATTATATTTATTTTTATTTCTCATTTTTATTTTATTATTTATTTTATTTTATGTTACTTCTTATTTTTATTTTATTTTATTTCTTATTTTTATTTCATTTTTATATTTCTTATTATTTATATCTTTCTTAGATGTATTTTTTTATTTATCTTGTATATTTATCTAATTATTTATATAATTTATAAAATTAATATATAATATAATTTTATAATGTATAATAATTAATTTAATAAATTAATTTAATATTTAATATTTTATATAATTAATTTAATAAATTAATTTAATAAATTAAATTTCATCTCGATTAGAATTTCTGTCTCTCGTGGACAATCTTCACTAAAACAAATCTTAATTATCAAAAATCAACTGGCAATGAGCACTGAAAATTCAAGCAGTGGATGTAACTCGATTCGAATCTATTTGTTAATCCTTCTTAGTGATTCTGGAAATGTCTCGGGCCGAGATAGTCGCGGTTATTGTCTGGCAACTGGGTCAATCTAGGTGTTGGGTGAATTGGCGCCTCCTCGCTTATTATTTGTGCGTAAAGAAGCTTGCATAAGCTCGACGAGCATAACGCGAGGTACAAAGGAGAGATTTTAAATTCCTCGAGAGAGAGAGATGGCTTTTTTTCGCGCATAATCTCTCGTTTAACTTTTTTTTATCGGCTCTCGAAGAGCTGCGCCCTGCTTAACGATTAATTAAAAATGTTATTTCGCTTGGGAAGTTGAAGAGAAATACGATTATGACTCGGAATTATTTACCTGGGGATTTGTTTCCAGTCTTGGTGCTCGTGGAGACCGGATGGCTGTGCGCAGGTGTTACTTGGTTAGCGCGTTATTATCAAACCTGTCGAGTGGACCAAGCGAAAGACGTTATGTTGGGTGAGTTTTGAATTCCAGAGACACAAGTTCAAAATTTAGAAATTTGTTTAACTGTGTCTGTCAGGTAGAAAATAGTATTATTGTAAAATCAAGTGAGATATATCCATATCACATGTATATAAATAAAATTAAATCTAGGTAAATTAATTAAATAGATAATAATTAATTAAATAAATTTGTAAGATGTACAGGACATGTTATAAGTCATGCCCCATTTTTGGAGGACAAAATAAATCGAAAATAAAAAATGAAATTATGTTTGAGTCTTCTTTCAATAGTTACAATCGAATAATCAGAAAATTTATTTGGGTTATTATTTTTGTTTGAATTAAAAGTTGTAATTATTTTAATAATAATAATAAATAATTACTTTAATAATAATAATTATTTTAATAATAATAATAATAATAAATTATTTTAATAATAATAATAATAATAAATTGATTAAAAATAAGAATAATAATATTGATTAAGTAACAAATAGATTGTTAAATTAGAATCACAAAAGATGTATAAGTCATCAATTTTTTTAAGACAACTATTTAAGAGGACTCAAACTGAATTCCTTATTTTCGATTTACTCAATTAATTTTCCAGAGATGACTTATGATACAGCCTGTATATGTAATTCTTATGTATCAGACTTTTGCTCGTGGAAATAAACTTTGGAATCATATCACAATAGAAATGGTAGGGATATAAACATGAAAAATGCCAATTAATTTGAAAATGAAATTATTAAAAATGCAGAGAAGAATCTTCCTTTGGTAACAGTTGCCTTCGGCGAAAAAATTTTTGACCGTTCGATGTTTCACAAAAAATTTGAATCCACAAAAATTTAGTTTCCGACTGTCAGTCAATTATATCGAAAAAAAAAAAAAAAATGGAGAACCCGAACGAACTGAATTTGCAAACCGACTAGGTTTGGTGATATCGAACTGGTGCCTGCTGGCGTTGATGATGGTGACTATTTGGTGCACGTACGACGCCGCCGGCAGGTCCTGGGTGAAGATGAAAAAGTATCAGCGAAGCATGAGGGAGGCGGAATCAAGGGGGGCCAGGCTGCATTACAAGCGCAGCGGCAGCAGAAATCGAAATTGGCGACAACGGTGAGTCCCTCTTGTGCACGATATATCGGACATTTCGTCCTTGCATTTTATTATTTAATGAATATAATATTTTTTTAATTTAATTTTATTAAAAAAGGATGATGATTTCCCCTCTTATATGTTCTTGAGGAGACGCGACCCAGCAAACATTAAATAACTATATAAGTTACATTATGTTCTGGTTCCTCGACGAGCAGAAACGTCTATCTAAAATGCACACATGGTTTGCGTTGTTGCAGAAAAGTTATACGCGCCTACCAGGATAGCTGGGACAATAGGTGCAGACTGCTGTTCTGTTGCATGGGCAACTCCGATCGCAATCGAGTGAGTGAATTGTCAAGAGATAAACTACGACTTGGACAATTAATCTACTTTAGATTAAATTCCTAGAAGAATAATCCTTTTTTTATGTAGAACACATTGAGAAAAATCGTTTGATTGTATCAACAAGACGTATATGATTGAAGGTATTTTGGTTAAATCAAACAAGAATTTCTAGTTATCATGATAAGACTCGATTTTTTATAACTAGAACGTTTAATAGATTTTACTATAAGGATTTGATTATTTTCTGGTTAGATCTATAAAATTTCTTGTTACATTAATTTCTTTGCTTACTTCTTAACTTAACTCGTATTCAATATTTGTCATGAAATGTATATAAAAAACTAGTATTAACATTAAATCCAAAGTATATATTTTTTTTTCTTATATATTTATATATAATTATATAATATATATTTATTTATATTATATAATTATATTATATAATTATATTATTTATATTATATAATTATTTTATATTATATATAATTATATAGTATATATTTTTTTTTCTTACGAGCAGTAATGCCAGAAAGAGGACGCTAGCTCTCTGATTGTGTGCGTTTGAGCTGCATCCTCTTCTTGCATTACTGTTTATCAGTTTAATTTCTAACAAACTGAACTTAAAATAATTTATTCAATAATCTGGATTGAATTTATCCAATAATCTTGTTGGAATTCAGAATATTAAACAGACTTTTGAGATTAAATGGAAAAAATTTTAGACTTGATGCTGGCGAGTTTAGTATTATTAACCAGAAAATTTGATAAATTTAACAGCAAGAAATCAATCAGATTTATCTGGTAATTCCTAAACAAGAATTCTGATTCGTCCATTTTCCAACAGATATACTGGGTTGAATCTACCAGAATTCTAATCAATGCAAGCAGATTTTTTCTCAGTGCAGTTTAATTTCTAACAAACTGAACTTAAAATAATTTATTCAATAATCTGGATTGAATTTATCCAATAATCTTGTTGGAATTCAGAATATTAAACAGATTTTTGAGATTAGATGGGAAAAATTTTAGACGACTTGATGCTGGCGAGTTTAATATTATTAACCAGAAAATTTGGTAAATTTAACAGGAAGAAATTAATCAGATTTATCTGATAATTTCTAAACAAGAATTCTGATTCGTCCATTTTCCAACAGACATACTGGATTGAATCTACCAGAATTCTAATTAATATAACCAGATTTTTTTCTCAGTGTGTTATCAGTTTAATTTCTAACAAACTAAACTTAAAATAATTTATTCAATAATCTGGATTGAATTTATCCAATAATCTTGTTGAAATTCAGAATATTAAACAGACTTTTGAGATTAGATGGAAAAAATTTTAGACTACTTGATGCTGGCGAGTTTAGTATTATTAATCAGAAAATTTGATAAATTTAACAGGAAGAAATTAATCAGATTTATCTGGTAATTCCTACAAGAATTCTGGTCCATCCATTTTCCAACAGACATATTGGTTGAATCTACCAGAATTCTAATTAATGTAACCAGATTTTTTTCTCAGTGTGTTTATCATTTAATTTCTAACAAACTGAACTTAAAATAATTTATTCAATAATCTGAATTGAATTTATCCAATAATCTTGTTGGAATTCAGAATATTAAACAGACTTTTGAGATTAAATGAAAAAAATGTTAGACGACTTGATGCTGGTGAGTTTAGTATTATTAACCAGAAAATTTGATAAATTTAACAGGAAGAAATCAGAATTAATCAGATTTATCTGGTAATAGCTACAAGAATTCTGGTCCATCCATTTTTCAACAGACATACTGGTTGAATCTACCAGAATTCTAATTAATGCAACCAGATTTTGTTCTCAGTGCAGAGAAAGAAATCTTGTAAAGACTCAAAACTATGTCCAATTGCTCATAGAACTCGTTCGCTGACATCGCCCGGCTGCTGAGCGACTTCTTCCGCGACCTGGACGTGGTGCCCTCGGACGTGGTGGCCGGTCTGGTGCTCCTGAGGAAGTTCCAGAAAGTCGAGCGCGAGCTGATAGTCAAGCAGCGCAAGAACGATACGTACGAGTTCCTGTCGGGAGTGCCAGTCACGCCGCGCACCAAGTTCCTGTCTCTGACCGAGGACGGCGATCTGGGCCACTTTCAGTTGGCCATCCATTACATGCATTTTGCTCTCGCCGCCTACGGCTGGCCCATGTTCCTCGTCGGTTCCTCCACCGAGTTCTGCCAGCTGTGCACCAGGTGAATCTTTTTCGAGATATCGTGCCACATACATTGGCACTATAATTGAACTGCAATGGCCAAGACTTGCTTTCGGAAAACTCGCCCCAATTTTGAGAAAATAATATTTAAATAAATAATTAATTTGTGAATCTATAATTAAAGTATCTATTTATCGTTACCAATATTTCGTGCCGAGAAATCTTACCTCAGGGAAGATTTTATTTGCATTAAAACGTAAATTTCTCACACTTGTACATTTCATATTATTTGAAACAAAAGGAGCTCTATCCTCAATTATCCTGTGAAACTGAACACTGTACATTCATTAAACTCCTTGCATACTTGTAACGCAAACATATAAGAAAACTTGGCTACGAAATCTGGCGAGAAAGTGCGAGCAAGACGCGACGAGGTAGGGAAGTTGAGGATATTAAAGTTGCGAGTCAACGTTTTGAGGAGTGAATAATAGCGAGGGGTAACTTTGTAACTTGGAAACGAGTGTAATGAGGAGGCAGGGAGATTATTTAATCTAAAGTACATATTTTCTATCATGTAACATTAATATTCCCGTCAGGATGTCATCTGGCGCTTGTGTAAGCTGATCTTTTCCATCACCCCCGTAAACAGGTCAGCCTGATCGCCTTTGTTTCATCATCCTGTTTATCCTCTGCCCCGTAGATTGCAGTGCTGCTGCTTCCCGTGCGGCGCCCGTCACGAGGTCGAGGCGACGATCATCGAGGACAATTGCTGCCGGTGCAATTACGCCGCCCTGAGCAGGATGATGCTCAACCTGGGGGAGATCGAGGTCATCTACGCGACCTTCCACGTCGACGTCGGCGAGACGCCATTCTTCGTCGCGCTCGATTATACCAAGAGAAAGGTTCGTGCCCCCCGGGCTCTTATCTCGTGTATCATTCATTAATCACCATTCAGCGATGATCATCCGCGAAACTGCCTCTTTTAAGTAAACAAGTCGAGTCTACTTTATCCACGTTTGGACTAAGCTGCGATGGAGTCTACCATTAAGGTGTTGATTGCGTTTAGAAATAATCTCGTTATCTCCCTTAACAGCGGAAGAGCGAATTAATGAATTCCAGTCTCCTGTGTCCTTGCATCAATATTGCTAATTATTATTCCTCACCCGAATCTTGTATTCTTCTCCAGAATTATTTTTAATGTGATGTTCGCGTCATCTTTGTAGATGACTTTATGGATTAATTTCAATTCTCTCCCTGTGTTTGACCGCAGATTGTAGTCAGTATACGTGGGACCATAAGCATGAAGGACGTGCTGACGGACCTGAACGCCGAAGGCGAGGTGCTGCCTTTGTCTCCACCGAGGGAGGACTGGTTCGGACACAAGGGGATGGTGCAGGCCGCCGAATACATACGAAAGAAGTTACAGGAAGAGGACATCATCGCGCGTGCCCGCGCCAAGGTATATCGTGTGCAAATGTGCCGCGCCTTGTCGCTCGTTATCGGAGCAAACGACAGTTCCGGAATAATTATCACGTCACGCTGCGCTCGCTATCTTCATAATAATCCTCATAATAATCGCCAGTAATTTTTAATAACGAGCTGGTGCGTTTTATTTAAAAAATTCTAGACCAGAAAAATGTGAGGAGAGCCTTGGCGTTTAATATTATAGCGCTTCTCCGCCTTCTTTTGACACGATAAAAAAATAAATCACCGCCTCATCGACCCCTGCTGAATATGTATCAAGAAGAAATCATCATCTAGGCCATCCGCAGACTCCCGTTCGTCGGCGAAATGCGCCAGTAACCTTTTTATAGCGGGTTTAACGTGTCGTATTTCGTTTCGGGACAGTTAAATTTTTCAGCTCGTCCTTCCGCGCCATACATAAAGCTTATGTACCGTATGAATAGACAATATATTCAACCGCGCGTGTATGTTGAATTCGCTTTACCGTGATAGAATCCCTCTGGGATTTTTCCGTCTCACCGAGGTTGAAGCGAAAAAATGGACAGGACTCTAAACACTTGTTTAATCGAAAGAATCGAAAACAATGTGCGAGGATCTATGAATATATTTCTGGAAAATTGCACCCAAGTTTGACGTATCTTTTTTATCTGTCTACAGGGTGTCTCATTTTAACTGGGATAGTAAAATATCTCAAAAACTAAGCCCAGCAAACAAAAGTGTTTCAGACAAAAGTTGTATGGTTTCGAGGGGAACATAAGATGGTACCATTGGTTTGACCTTGAAGAGTTATTTGAAGGTCACATGAAGGTCATCTTCAATTTTTTAAATGGAACCTACATTTTCTCATTACATATTCTTGTAGCTTATCTCGAGAGCTTTCCAAAACACTATAATTAAGTACCTTTTCGTTAAGTACTTTTTGAGTTATAAGGTTTGAAATCATTTCTTAATTTTACATAAACCATAAAATATCTAGTAAAATATTCATTTTTCGATTATCTTACCTTAATACTTTTATGCACAAAATAATGAGAGGAATCAATTGTGTAAAGAAAACACATAGTTATTTCTAAGAAAAAATATGTAATTTGTAATTAACAATTCCATATTTTTTCTTAAAAACAACTGTATATTTTCTTTACACCAATTGATTCCTCCAATTGGTACCATCTTATGTCTCCCTCGAAACTATACAACTTTTGTCTGAAACAATTTTGTTTGCTGGGCTTAGTTTTTGAGATATTTTACTGTCCAAGTTAAAATGGGACACCTTGTATATTTTTTAAAAGGCAAATTTGACATTTAGTTGTTCAGTTATACTTTTCTGAAGATAAAAGTTGCAGGAAATAATGAAGGGAATTTTTGTCGATTGAATTTCGCCAGGACCCTTCCAGGGGCACGCATCAGTTCGGACTGACCCTGGTGGGACACTCGTTGGGCGCCGGTACAGCGGCGATCCTCGCGATCCTGCTGAAGCAGGACTACCCGGACCTGGCGTGCTTCTCGTTCGGGCCACCCGGTGGATTGCTGAGCATGCCTGCCCAGCAGTACAGCCAGGAATTCATCACGTCCGTCGTGGTGGGCAAGGACGTCGTCCCGAGGATCGGACTCCGGCAGATGGAGAGTTTGAGAGCGGATCTCATCAACGCTATAAAAAGGAGCGTCGATCCAAAAGTACGCAGTTTGATTTTCCCTCTCTCTCTCTCTCTCTCTCTCTGATTTGAATCATCGCGTCCCATTGATTGCGCGGTTCTAGAGAATCGATGGTCTAGATTCGGTTTATTCGAGCGTGTTATTCCACAGTGGAAGACGATTGCGTGCTCGGTGATGTGCTGCGGCTGCGGCTCGACGCCCACGTCGGCGGCAAATCTCGAGGCCGGCGGTTGCATCAGCGAATACCAGCGGGACAAGGATCGGGCGCGCGCTCAGACCGTCGTGCCCAGCGATTCCAGCATCGCCCTGACCCTGCACAGGCCCCTGTACCCGCCGGGAAGGATCATACACGTGGTGCGACACCATCCGAACAAGGGCGAGTGAGTTGACTCAACTCGATCATCTGATTCGCGTCTCTCTTCGTCTACCTGAAACGGGATATATTGCGAGTTTTTCCTCAAATTGTCACTTGCTATCTAAAATTAGATTCTAACAATTCACCTCGCATACAATAAAGATTATACATGACGTTTTATACAGGGTGTTTCAGACCATCAGTATCACCTATTTAAAAATTAGAGAAGTGATTATTTCAAAAAAGTAAAAACATTTTCTTTATAAATCGAGTGCGCTCTATCGAATGGTGATATTTTCAACTTTTGGTTCCGGCCGGAAATAGGTGATTCAGACCGGAAGTGCACTTTTTTAAATGGAACCCCCTATTTTTCATTGGATATTTTTGTAGCTTATCTCGAGAGCTTTTCAAAACATTATAATAAATTATTTTTTCATCAAGTACTTTTCGAGTTATGAGGCTTGAAATTATTTCTTAATTTTACATAAACCATAAAATATCTTGTAAAATATTCATTTTTTGATTATCTTACCTTAATTAAACTTTTATGTACAAAATAATGAGAGGAATCAATTGGTGTAAAGAAAACAAATAGTTGTTTCTAAGAAAAAATATGTAATTTGCAATTAAGAATTACATATTTTTTCTTAGAAATAACTGTATGTTTTTTTTTAATGCACTTCCGGTCTGAATCGCCTATTTCTGGCCGGAACCAGAATTTGAAAATATCATCATTCGATAGAGCGCATCCGATTTATAAAGAAAATGTTTTTACTTTTTTGAAATAATCACTTCTCTAATTTTTAAATAGGTGGTACTGATAGTCTGAAACACCCTGTATATTTAATACATTTTATTACAAGTGAACTGTTTTTTTTCTGGTTTAAACTACTCGTTGATTAATTCCTTATATATATCGCTTGATTGAAAAATATTCGCGCTAAATTATTTCTGTTTTACATCGCGAAATGAACCGATTTTGCGCCATCCAGCTGGTAAAAAAAAAACTGGAAAAGTTAATCGCGCCTGTATTTCTTTTTAGGCAGAAGTATGAGACGAGTTGGAGGTATGTCCATCAGATAGTTTGTACATTTTCAGGGCTACTACTTCTGGGTTGTTGCATCTTGAAGACATGCCCGCGCATGCGTCTCTTGGGCCTATATCCCGTATATTTATTGCGTAGGATGTTACCTCCTCTCTTTCGATGCTAGACAGTTGAAGCGGTTCTCAAGCACCTCGAGAAAAATGTGCAAGTCGACGTATCGGGATTTTGTTTATCGCAATGAAAAATAATGGTTCGATTCTAGTATCGCACAAAAAAAAATGAGAAACTTTAATATACTGTAAAATGCAAATGTATCAATCTTTTTCAGAAAAATTCAGGAGATTAAGCTGGAGATTTCGTTCGCGATTTAATTTACAATGCAAATCCACGCCGAGGAAAAGGGATTCCCTTCTCTTTCCGAGACTGAAATTATGCACATCTTTCTCGGGACACATGATATATATGCATGAATAGAGTACTTTACACCGGTGATGTGTACCGTGTGCCAGGGAAATGATTCGGTAATTTTTTTATAGTTCTAGTATGTCCATCGTGACCCATCGAAATAGTTTTCTGACTTATGATCCTTCGATTATAGTCCTCACGAACTGGGCGATGCATGCTTTTACCTCGTAGATGGTCTCTCGTAGGAAATAAAAGTTGGCATACGTGCATGTGTGATGCCTCGTTTTTTATCATAAATAATAAAATCCTTGTTGTATTAAACGATAATGAAATTCAAGATACATTTATCAAGTACTCTGATTGATTTAAACGCCAAGATTTTTATTGCAGGCATTTAAACAGCATTTTTAAATAATTGCGAAAGGTTTAAATAATTATTGCACAGAGATGATGTATTTTTTTGCAACATTAATGATCCTCGAAATTTATACAAATACCTGAGGATAATCCAAACGATATACAATGCCTACCAAAAGTTCTGGGACGGTCGAATATTTCATAAACTATGCACTTTAGAAAGAAATGTTTCAGACAAAAGTTACATGGCTTGAAGAGGACTATAAGATGGTGTCATTGGTTTGACCTTGGAGAATCGTTTGAAGGTCACGTGATGGTTACCTTCAATTTTTTAAATGGAATTACCTATTTTTTATTACATATTCGTGTAGCTTATCTCGAGAGCTTTCCAAAACACTATAATAAAGTATTTCTTCATTGAGTACTTTTCGAGATATGAGGCTTGAAATCATTTCTTAATTTTACATAAACCATAAAATATCTTGTAAAATATTCATTTTTCGATTACCTCACCTTAATACTTTTATGTACAAAATAATGAAAGAAATCAATTGATGTAAAGAAAACACATAATTGTTTCGAAGAAAAAAATGTGTAATTTGCAATTAACAATTACATTTTTTTTAAAACAACTATACGTTTTCTTTACACCAATTGATTCCTCTCATTATTTTGTGCATAAAAGTATTAAAGTAAGATAATCGAAAAAATAATATTTTACTAGATATTTTATGGTTTATGTAAAATTAAGAAATTATTTCAAACCTCATAACTCGAAAAGTACTCAATAAAGAAATACTTTATTATAGTATTTTGGAAAGCTTTCGAGATAAGCTACATGAATATGTAATAAAAAATAGGTGGTTCTATTTAAAAAATTGAAGGTGATCCTCACGTGACCTTCGAACGACTTTTCAAGGTCAAACCAATGACACCATCTTATGGCCTCCATCCAGCCATACAACTTTTGTCTGAAACATTTCTTTCTATAGTGTATAGTTTATAAAATATTCGCCCTATCCGGAACTTTTGGTAGGCACTGTATGTGATCGTCTTGGAAACATTAAGACAATTTTTTTCTGTAGCGAGCAAAAGATACATAAAATATTGATCGTTCCTATTTTTATCCGCTGGACAAGAGTTGATAAAAAAATGGAAAGGAATGATAATCTCGAGGATTGATCCGCGAGGAAAAATTACAGATGAGAGAATTACTGATGTTGGACTCGTTGAATTCCAGGAAAATGTTGAGGAAACGCGAACCGGTGTACCAGGCGCTGTGGGCCGGTCCGTGCGACTTCGACGAGGTGCTGATCAGCCCGGTGATGATTCAGGACCACATGCCGGACAACATGCTGCGCGCCCTGAACAAGGTAAGCCAGGACGCGATCGCGCGGCAGCAAGCGAGACGGTCGCAGGCACCGCTGAGCCGTACCCCGTCGGTGAAGCCGGGTCATTACGAGCCCCTGGAGGAGACCACCGACGGGCCCGACGTCCCCCACGAGGTGCAGGGAGATCGGATAACCAGGAACCAGCAGGCCGTTAACGGCCTCGATCGGCCGAACACGTCGATCGTCGTCGATGTAGAAGTGCACGAGCGCAGGGAGACGTTGCCGGAGATGCGTTGACGAGCTGCGGTCTCCCTCGCAGCTTCTTCATCGCGATTTTCTCAATTTTAACGACGGATTCTCTCGATCGATCTGATGATTAAATATTAAGTGCGGAGAGAATCTCGTCGGTGAAATTAATTCCGTAATTTTGCAAATGTGTATTAAGGGACTACCGATCCCTCGGTAACTTCAAGCGTCTTCTTCGACTAGGAACTCGGTAGAATTGAACGTCGGATTTGCGCCAGTTAGATTGTAATCGTAGAGCTTACTTGTTCTGATTGTGATTGGTAACGCATCGAGGTACCTCTGTGTGTATGTATGATTATTTATTTGACGCTTGCGTGTCGCGTACGAATTAGCGTAGACTCGTAGCTGTAGATTCGCTGTGAATAGCTTGTCGCTACGATGTGGTATCTCATTAGCGTAATTATTTAGAATGCAATCGTTTACTTCCGTCAGTCCTGAGTTCAATCGCGTACCATGTGCTTCCGAGAAACTGTATATAGTTTATTATTGGATCGAATGACGGTGTATAAAAACTTAGGAAACGAGGACGATCATTGCAAGGTAGTCGCGAAGTGGCGAAGTAACTGTTATTCTTTTTTTTTAATCTTCGAAATTAAAATAAATAAATATTTATAAATATTTAATAATATTTATTAATATAAATAAATATTTATATTAAAAAAAATTTAATTTATTTATTGAATTTAAATTTATTTAAATTCAATCAATAAATTTTATTTAATATAAATATTAATATAAATTTATTTAATTTAAATAAATTTAAATTAAATAAATAAAATTTAAATAAATTTAAATTAAATAAATATTTATATTAAATAAAATTGTCCCATTGTTAGTCAAATACTCCAGATATGAGGAGAAATTTTTTCTTTTTTTTTTTATTTCTTCCTCCTCGCTCTCGCGATTGCTCTTGCTTTGGTACCAGGTTCACACCTTGGTTGTGTCTACGATATCGCTCATCCAGGACCTCGCACAACGCGACGAATTCACCGAGCATTCTCGTACTTACCTCTTACATTATCGCCTAAGTAGAGTAACACACGACTGACGTGCATGCCCTCGTAATAAACTGCATGAACTTATTGTTCTGTGCCGAATAGTGGCCAGCCAGCAACGTGGCACGCGAATTCGCCATTTGTTTGCACGCGAGCATCATTACAAGTTCGTTCGTTCTTGCTCTTGTCGTTACGTAAAACGTTAATTTTACGTGAAAATCGTTGTAAATGGCACGAGTAATAACGATTCAATTGCGAGAAAAGCACAAATCAATTCTTCAACGAGCTTGTTTTCTTTCATCGAAAGAAATGTGCACTTTATTTTTTACATATTTATATTTATTTATTATTAGCCATTTTATTAGTATCCCAGCAAACATCAAGTAACAGTTATATAATTGTTAGTTGGAATTTCCCACTCGACAATATAACTGTTACACGTTATACAGGGTGTCTCAAAAGTCATAATGAATTTCTTCCAAAGACAGATTCCTGGGATCGTTTGGAAACGATTTTTCCTCAGCGAAAATGTCGATGAAGGCCATCATTTTTTGCATGTACCTGATTTTTGTCATCATATATCTTTGTAATTAAGACTTAAATTAAAACTCAAGTAAAGTAAACTCTATTTAAAATTAATCGGAGAATGTGGTTTTGTTAATATTTTATTTCTACAAAGCTTAGTTTACGAAAAAGCCCTTATTTCCTTTATAATCACTTATGATTCGAAAATTATTAGTGCGACATTTTCATTGAAGAAAAATCTTCAGATGATCCCAGGAATCTGTTTTGAAAAAATTCATTATGAGTTTTGAGACAACCTGTATAAATATTATTTGGTGTTTGCTGGGATCCATTGTGAGCAAAATTATTACAGTACATAGGCAAATTGTCGATTTAAGTAGTAAGAATTATTTAATTGATAAATCTAATTACAATCAATTATAGTGTAATTGTAACGTATTATTAGAAGAAATTTTTATTCCTAGCAATTTTTTAGAAACATATCCCAATGTTGGGATATATTTTTGCAACTTTAATTTTTTATATGCGTTGATTAGTCACTATTGAGTCATTCATTAAGAAACAAAAGATACATATTATTCTATTTAGTTTCATACGAGATCAATTTGCATTTTTCTCCGCTCTCTCTCTCTCTCTCACTCTCTTCTTCTTCATTGCACACAAAACGATTAAAAATACAAAAGTCTAAAAATACAAGCACAAAAATGAAGCTGAACATCCCATATAACACAGACCATTATTGTTATATTGCAGCAATATTGCGGCAATATTGCTACAATGTAACAACAATGGTGCTGTATGGGACTTGATTGACACAATATAATATTATATTATATAATATATTATATTTTATTTATTATATAATATATAATTATATATTATATTTAATTATATATAATATATAATTATATATTATATTTATATATATAATAATATATAATTATATATTATATATTATATATAATATTTATATATAATATATATAATTATATATATTATATAATATAATATTATACGATTAACGCGATAGATAATTTCCGAGAGATGAATCTACTCTGTAAAAAAACAATTTGACGATCCACGAGTCTCGCGTTTGGCGCTAAAAGCGGCTCATATAATCGATTATGGATCTAGAGATATTCGAGATTTTTTTTATCCGATTCCAGGAATCAGGATAATAATATAACGCACGCAATTAGCGCTAAACGACGACGAGAATTCGCGGATCGATATATTTTTCTACGACGCCGCCCGTTGCGCGAGAGATCCGGGCCAGAAGGTCCGAGTATCGCGCTGGTCGTTTTGTGAGTGCACGCGATTTCTGTAACAAAACTTGGTTGTTCCATACATATATTTACATGTGTACGTATATATGATTTGCGATGTACGCTACTTTGGTCAATATATTATTTTCTGCCACGTTGAAACGACGTTGTGTTCATTTATCGCTTGTTCATTTCCAGCGCGCGAGACGCTTGGGAATGAATAAAATAAAAAATCTTATATGAAACATATATTTCATAAATATATATAACATATATATAACATATATATAACATAAAACATATATATGTAACATATATATGGATAATAAATTTGATAAAAATAATTTAATGAGTCGCGTTGGAGGAATGGAATTAACTCGCGCCTCGCTTTTCTCCTATTTGCGGATGAAAAATGTACGTATTAATTTGCCAAAACAGATGGCACGTCATTTTTCTCTCCTACTTCAAATACCCTCGTTCCCAAACGTATCGCCAGCTGCTGAATTATTGATGACTGTGTGCTCGCGTACTATAATTTATTTATATATTGATTTAAGTTGCGTCACATGTTTGTTATATTTATATTTTCGCTGCTCTGCGATGTATTTATTTTTTATTAGTGTGTGATTATGCTACGAGTATACTTTTCTCTGTCTCTCTTTGATCTGCTCTGTCGACACTGAATCATAATCTCATTTATTTAACGGGAAATGACATGAGGACTCGACTGGATTCCCAGCAGACAATTATATAGCTGTTATATAACATTTATATAATTGTTAGTTGTAATTTCTCACTCAACAATATAACTGTTACATATTATACAATGCTTATCGAAAGTTGTCGGGACGGTCGAATATTTCATAAACTATGCACTTTAGAAAGAAATGTTTCAGATAAAAGTTGTATGGCTTGAAGGGGGCCATAAGATGGTGTCATTGGTGACCTTGAAAAGTCGTTTAAAGATCACGTGAAGATCACTTTCAATTTTTTAAATGAAACCATGTATTTTTTATTGAATATTCTGGTAGCCCACGTCGAGAGCTTTCCAAAACACTACAATTAAGTTAGTTTTCATTAAGTACTTTTCGAGTTATGAGGCTTGAAATCATTTCTTAATTTTACATAAACCGTAAAATATCTAGTAAAATATTCATTTTTCGATTATCTCACCTTAATACTTTTATGTACAAAATAATGAGAAGAATCAATTGGTGTAAAGAAAATGTATAGTTGTTTTTACAAAAAAATATGTAATTGTTAATTGCAAATTACATATTTTTTCTTAAAAACAACTATGTTTTTTCTTTACACCATTTGATTCCTCTTATTATTTTGTACATAAAAATATTAAGATAATCGAAAAATGAATATTTTACTAGACATTTTATGGTTTATATAAAATTAAAAAATTATTTCAAGCCTCATAACTCGAAAAGTACTCAATGAAGAAATACTTTATTATAGTGTTTTGGAAAGCTCTCGAGATAAGCTATACGAATATGTAATAAAAAATAGGTGGTTCCATTTAAAAAATTAAAGGTGATCTTCACGTGATCTTCAATCGACTTTTCAAGGTCAAACCAATGACACCATCTTGTGGCTCCCTTCAAGCCATACAACTTTTGTCTGAAACATTTCTTTCTAAAGTGCATAGTTTATGAAATATTCGACCGTCCCGGAACTTTTGGTAGGCACTGTATAATATGTAACAGTTATATTGTTGAGTGGGAAATTATTGCTGGGTTTGCTGGATCATTTTCGACCTCGGTTGAATGGGAGTAATGCATATTCGATAGGGAAAGTGTCGTAAAGAAATGGATATTGATTTTAGCGAAATTTTCGAAATTGTGCAAATTGAATTTAAAATAGAATTCTCCCATGAGTCGGGAAAGTCAGATACGATCTTGAAGCGAGAGCTCGTGAGCGGCCGCAATTTAGCGTCAAATAGGATCGAGAAGCTGAATTCTAAAGCCAAGTTAGTTGCGCGATTAAATCGCGCGAACGCTGCAACAACGATGTGTTTACTCACTCGCTCAATTTTGCATGCACGTTATTATCTTGATCTTGATGAACGCGAGAGGGAAGTTAATATAAACCTCGATTGTAATCGCTCCCGGATTCGATTAACGAGCAGTAAATGGTTGTTCCGCCCCAGAAGAGAAATTCCGTTGATTAAATCGACGCGATAGGCAACCGACAGTTAATCAACTGACGGTTAATCAACGCTAGACTGATGATCGAATGGATATCCAACCGTTGGAATATTTTCGGGAGTTTGATAGAAACTTGGGGAAAAAGAGAGAACCCCTTTTTCGCGAATCTCTCGAGGAATCCATCGCGAAAATTCACCCGACCAGGTCAGACTAGACCTAGACTAGAACTGTGGATGGTTGCGGTGTGGATCAGGTGCTGACGTGCAGAGATCGGGGCTGCGCGGAAGCGGGGGCGACGACGAGGGCTGGGGATGCTGCTGGACCCTGCATCGCGGTGATAGACACGACGGCGATCGAGCTCAGAGACGAGACGCGGCCCCCCCTCGATCATCATCATCACCCCGCACACGTCGTGGTGCTCCAGCATCGTCAGGGTACACCGGACGCCCGTGTCTCGCGCACAAGGTACTTGGAGGGAGATGATTGACGTGGTTCCCTCGCCGATGATCGGATCCTCTCGGGAATCCTTTTTGCGGCCGATGACGTGAGATCCGCGCTACGGTTTGATTTCGTCGAATTGTCGCTCGCCAGGAATTTCCAGAGATGTTTTCATTGAGTTACAATTGGTACAATTGGTACAGTTGGTTCGATTCAATCTCGCGTTCCAGTAAAGGGGTAAACACTTCCTGACGCAATGTTGATCGTCCAGCATCATGTAGACATATACATACATATATACGCACGCATACACGTAAATGCATGCGCATCACACACTGATTGATCATATCGTCTTCATTGTGCATTCTGCATTCGACTAGAGTCGATTGATCCTAGAATTGGCGAGAGTCTTCTGGTCTGCATGCAACTAGTACACCTGGTCCAACAGGTGTCGAGTCTTTTTTTTTATTAGCTACAGAGAAAAGAGCATCGAATAATATATGATCAAAAGAGGCAATATATATGGATCAAAAGAGGCAATATATCAAGAAAAGTTGATCAAGAAATAATAGATTAAATTATTAAAATTAAATAAAAAGAGCACTTTTATTACATTATGTCATGTTATATTTGTCTCGCATAAGAAGCTTTAACATATATATTGTAAAATCAAAAATCATCCTTAAGAATTCGAGTATCAACCCTTTCGAGTCCAAAGTTGATTCGTAGGCTGAATAGCGACTCTTTAGACATTGGCTGGTAAAGAAAAGGCGACTTGGCGAGCAAGATTAGAGGACTAATTCTGTTGTCATGAGACTGGGAGATTAATCCCATTGTCATGAGGGTGGAATTAGGGTGATTCAAGGTTCAAAAATTATTCTTATTAAGAATTTATTAAGAGCATCAACCCTTTCGAGTTCAAATTTGATTCGTAGGCTGAATAGCGATCCTTTAAATATTGACTGATAAAGAAAAGGCGACTTGGCGAGCAAGATTAGAAGACTAATTCTATTGTCATGAGACTGGAAGATTAATTCCATTGTCATGAGAATGGAATTAAGGTGATTCAAGGTTCAAAAATAAGATTCAAAAATTATTTTTATTAAGAATTTATTAAGAGCATCAACCCTTTCGAGTTCAAAGTTGATTCATAGGCTGAATAGCGATCCTTTAAATATTGACTGGCAAAGAAAAAGCGACTTGGCGAGTAAGATTAGAAGACTAATTCTATTGTCATGAGACTGGGAGATTAATCCCATTGTCATGAGAGTGGAATTAGGATGATTCAAGGTTCAAAAATAAGATTCAAAAATTATTCTTATTAAGAATTTATTAAAAGCTTCAAGCCTTTCGAGTTCAAATTTGATTCGTAGGACTAATTCTATTGTCATGAGACTGGGAAATTAATCCCATTGTCATGAGAGTGGAATTAGGGTTATTCAAGGTTCAAAAATTATTCTTATTAAGAATTTATTAAGAGCATCAACCCTTTCGAGTTCAAAGTTGATTCGTAGACTGAATAACGACTCTTTAAACATTGGCTGGCAAAGAAAAGGCGACTTCGCGAGCAAGATTAGAGAAGACGCGAGAAGACTAATTCTATTGTCATGAGACTGGAAGATTAATCCCATTGCCATGAGAATGGAATTAGGGTGATTCAAAGTTCAAAAATAAGATTCAAAAATTATTCTTATTAAGAATTTATTAACAGCATCGACCCTTTCGAGTTCAAAATTGATTCATAGACTGAATAGCGATCTTTTAAATATTGACTGGCAAAGAAAAAGCGACTTGGCGAGCAAGATTAGAAGACTAATTCTATTGTCATGAGACTGAGAGATTAATCCCATTGTTATGAGAGTGGAATTAGGATCATTCTCATCATCGAGTCTGACAAAAATTAACAGGCGAAATTTTTCGATCCATCTTTGCTTTTTTTTTCGTACAAAGAATAGAAAAAAAAGGAAAGAATCTCTTTCCCTTTCGAAAATTTTACGAGGAAAAATTAATAAAATTTCAAGCGACGAATAAATGTATTCTGTTGCATTTTCCGTTTCCGGCTTCATCCGCGCTTTCAATTAACCGCGTTAAATATTCCTCCAAATTGCCTGTTCACGGTCGGTTTGCGGTCGAGATGCGGACATCGGTCGTTTCCGATGCGGCCAAAATATGCGGAAATCTCGCAGCAATATCGCTTCAGCTCATAACTCGGAAGGGAATCTCGCTATTAATGTTCAATACACAACTTCTCTACAGAGTCGTTATTTTTTCTACAAAACAAAAAGAGACGTCAGATAGGATTCGATTTTTTTTTTTAAATTAGAACAGGACGGTTCGAAATGAGCAAGGATTCATGCAGGATGTCAAATTATAAGTACAAACTTGAAATTGCGACGAGGAGAATCCTATTAAAGCATCGCAATTAAATTTCTATGCGGGCAATGTAAATAATTTGCACAGACAATCTCGAAAATAAATCGTTTTTTGCGAATCAATAAATGGAAAATAAACCCTGCCTCGTTATTCGATTTCAAGAAAGAACTTTGAATACAATATTGACATTTATTTAGAGAAAGATGCCCAACTGTGGAGAATTAAAATGGCACGGACTCGCTCGCGAGGCGATTTCGATCTAAATGGAATTTTTGCGATATTTATTTATTCAAGACAGAAAATTGAAAATTGCTTGCCGAGGGGGAAAAAGGTCCTCGATCTGCGAACGAGCTTTTGTACCTATAGTTTTGCACACATCCTGCAAGCACACGACTATACAGAGTGTCCGATAATTTTTAACATACCACTTCTACATACGCGAATTGGCCGATCTTTTTTAATGAATTTCTCGTTAATTATTGCGAAGATCGCAAAACGGTAGAGAACTTTTTTTCCTAATTCGCGCCAATCTACCTTCATACTTCGGGTGTGCGACCAATTATCGGACACCCTGAAAATAAACCGTGTCGCGGCTCGCTCGTCATGTCAGGTTGTCACGACCCTGGGCCCGGCCAAGCCGCAGCGATTAGCATCAGGACACGCGTCCTCGACGGAGGCGTCGTCGGAGGCGGCGCGCGAGCACCAGACGATCGACGTCCAGGAGCTGGAAGTGCAGGAGCAGGAGCAGGAGATGCGGGCCCTGCTGTCGCCGTCCAGCCCGAGCAGGTGTCACGTGCTGGCTGGCACGCCGCCGCATCGGCTCTGCCTGGAGACGAGCTTCACGTCGCTGCAAAGCCCCACGGATCTACCTCAGGCTGGCCGCGAACTCAGCGTGGACTCGCGGGGCATCCCCTGGGAGTACATCAGCCTCGCCAGCGAGCTGCTCAACACGCCTAGGCCGGAGGATGGCAAATCGTAAGGACGATGAAACACTTAGCTTCCTTCGCGGTCTGAAAGCAGCGAATATCGAGAGTCAGAGTCAGTGACAATAACATCAATATTTAGATTAGAATCTCTCTGTAAACCCTTCCCGTTTTGAACGAAGATTCTTCAACCTCTTTGGATCCGTTTCCCGGATCGCGAAGGATTAAAGGGTCGAAACGAGATGGGCGAGCGAATCGAAGAGGAGGAGACTGATAGCAGCGAGGTGACGATGTGTGTGTCAAACTCTTGATGATGATTATCGACGCCACTGTACTTATTAAGTAGATTTTTAATCTGAAAAAGTGTAGCCAGATGTCGGTAAGAAATATGGATGAGTAGATGGGGGATCATCGAATCGTAGGCATCATTGATCAGAGAGGACGAGTTGATCGCACCCGCTTCACGCTCAGATCTAGCAATTCATTTCACGCTCTCTCGCTTCTCTCGCTTCTCTCGCTTAGCTCTCAATCTTCTTCATCGTGCACCTCATGTAATTACATCGCACTACAATTGTCATTAAGATAATGATCACGGTCGCGCAGGAAGTGCCCCAAACGACGCGCAAGTCTGAAAAAACGCTTCAAGCGCGAGGGTGTCTTTCAGACGTTCGCGTTGTCTTGGATCCTTGCAAGAGTACAATATCCTTGCACTTGTAGAGGATGTCCCATTTTAACTTGGACAGTAAAATATCTCAAAAACTAAGCCCAGCAAACAAAAATGTTTCTGACAAAAGTTGTATGGTTTCGAGGGGGACATAAGATGGTACTATTGGTTTGACTTTGAAGATTGGTTTTATTTGAAGATTACGTGAAGGTCACCTTCAATTTCTTAAATGGTACCTACATTTTCTCATTACATATTCTTGTAGCTTATCTTGAGAGCTTTCCAAAACACTATAATTAAGTATCTTTACGTTAAATACTTCTTGAGTTATAAGGCTTGAAATCATTTCTTAATTTTACATAAACCATAAAATATCTTGTAAAATATTCATTTTTCGATTATCTTACCTTAATACTTTTATGTACAAAATAATGAGAGGAATCAATTGGTGTAAAGAAAACACATAGTTGCTTCTAAGAAAAAATATATAATTTGCAATTAACAATTCCATATTTTTTCTTAAAAACAACTGTATGTTTTTTCTTTACACCAATGGATTTCTCTCATTATTTTGTACATAAAAGTATTAAGGTAAGATAATCGAAAAATGAATATTTTACTAGATATTTTATGGTTTATGTAAAATTAAGAAATGATTTCAAGCCTTATAACTCAAAAAGTACTTAACAAAAAGGTACTTAATTATAGTGTTTTGGAAAGCTCTCGAGATAAGCTACAAGAATATGTAAAGAGAAAATGTAGGTTCCATTTAAGAAATTGAAGATGACCCTCATGTGACCTTCAAATAACTCTTCAAGGTCAAATCAATGGTACCATCTTATGTTCCCCTCGAAACCATACAACTTTTGTCCGAAACATTTTTGTTTGCTGGGCTTAGTTTTTGAGATATTTTACTGTCCAAGTTAAAATGGGACACCCTGTATATTCACTCATTTCTTCTTCTCGACAAGAAGATCAAGTCGTTGGGACGATCCGACGCGCACCGCACCCCTGGCCACGCCGGAGACGCTGTCGGAGGCCTCGACGAGCAGCCCACCTTCGCCGGTGGTACCGGTGCCTAGACCGATGAGACGCACACCCAAGATTCCGGGAAACTTGTCGACGGCGGCGGACGATCTCAAGAACAATCTGCACTACGCGATGCTCTCGGCCAAGAACTATTTCCTCAGGACGACGGGGGAGCACGCGGGGGGCAGCAACAATGGCAGCAGTAGCGGTAATAGCGAGGCGAGCTACGAGAGCGCCAAGAGCCTCGCCGCCGCTGGTCTTCCGCCGCCGGTCCCGAGACGACGAGATTCCGTCACCGTTAGAAGGTAGGGGAAACCTCCGCTTGGTCCCCTGATGGTCTTCTCTCTTCATGAATGCTGAAACAGAGACTGAATCAGAGAACCATCACAGCTTACCTAGCGTAGCTCATGCTTCCTAATATTTGCCAATGAAATGTCCAGGTTTAAGAAAGGATGTATATTTGATGTATACCCAGCAAACACCAAGTAACATTTATATAATTGTTAGTTATTCCCCACTGAACAATATAACTGTTTCATAACAGTTAATATAACTGTTATATAACATTTATATAACTGTTAGTAATTTTCCGCTCAACGATATAACTGTTGCATGTTAGGTAACTGTTACATAACATGTAACAGTTATATTGTTGAGTGGGAAATTATAACCAACAGTTATATAACAGTTATACAGTATCTACCAAAAGTTCCGGGTCGAATATTTCATAAACTATTCACTTTAGAAAGAAATGTTTCAGACAAAAGTTGTATGGTTTGAAGGGGGCCATAAGATGGTGTCATTGGTTTGACCTTGAAAAATCGTTTGAAGGTGACGTGAAGGTCACCTTAAATTTTTTAAATGGAACCCTCTATTTTTCTCTACATATTCTTGTAGCTTATCTCGAGAGCTTTCCAATACACTATAATAAAGTATTTCTTTATTGAGTACTTTTCGAGTTATGAGGCTTGAAATAATTTCTTTCTTGAAATAATTTCTTTCTTTTACATAAACCATAAAATATCTAGTAAAATATTCATTTTTCGATTATCTTATCTTAATACTTTTATGTACAAAATAATAAGAGGAATCCATTGGTGTAAAGAAAAAACATAGTTATTTTTAAGAAGAAATATGTAATTTGCAATTAACAATTACATATTTCTTTTTAAAAACAACTATACGTTTTCTTTATACCAATTGATTCTTTTCATTATTTTGTACATAAAAGTATTAAGGTGAGATAATCGAAAAATGAATATTTTACTACATATTTTACAGTTTATGCAAAATTAAGAAATTATTTCAAGCCTCATAACTCGAAAAGTACTCAATAAGGAAATACTTTATTATAGTGTTTTGGAAAGCTCTCGAGATAAGCTACACGAATATGTAATAAAAAATAGGTGGTTCCATTTAAAAAATTGAAGGTGATCTTCACGTGACTTTCAAACGACTTTCCAAGGTCAAACCAATAACACCTTATGGTCCCCTTCAAACCATACAACTTTTGTCTGAAACATTTCTTTCTAAAGTGCATAGTTTATGAAATATTCGACCGTTCCGGAACTTTAGTAGGTACTGTATAACTGTTACTTGATGTTTGCTGATTGGGATATAAAATATAACGTAATAGTGACGTACACATATCCTTGCAGAGAACAACGAACGTGCACAGCGGCGTGTTGCAGGGACGACCTGTCGGAGAACTCGTCGACCCGTACATCGTCGCACTCCTCGAGAGTGTCTCACACTTCGCATCGCGTTCAGGTGGAGTTCAATGAGGAGGAGGTCGACACCAATGGCTCCAGCTTAGACTTTTACGAAGCGAAGGTAACCAAGGAGAACCAATACATGCCTCTTGACGACAAGAAATACCAGTATGTTTGTCTAATGCACAATGATTGCTGATCCTTTCACACTTTTAGGGTTCCTCCGGTCAGCGCGATAGTAGCAACGACGTCTTTCTCAGCGTACGCAGTTCACCAGAGTGCAAAGGGCTCATGGCACCGGCTACGGATTTAGGCGCCGAATGGAAGAAGGGAATCGACGCTGTGAGCGGCGACGCCTCGTTACCACTTCTCCGGGGTTTATCGCCCACGCCGACCCCTGGTCAGCACAGTTCACCCTTCTTCAACGCCAAGCGGAAGAAGTACGTGTATCCCATCACGCTGGTGGGACGTGGAGAAAGCAGCGTCTAGTCGTAGGCTCTAGATAAGAAGAACATCGTCCTTTTTAATCAACAAAGAATTGCGGTGCCAATCGGAGTCGAACAAGTGAAATAGAAGAGCCGCTATCGTCGTGGTCTGATTTTCCTAAATCTGGGAGAAACAATAATTGCAAAAGTACTTTAGCTCGTCGAATTGAAATTAAATCCACTCGAGGACCACAGACCATCTTTAGTAGTAATAGTAGTAGTGGTGAAGAATCGACATTCGGATACATGTGCCAAATCTCTCTGTTCTTTTTCTCCTACTTCTTTTTTAATCTATCAACTTCTCAAATAGCGATCTACTCAAACGGCAGTTCAAAAGACGTATGAAAAATTGGAACGCCGTTAAAATATCTCTTACAGAGTGTGTTGTCTAGGTCATCTTTGTTTCAATAAGTTCAGGTAGTCCTCAATCACTTTTCTGTCTTGATACATGTATTTCACACAATCAAATATTACTATTCCATATTTCATTCGTACTTTAATAGCCGAATATATAAATATATTCGTATGTTCTTCACATAAAATCAGTTTAGCAGTTGTTTTAATCATTGAAACAAAGTATATAAAATATATAAAAAATACTGAAATATTGAAAATAAATATTGAAAGATATGAAAAGATTTAAAAGCGATTTAAATCTTTTTAAAAAAGATTTAAATGCGATTAAAAAATTGGATAATTATACAGAATGTAGGACATCCATCTTTCAAGAGTCTCAGTTTCATACGGAATAGAATCTGCTTTGATTCCAAGCCCAACAAACACCAAGTAACAGTTATACGGGGTAGACTAAACGTCTGAATACAGTCGAATATCTCGTATAGAATGCATTTTGGAACAAAATGCTTCAGACAAAAGTTGTAAGGATTAAAAAGATGTATTTAATTGTAATATCCATTTGACATTGAGTGGCGTCGCCAAGGTCAGGGCAAGGTCAACTTGAATTTTTTTAATGGAACCCCCTATTTTTCATTGCATTTTCTTGTAGCTCATCTCGAGAGCTTTCCAAAACACTATAATTAAGTTAGTTTTCATTAAGTACTTTCCGAGTTATGAGGCTTGAAATAATTTCTTAATTTTACATAAACCATAAAATATCTAGTAAAATATTCATTTTTCGATTATCTTATCTTAATACTTTTATGTACAAAATAATGAAAGGAATCAATTGGTGTAAAGAAAACACATAGTTATTTCGAAGAAAAAATGTATAATTTGCAATTAACAATTAAATATTTTTTCTTAAAAGTAACTATGTGTTTTCTTTACACCAATTGATTCTTCTCATTATTTTGTACATAAAAGTATTAAGGTAAAATAATCGAAAAATGAATATTTTACAAGATATTTTATGATTTATGTAAAATTAAAAAATGATTTCAAGCCTTATAACTCAAAAAGTATTTGAGGGAAAAATAATTTATTATAGTGTTTTGGAAAGCTCTCGAAGTAAGCTACAAGAATATGCAATGAAAAATAGGGGGTTCCATTTAAAAAATTCAAGTTGACCTTGCCCTGACCTTGGCGATGCCATTCAATGTCAAATGGATATTACAGTTAAATACATCTTTTTAATCCTTACAACTTTTGTCTAAAGCATTTTGTTCTAAAATGCATTTTATACGAGATATTCGACTGTATTCAGACTTTTGGTCAACCCTGTATAATTATTAGTTATAATTTCCCACTCGACAATATAATTGTTATATAACAGTTATATAACATGCAACAGTTATATTGTTGAGTGGGAAATTATAACTAACAGTTAAATGACTGTTACTTGCTGTTTGCTGGGAAAGTATCAGAGAAAAAAATAGAAAATGTGTATCTGCGACTAACTACGAAATATCTTAGTCAAGATTAAAAGATATACTGCGTATGGCAGTAGCGGCCTATTCCGCATCGATATTATTTCTTAAGAATATAATAGACAGATTATTGATTTTTATACATTTCTAAATGTGAATTCGAGTAAAAAACTCTTGTACCTTCCGTTCGATTTTTCGATATAATTTCTATTGTTCTTATAATTTATTAAAACTCTTTCTATTACTCTTTATATGATCGAGTTAATTTAATGCTAATATATAAAGCGAACGAAGGAATATTTCGAGAAACGTTATCGCGATTATCGCGATGGTGGAAAAAAAAATGCAACCGGTCGAGTATATTGAGACTCTTTTTGGGAAAATATACCCAAGAGTCATAATTTCGACTGTATTGCACTGTACTTATGTAAAAAAAAAAAAACAAAAAAACTATCAGCATTTAATTCTAGTCAGTAACTTATAACTTATGTTTAGAAAATGTAATATTTATTGCCACCTCTTGTAATATATACATATATATATTTATATATAGTGTCCCTTTAGGAAAAAAAAAAAACTTACATAGAGTTGATTTTAATGTAATAAAATTATAAGAAATAAACGATGAAGAGAAACAGGAATATTATCTTTGCATAGAAAGTGTATCCAGTCCATTGTTCGCACATTCAGATAATCTTGAAACATTGCGTATCGCGTAATAAATTATGACTGTAATGGATCTTCATCATTATTCATTCATATTCTTATGGGGATTTTTTTGTACAGTATAAATAATCGTCATTCACAACACATAATTATTATTTCAATTTCAAACGTTAAAAGTTTCTTTGCACTCGCGTACACAAATTGAAGATGTTAATGGAACAAGTCGCGCGGAGCTTTACCCTCACTGCATGGCACTTGCCCACGGTGGTGTCATGGGTTGCGGATTTTGCAGATAAGACATCACCACCGCCGATATGGACAGCATGAAGCAGCTGAGGATCTGCTTGGTGTCTTCGCTGACACGCGAATTGGCAAAGCTGATGCAAGAGCAGTAAAGCGCCACCCAGGCGCACCATTTCAGTCTCATCATCAGGCCGCACATGCTGAAGATCATTCCTATAACGTTCATGTAGTCTGGCGTCAAGTCATCCTGCATTTGCCCTTGATTATTTGAACCAGGTGGCTTGTAACGGACTTCCTTTTCAGGTCGTCTGGGATCTGTCGAGCTATTCATCCTGGAGATCTGCAATATAATGCACTAAATAGTAGCGTCTATTATATTTGTCAATAAAAAGGGCTAATAATATGCAATTAGTCGCCCAAGTTTAGCACTAATTTTATTATTTTTTTTTCTCTGCTTCATGAAAATTATTGCTCTAAAATGTTTTTTTCAATCTGATATCAAAACCATGAGTTTTTACTTGATCATTGGAGAAATTACAATCCTAATCAAGTCATCTTTAAATATAATAGTCCAATTTTGTTTGCACATGAATGTAAAAAGTTTAAAGAAAATATTTAAATATCTCTCACATGATATAAATGATTATTATTTATACAGAATTTTTATAGTAATGACAGTAAATAATGATGACAATCCATTATAGTAGTTCATCATAATATTTTAAATTATTGAATATTTATTGATGTAGATTTTTTTATTAATAAACAATAATTTTTTTTTAGGAAAGCAACGACATGCTTACACGTGAATTGATTAAATGATATCGTGCAAGGTGGAAAATTATTCAAACGATCACTATTTCAACCATTCCTCGCGGACACGATTACTTGCAATCACATGCAACCTGAACAGCTGATTCGACGCTTGGAATGACACACGTTGTCATTTTGGATGTATTCGAAAATCCTACGAAAGGTAAGCGTTAATCGTGACCAATCATGAAAGCAGCAAAGATTTCTTGGTCCTGATTGGTCAATTAAATCAGACTCTATCCCACAAGTAGAATTTCTGAACGTATCTATTGGAGAGAAATCTCAATAAATTATGCGCATGCGTGAAATAAAAGCGCGCGAATAAATGAATTTTAACAGCATAAAAATAATCTGATACACACGAAAATAACTTACTTATCTATTCAGTAAAGAAACTTTTTATTAATTGTTTTATATTTTTTTTCTATTCAATTTTCTTTATTTGAGTCGAAAAAAATATGCTCATTTTATTTTTATCTCACTTTATTTCCTTTTTTTCCTCTTTTCAATTTAATGGAAAATGCAAAAAAAATGTGGAAAAAATGAATAAATCTAAATTTAATAATTAAAGATTTAGCTTAAATAATCAATAAATCTAAAATTTTACCGAAATCTTATATATAAATCTAAAAGCTTACACGCGTTATTATACAATATATTTACAATTCCATACATTTTTCTAAAATTGTAGCTATATATATTCCATACTTTTCATTATTTTCTTACGTTCTCTGTCTTTTCACTGTTTTTGCTATCTGTAGCATCACTAGAATCAGTTATTTGTTTCACAGATTTTTCACTCTTCGGCAATTTTAACAAAAGCTGGGACGCTTTTTGCGGTATCAAACCTGCGACGACATATCTGCCTTCCTCATTGACGAAATTGAACACGGTGCACGCATTGTGCACGGAAACTATTTCCGTGGTGATACCAAACTTTTGCACCATTTCTCGGAGATTTTTCAGGAAAAGAAAATCATATACGTCGTCCAAACCGATGATTAAGAGATCAGGTTTTGGCACAAGGATGGTAAATAGCGATAAAGACGCGTCGTTTATGTGTTTCCCAGACTCGACGTTCCAGCACATGGCGTACCTTGGGAAGAGCATCATTGGCCCTATCACTCGTGTGCCAGTGTTGAACGTAAATCCTGTCTTAAAGATAAAAAGAATCAATTCAATCAATATAATCAATATAATTTAAAAGAATCAATTCAATAAATATAATTAATATAATTTAAAAGAATCAATATAAATTAATATAAATTTAAAAGAATTAATTCAATCAATATAATCAATATAATTTAAAAGAATCAATTCAATAAATATAATTAATATAAATTTGAAAGAATCAATTCAATAAATATAATTAATATAAATTTAAAAGAATCAATTCAATAAATATAATTAATATAAATTTAAAAGAATCAATTTAATCAATATAATTTAGAATTTGTCTTTTGAATGAAGATAAATGTATATGAAAGATGAGCTGTTGGCTTTTTTATTTTATTAAATTAATGACATAAATTGAGCTCACCTCATCACATCGAGTTATCAAAAGTCGAGAACCCAGCTCTTTGCGGATGAATGTGACGGTGGTTTTTCCAGGACCTTCGTACCCATTTCTTATACATGTGGTGTGTAAATGCCTATGAAAAATTATAGATATATTATTTATCTATGATTTTATACAAATCAGTTTCATATAAATTGATCTGAGAAGGAATATAATTTTATGCTGACAATTTTAAATTAATATAAAAAGAACAGAGAAGGATACAATTTTATGCTGGACAATTTTAAATTAAAATTATCAGTTTTGTCTTTGAACATTCAAAATAAATACACTAATTTAACGAGTTTTATGTCTTACATTAGCGTAAATTTCATTAATTAAAATGAATTTAGATTGTCATGTCATGATTCAAAAGATTATAGGTATATTATTTATCTATGATTTTATACAAGTCAGTTTCATCGAATAAACTTGATATAATAAAAAGAATAGAGAAGGATACAATTTTATGATGGACAATATTAAATTAAAATTATCAGCTTTCTCGTTGAATGTTCAAGGTAAACACACTAATTTGACGAGTTTTATTTCTTAAATAAGCGTAAATCTCATTAATTAAAATGAATTTACATTGTTATGTCAAGATACAAAAGATTACAGATATATTATTTATCTATGATTTTATACAAGCCAGTTTCATCGAACAAACTTGATGTAAAAAATAAGAAAGGATACAATTTTATGCTGGAGAATTTTAAATTAAAACTATTAGCTTTCTCTTTGAACATTCAAGGCAAATACATTAATTTGACGAGTTTTATTTCTTACATTAGCGTAAATTTCATCAATTAAAATTAGAATGTTATAATACCATGATACAATACCCGGTGTCTTTAATTAACTTTTATTTACCCTCGTAACTTTAAACATTAAAACAAGTGTTACTTATTTAAAAAAAAAAAAAAAAAAAAAGTACTCTTTCATTTATAATAAATGAATAAATGAATAATTTATGATAAAACGCCGGTTTAACTCACCTACAACTTTGCAACGTCTGTCTTAATTGACCCAATTTCCTGATCGCATTCATCGCGTTATCTCGAGATCAAATTACAATCATTAAAATAAAAATCTGCAGGAGCGAACAAATAGACAAATATATCTCCTACGACGGTATTAAACACTGTTCGATCATGATCAGCTGTTTTGCTCATAGGTTAGGTTTCCTACGATATGAGTTTCTCTCTCTCTCCCCCTCCTTCCTTCCCTCCCTCCCCCCTCTCTCTCTTTCCGATTGATTCGTGCGAGAAAAAAATCAGTTTCGGAATTTTTCGACGAAATAAGATCGTTGTCGCATCTTGGGAGTCTCTATCTGGTGTCTATCTCCCGCAAGATTTTCGTGAAAAATCGAAACAACAATTCTAGCGATTCAAAATCGCATGATGGCGTGTTCGATGAGAGACGCCCCTTCCTGTTTTTACAGTATATTTTTAGCAATATCGCGTATAAATACTCCATCGCGAAGATACGTTATTTTCACGTTAACGCCGATTAGCATCGATCGTATCGAAAATGTACCGAGGCTGCTGGAAATTCGACGAGGAGGACAAAGGTGAGCGCGCGCGCGCGACCCTCTCTCTCTCTCGCTCTCTCTCTCTCTCGCTCCGATCGATTCGTGAAAATCGTGCGGAGGAAAATCGGCTTCCAGAATTTTTCGCTGAAATAACATCGTCGTCGTCTAGTCTCCACCTCTCGCGATGTTTACGCGAAAGTTGGAAATGAACACCCGGTATAGTTGGCGATTCAAAATCGCATCATGGCGTGTTTGAGAGGCGTCCCCTCCCCCAACGAACCTCTAGTAACATTGATATAATTGCAATCGTAATTTCCCACTCGGCAATATAACTGTTACATAATTGTTACATGTTATATAACAGTTATATAACGTGTAACAAATATGTAACAAAAATAATGTCGAGTGCGAAATTTCAATTACAATTATATAAATGTTACCTGGCGTTCGCTGCGCCTGTCTTATACGGTGTATTTTTAGCGATATCGCATATAAATAATCCATCGCGAGAATGCGTTATTTTCGCGGCAACACCGGCATCGATCGTGTCGAAAATGCGCAGGGGATTCTGGAAATTCGATGAGCTGAACCTCAAAGGTGAGCGCGCGCGCGCGCGATCTCTCTCTCTCTCTCTCGCTCGCTCGCTCGCTTTCGCTCTCTCTCTCTCTCGCTCGCTCGCTCTCTTGTTTTGAGAAAAATTCATGAGGGTCGTATCCTTTTGCCCTGCGAATTTACGTATCGGGTTTCGATGACACGTCAATTTGACGTTTGACGCTTGACAACACCTGACATCCTCTCGAATACGTAATGAGAATTTTGTCATCTTTATCCCCGATGTAATATTCGATATACGTGTGGAAAAGTGTTAATAATAATATATATAATAATAATAATATATAATAATAATATATTTAATACTTTTCCTTGGGAGAAGAGGGAAAAAAGTCTTTGATTGATCTGTGACGAGAATTGACATTAATATCGTCTAAAAATAATTAGCATTCAAGGTAAAAACGCAAAAGTGGGACAAGGAGAGGGAGCACGTAGATATTTATTAGTCTATATAAGCCTAGCGTGAGTAGTTTGCGAGGAATAAAGGAGAATTTCTTCTTCTGTTGAAGCCTTGTACATAGATCTGGAGGAGGACCCAGAGGAGGATAAGCTCTGCAAGGAGTACAGCAGCTGGGATCAGATTCCCGACATCCTGCTGGAGGAGATCTTCTCATACCTGACCATTCGAGAGCGTTACTATGCGTCCCTGGTGTGCAGAGCGTGGTATCGCGCCTTCAAGCTGCAGAATGTATGGTCTACGTTCACCCTGGAGGATACCACTCTCACGCGAGGGAAGTTCAACTATTACAGCGGCTGGCAGTATGTCCTGGATCATATAAGAACGTCCACGTGTCTCAACAAAGTCGGCAAGAACTTTCGCTCGCTCATATTCGAGCCTATGTTGAACTTCTACAACCTCTACGAGTTTATGAACATGATATCGTGGTACACTGAGCAGCAGGGCTTGGACAACACGTCCGTGGCGGGCGTGGGCACCTATATTCGTAGGCTGAAGTTCACCTTTCCTTGTAACATGGCGAATAGGAACGATCCTGATCGAATCAGACTCTTTGGCACAGGTGGAAAGCTGCTGGAAGCGCTCAAGAGGCTTATGAGAAACTTGCAGAATCTCAGGTGCCTGGAGCTGATAGATCTGATGCTTGAGAGCAACGAAGCCGTACATTTAATGGATGACATTTGTGTAAATTGCACTCAGACACTGTCGAAATTGATACTGATAAATACCACGCGTTACAATTGCCCCTTGTTACACGTGGGAGTATTTGTTAATTTAAACGTGAGTACATCAAGTATTATAGAGTTGTTTTCTGATGTATTTATTTCTCCAGTATTTATTATTTATTTTATTTTATTTTATTATTTATTTATTATTATTTTATTATTTTATTTTATTATTTATTTATTATTATTTTATTATTATGGTATATTATATAAAAAAATATATTTTTCAGGTCTTAGTTATTAGTCCCCAGAATTTGCACGAGGATGTGATAGAGTTGATAGGCTACACAAAATTAAAGCATCTTCACATCTTGCAAAATCGATATAGTCCAAAAGATACCACCATAAGATTGGTAATTGCAATTTTTATTCTCATACATTAATCGTATCGTGTTAAAGAGTACTTATTTGACTTCATTTTTTTTCTGTTTCAGCCAAAGAGATCGTCTTGGGTAAAGATGAGAGCGAATAATCCTTATTTAAAAGTACATTTTGAGGTAGAGAGCCATAAAGCCACGGATATACTTTTGCCTATCGACTTACTAGAGCACAGCGCTATACCGTGCCATAGTATCATATTGGATAATCCAAACACGCAAGTAAGAGAGATAATACTGCGTCCATATCCAAGAGAAAAAAGTACAGGGAAACTTGTGCTATAGTATTTATTATTTATTTGATTTTATTATTTATTTATTTATTATTTTATTATTTGATTTTATTATTTATTTATTATTATTTTATTATTATTTATTATTTATTATATTTTATTTTATTTTATAGTTATAGTATTTTATTTTATTTTATTTTATAGTTGTAGTATTTTATTATTTTATTTATAGTATTTATTATTATGGTTTTGCAGATTTTGCCATCCACAGTGCTTACTCACGGGGCGTTCTTCGATTCGACGATACGAGTGTACGCTTTTAAGGGAGTAACGAGGTATTATCTGCACAGGAACTTCGCTAAGAGATTGGACGAGGCGTTAGTGCAATTCTGCCGAATGTGCCCGAACCTTCATACACTGGTAGCATTTTGTATTTGAATCGACACATGTGATAGCTTTCCTAAAAGGTGCTAACTGACGTTAACGATGCGAGTTTATGATGTGCTGGCATGTCCTCACGCATTACGAAAGTCTTTCTTGCTATTGCGTGAACGTAAGTGCCTCCTAACTATTCTAGGCTTATTTCCCTCAATGTGACACCCATTAAAAATATCTGTGTCTATCCTCAAGTAATCTCGCAAGCTTCTCTCAGCCCTCTTTTGTTGCACAATGTATTCCAAGGTGTAGAAATGTTTTTTCTTATTTATATACATTTATACACAATAGCCAATTAAACAAGTGTTTCACGAGTTTCTCAGAGCTGATGCTGGTATAAGATTTTCTTAGTTTATAAGATACATTCTAGATGCAATTTCATATTGAAGATGGATCTTATTCATCATCTAGCTTCCAAATGCCTCTAATATAACAATAATTACTAATTATTAATTATTAAAAAAATTGTATGCGCTGTATCATTTTTTTTATCTTTATCCATATATTTTTACAACTTTTTTGATGACACATGCTAACATTTCGTCCGCAGATGATACGAGATAAAATATCAACGGCTACGATTCTAGAGATCGTCTCTACCGCGAAACGCTTACGTTGCTTGTACGTTCGGCGAAACGTTGTCCTGAAGAAATGCGACAGAGCCTGGTCGAAGATCCTGGATTGGTCACCCGAGTATTATCGATGGGTAAAGATAAACAGCCGTAATTACGAGAGCACGGAGAGAGAAGTATCAAAGATGTTGGGCTATCGGTGGCACATGCTATCCGAGAAAGAATTTAAGACACAAACGCTTAATTTGCACATGTAGGCCGACATATTTTATGTATACAGGGTGTTTCAGACCACCCGTACCACTCATTTAAAAACTAGAGAAGTGGTTATTTCAAAAAAATAAAAACATTTTCTTCATAAATCAGGTGCGCTCTATCGAATGGTGATATTTTCAACTTTTGGTTCCGGCCGGAAATAGGCGATTCAGACTGGAAGTGCATTTTTTTTTAATGGAACCCCCTATTTTTCATTGCATATTCTTGTAGCTTACTTAATACTTTTATGTACGAAATGATGAGAGGAATCAATTGGTGTAAAGAAAACACAGTTGTTTTTAAGAAAAAATAATTGTTAATTGCAAATTATATATTTTTTCTTAGAAACAACTATGTGTTTTTCAACACTAATTGATTCCTCTCATTATTTGGTACAAGTATTAAGATAAGATAATCGAAAAATGAATATTTTACAAGATATTTTATGGTTTATGTAAAATTAAGAAATGATTTCAAGCTTCATAACTCGAAAAATACTTGATGGAAAAATAATTTATTATAGTGTTTTGGAAAGCTCTCGAGATAAGCTATAAGAATATGCAATGAAAAATAGGGAGTCCCATTTAAAAAAATACACTTCCGGTCTGAATCGCCTATTTCCAGCCTGAATTAGAAATTGAAAATATCACCATTCGATAGAGCGCACCCGATTTATAAAGAAAATGTTTTTACTTTTTTGAAATAACCACTTCTCTAGTTTTGAAATGGGTGATATGGGTGGTCTGAAACACCCTGTATAACGATCTATACGTGTAAAAAAAAAGAAACTTGCTTGCGAGTTTTTATAATCTCTTAAAAATCTTTTGTATATATATAATTTATTATATATGTTATATATTTATATATTTTAATGTGCAATTTTACGACAAATGTGCAAAGATTGTTACCGTGACTGTATGCTTAAAGTTTGCGATAATGTTCATAATTGCAATGTTATTTTTATTTAACACTGCGTCAAAATTGTGATGATTTATCATTATGGATATGTCGAGAGAAAGAGAGAGAGAGAGAGATTGAGAAATGTACTTAATTATTTCGTCGTGTGCGATTACATTATTATCGTTATACAGTATTCTTGAAGCGACTGTGATCGACGTTTTTAATCGCGGAAGACAGTGGGATCTGCTAAACATACGTTGGACTGTTCTTTATAAAAATTTGGCAAGTTTGACAAATAATAAAACAGAGGAAGTGTAATAATTTGACGCGTTTACATTTATCCTTACGCTCTAGCTTTTATTTTATTTAAACATGTATCATTACAACTTACACTTAATTATGTACAATGATAGGAAATATTTCATACGGCTTTTAATCGTGTATGTATACGTTACTGTTAATATGCGAAGAAAATCTCTGATAATTGTATCTTGTGTGTTATAGTGAAAAAAATCTGTTTTCAAACATGAGACAAAAATTCCGTACATAGCAATTAAAACACTATATAGTTTAATCACAACGTAATATATAATCCAAAAAAAAACAACAACGATGATAGTATATAATAAACAGTTTAAAACATTGCAATAATCAGTGTGTTTGAGTCAATACATTTACTGAGAAATAATTTATGTAAAATAAAAATATATATATTAACAGTATTACCATTGTATATACATATATTTAGACTTGTATATACACATGTGGATTAAATACTATTAAGTAAAGGTGAAGCTGCTAAAAAGCGGCGACAGATAGAATCGCGTACAGAATTTTTTATCGGATAGAAGACGTACATGCATGGAATATATATCTGTACAATTTCGATTCGACTGGCAATTTTGACATCCAAAAAAAATGCTAATTTGCGCTATTAAATGTAGTTACAATAAATTAACGAGGAGCAAGAATTTAAATATACTTGCATTACACTAAAGTAACATCAGGCAGCCAGCGTAGGAGCAGAAGTGTGATTACTGTGCCATGGCTGGGGATCGCTTATCGCGGCTCTTGTTGCGCTGAATGGTGCGTGCCTTGAACGCAGCCGCGTTCATCAACGTCTTTGGATTGAGAATGAGAGAAACAAATCAGTCGTGTTGCTAAAGTAAGCGATTTCTTCCACAAATCTCAAGGGATACCTACTCTTTCTAATTTACTCGTTTTCACCGTTACTAATGGAGGTAGAACTTTGTTGCCAAGATGGAAAATCTCGCGCAGGAGTTGGTTTTCAGCAAGATGGATATTGATACCAGGGCCTAACAGCCGGCAGCAGGCGTTGTACTGAGTCCTCGTGCACCACCCCTCTAAATACAAGATCTCTTTGCCGAATCTCACATGCATCTCCGGAACGATGTCTTCCTGAAAGTGGGAGAAGCAGAAGACGCCTCGTTATATCTTTGACCTGGAATCTCTATGTCTCTTGCTTCTCAAGATCCTGTTTAAACAGTATAACTTACTTCGATGTAACGCAGAATATCTCTAAAATTAGCGCGCTGCTGCTTGCGATCTTTCTTAGCTCGATACTTGTTGGAATCCGTGGCGAGTTCCTTGAGAATTTCAACAAGGTCAAGCGCCCAGTCTTGCTCGTAGTCGGTGGAAAAGTCACGGCCGAGTTCGAATATCACGGCGAGTGCCTCACCAGCTGACAGGCGTACGTCGAGGTGTGGCGATTCCAGCAATTCGCGCAATCGATTGAGAGAGCTGGAGGATGAAGGAACAAGTTTTAGAAGAGAAGAACTGCTCGGGACGTAGAGCACACGTGGGACACGCCGACGACTTACGGCATGTAACTGTTGGTTCTGCCACTCGCCAGCAAATTGTAGATGTCCGCGGAGGTGATGACCGTCAGAAGTAGAGTCCAGGATGAGATGGCCGCCGCATGTAACGCCGCCACGTCCGTGGATATGTTTGCGATCGCGCCATTGCCTTTCAAGTAGGACCCGGAGAAGATGGACGACAGTAACTGCATGATTTCCATGGTATCAGTCGCATCGTTGCCAGACAAGAACTGATTCATGGCTAACGCCCAGCAACACTGGAAAATGCAACGCGTTAACGTAAGCTCATCTCTGTGGCTGATCTAAACAACTGTATCCAATCTGTATCTAACAGAATCATGTATACAGGGTGTTTCAGGCCATCCGTACCATCCATTTAAAAACTACAGAAGTGATTATTTCAAAAAAGTAAAAATATTTTCTTTATAAATCGAGTGCGCTCTATCGAATGGTGATATTTTCAACTTCTGGTTCCGGCCGGAAATAGACGATTCAGACCGGAAGTGGATTTTTTTAAATGGAACCCCCTATTTTTCATTGCATATTCTTGTAGCTTACCTCGAGAGCTTTCCAAGACAGTATAATAAATTACTTTTCCATAAAGTATTTTTTGAGTTATGAGGCTTGAAATCATTTCTTAATTTTACATAAACCATAAAATATCTTGTAAAATATTCATTTCTCTATTATCTTGCCTTGATACTTTTATGAAATAATGAGAGGAATCAATTGGTGTAAAGAAAACACATAGTTGTTTCTAAGAAAAAATATGTAATTTGCAATTAACAATTCCATATTTTTTCTTAAAAACAACTGTATGTTTTCTTTACACCAATTGATTCTTCTTATTATTTTGTACATAAAAATATTAAGGTAAGATAATCGAAAAATGAATATTTTACAAGATATTTTATGGTTTATGTAAAATTAAGAAATGATTTCAAGTCTCATAACTCGAAAAGTATTTGATGGAAAAATAATTTATTATAGTGTTTTGGAAAGCTCTCGAGGTAAGCTACAAGAATATGCAATAAAAAATAGAGGGTTCCATTTAAAAAAATGCACTTCCGGTCTGAATCGCCTATTTCCGACCGGAACCAGAAGTTGAAAATATCACCATATTCGATAGAGCCCGATTTATAAAGAAAATGTTTTTACTTTTTTTAAATAACCACTTCTCTAGTTTTTAAATGGGTGATACGGGTGATCTGAAACACCCTATTTCTAGACCTACTTCGGCGCGAGCGTGGACAGGTGCGGTGTTATCGTTGGCGATGAAGGTGAGGGTCGACTTGAGGTCCCTGCAGACCATCTCGGCGCTCTCAAACGCCCCCAGCTGAACGCAGAGCAGAGTGCTCAGCCTGGCTGCGGTAGACTGCTCGTCGCCTCGTCCCTTCTTCAAGCTACGCTCCACGGCATCCGTGATGGTAATCTTTCTATCCTCGACGAAGTCTGGGATGTATTTGATGGCGAGGATCTTCTCTATGCCGTTGAAGCAGATGACCCTTCCCTTGGCGCTCTTCTGCGTTAGCCCGTCAATCGCTTCCTTCAGCTTCTCCTCGAACGCCTCCTGCTGCGCCAGCTCGTCCACCTCGTTGTCGTTCGCGTCCTCCAGCATGCTACGGTTGTCGGATTGGCCGCTGGTCTCGCTACACGCATCATTGTTAACCGAGTCCTCGTCGGATGTACACTCAGCTCTTTTTCCACCTGCCAGGACACGAGTACAATTTAAGAATGCGGTTCATAGATGTATAGCTTGATGTATCCGGCATCAAGATAATGAATCTTGATGTTGACATTCCTCTAGCTCAATTTTCACGAGTCCTCATCTAGACGTTAATTGCGACTAGCTTTAGCTAAAAAAAGCATGAAACTGTGCGAAATGATTCACGTATGTCTGGTAAGATGCTACGACTGATGCCATATGGGATAACGAGTTTTGCGCATATATTTGCGAATACCTAGCATCTATTAATAATAATAGGTGATTTTAATTCTGTTGTCTCTTCTCAGAGGAGAGCGTGACTTCCCATACAGCACAGAATGTTGCAGCAATATTATTAATATTACTATAACATTGCAGCAACATGGCAATATTGCAGCAATAATATTACAATAATATTGCAATAATATTACATTATTACAATATTATTGTTGCAATATTGCAATGTTGTTACAATATTATAGTAATATTATAGTAATATTAATAATAATTGCTGCAATATTCTGTGCTAATAATGCAATATTATTGCAATATTAGCACAGAATACTATTAATATTATTAATATTATTATAATATTGCAACAATAGTCTCTGCTAATATTACAATAATATTGTAATAATATTACATTATTATTGCTGTAATATTATTGCTGTAATATATTTGTAATATTATTGCAATAATATTGCAATAATATTGCAATATTGCAACAATAATATTGTAATAATATTACAAAAATATTGCAACAAAATTACAATATTGTAATATTATTGCAATAATATTGCAATATTTCAGCAATAATATTACAATATTATTGTAATATTACTGAAATGTCTGTGCTGTATGGATTATCAGATAATAAATTTATTATCATTTTCTCTGTCAATTCTAGACCGATGCCGAGCATTTTGTACGTCGATCAAAGAGACCATGCGAATCTATCAGTATACGTAATTCGAGAGTACGCGAGAGGAATAATAACGCAGCTCTTGAAAGTGAATGCCGTGTTACATAACGTAAAGTGTACACAGCTGTTGTACACCATTAATTTTGTTTACGCGTTTCATAATGGATTATAATTACGAAAAAAAAAAGGATGAAGGGAGATTGCGACAGATTCACGTCGCGCATCTTCTCTTTCGCGGAAAAATGTCTCGCTTGAAATTAAAATTTGAAAACGAAGGATACTTATTGTCAGAGGTATTTGATTGAAACAACTACCTCGTGCATAATCTATACCTGTCGAAAGTTTCCTATCTTTGCAAAAAACTTCGCTCGAGCATCGCGAAACAGGAAAGTCATCGCGATCGCATAAATTTACGATTATTATTTCCAAGAAAGAGAGAGAACCTGCGTATATATTTTTCGACTATATATAAATTTTATCGATCGGAAAGGGATTGCATTATCGCGAGATTATTTATCGCCTCGAATCATCGGAGGCGGGGGTGAGAGAGGGAAACGGGGGCGGGAGGAGGGGGAAGAAGAGGAAAAACAAAACAAAAAAAAAGACCGCAAAAACAGCGATTTATCATATCGCGTCGCGTAAAAGCGACTGATTAAAATTCAAAGTTGAACAGTCGGTCGGGCAAAGGAGGGAGAGGGGGGGGACCTTGGTCGAGGGGCAGAGAAAAATATTTTTACCGCGCGAGAATACATGTGTATGCGTAAGAACTTATCTGCTCTCGATTAGAGTCGGGAACACGAGGCAAACGCGCGCGCGCACACACGCACACACACACATGTGCGCGCGTCATAAAAAAGATATCGACGACACGATTGCCGCGGATTGCGTAAATTTCTCTCGTCATCGTGTATACATATTTCAATCGTTCAAAACATCCTGGGATCGGATGAGATATCGAGCGACGTCGTCATTCGTACGTGAAAAAAAAGGACGCGAATCAGGACAAAAAAAAAGCGAAATTTAATTATTTTTTTGTTTCTAATAATTGTTTTTTTTTCATGACACTTTTGAATATATTTTTTTTACAAATGCAGGAACCCATACCGCACAGAGCATTGTAATATTGCAGCAATATTGCGCAATATTACAATATTGCTGAAATATTGTAATATTACTGCAATGTTATAACAATGTTCTATGCTGTATGGGAAGTAAGGTAGGAAATTTTTGATAGGTATCCCATACAGCACAGAACATTGCAATATCGCGGCAATATTGCAATATTGCTGTAATGTTACAAAAATATTAATAATATTGCCGCAATATTCTGTGGTGTCATGGGGTATAAAAGCCCATACAACACAGAACATTGCAGCAATATTGCAGCAACATTGTAATATTGCTGCGACATTGTAGTAATATTGTAATATTGCTGCAATGTTCTGTGCTGTATGGGAGAGCGTAAAAAAATGTACTTATTTATTTAATTAAATATATATCACTGCTAAATTAAAATAAATTCGAAGAATTGAGAAAAGACATATCTGAAATCAAAAATATCTCTCCTTCCATGATTCGAGGTTACCTTCCAGGCAATCCACATCATTACAGAAGCATCGATTATTTAATTGTGCGTAGGATACGATTGTAAGGCTAGTCCACAATAACTACAGTAAGCTTTGAACCATAAGAGAAATTAATTAATTATATTCAATATCATATTATTCTTCTTCAACTCTTCCTCAAATATGATTGAACAATATTTTAAGGCTTACTACACTTCATACAGCATAGAACATTATTGTTATATTGCCGCAATACTGCAGCAATAGATCATTGTTATGTTGCAGCAATATTGTGCAATATTGCAATTATTGCTGCAATATTACGACAATAATTGCAATATTGCCACAATAGATCATTGTTATGTTGCAGCAATATTGTGCAATATTGCAATTATTGCAGCAATAATTGCAATATTGCACAATATTGCTGCAACATAATGGTCTATTGTGACAATATTGCCACATTATTATTGCAATATTGCAATTATTGCCGCAATATTACAATTATTGCCGCAATATTGCGGCAATTAATGTAACAACAATGGTTTGTGCTGTATGGAACCTATTGTGATCGATTCTATCTACGGATTACGAGCCTCGCAATCTCGCAGAACGTCCCATAACCTCTCCCGTGAGCATATGTGCTCTAATGTCGAAAGCTTCCCTGACCCAATTCTCTCTCTTTCCCAAAATATTTGCACACCTCGTGCATTTTTCATTCCGATATATATCGAGCGAAATGCGAGGATCGACGTCTCGAATTACGCGTCGCGAAAATGTCCGAGAGAGAGCTCCATGTGCCAGAGGCATGAGAGTCACATGGGAATGGTCATGTCTGCCATGGCTGCGAGAAAATCGTTCGCGGCCGGGTTTTCGCGCGAAACGAGAGGAGAGAAGAGCCCCCCGGGGGGAGAGGGGATCTCCTCCGAAGATGACGGATACGTCAATCTCACGATGACGTATGACACGTGCGCGGAGTGCGGGGGAGGGGGACAGCAGCTGGGAAATAAATATAAGATTTCCATTCCGCGCGGATGAATCATTGGAACGGACGGACGGACGGACGGACGGACGGACGGACAGGGCGAATCGATAATTTAATAAGAGTCGAGAGCGCGTCACGTGCTCCGCTTTTTCCTCATCAACGTCACACGAAGATGCTCTCTCCGCCTCTCTCTCTCTCTCTCTCTCTCTCTCTCTTTCCTCCTCCGAACCGAGGAGGAGAGAGGATCGATCGCGAGGAAATTCGCGACACTTGTCCTTACCGCACTTTCCTCTTCTGCCCCCTTTGCCTGGCATCGTTCCTCAGCTTGCTTATTGCACAATTGGTACTAGGTGAAAGACTCGATCAAGAGGGTAAATGTCTCGCACTAGTGTTTTTCTTTCGTATACTGAATACACCACGTGAATTTTTCGTTGGGAGCAGACGAAAACTCATTAACATGTTGCGAATCGTTCAGAACATACACGCCGAGACAGCCTTCGACGGGCTTTCTCAAGTGCACTGGCTGCCCTGTGCCTGATGTTCCGCTCTCTTCCACCTCCGGCCGCCCATCGGTCGCCCGAACTGCCGCGAATATAGCCGAGTTACCGAGCCAATCAGCTGTTCCGTTGCGTCATCTCGAGTCGCGCGGACTCGCGGCGGGAAATTTAAAAATTCCAATTGAAAAATTCATTTTTCGATTTATCTCGTGCAAAACGAATATTCAATACACTCAGTAATATTTAATAATTTAATATATTCAATAATACTAAATAATCAAAGGATTGTTGAAAAATGTAGTCGACCAAACTAGCCAGAAATTTAGTTTATTATTACGACGTTTCGACCATATGGTTGTGGTCCTTATCAAGTACATACTGCAAAGATTATAAATTGATAAATTAATTGACAATTTCAATATATAACACGCTCAACAAATTAAAATGTAACAATGTTAGTATACCGAAGCCATAAATCAGGAGGCCGGCATGGACGATGATCTTATAAATTGCACAAATCACATTAACAAAACGTTATTTTTTTAAAAATTTTTTATTAGAGAGAAATTGATGTGTCTGTGAGAGACTTCGTCAAGAGACTAAAAACAAACGCTATGAGACCGGACTATGTGACCTTTATTATTTTATCGTAAATATTATTTAAATTATCTGTCTTTCTGTAGGTTGATTAAATTATTATTAAATTTTTTGATGAAAAACATCTCAGCAATTTCTCTCTTTCGAACATATTTTTCGTTATGCAAAATATTAGGTTTCGACCAGTCAAAATCATGTCTAGATTCTAATCTATGTTTGCTAATAACCGAATGATTAGATTCGTGTAACTTTATATTGTTGCAATGTTCTTTTAATCGCGTACGTAAATGTGTACGCGATGTGTACGAAATACGTACGGGATTAAAAGAACATTGCAACAATATAAAGTTACACGAATCTAATCATTCGGTTATTAGCAAACATAGATTAGAATCTAGACATGATTTTGACTGGTCGAAACCTAATATTTTGCATAACGAAAAATATGTTCGAAAGAGAGAAATTACTGAGATGTTTTTCATCAAAAAATTTAATAATAATTTAATCAACCTACAGAAAGACACAGATAATTTAAATAATATTTACGATAAAATAATAAAGGTTACATAGTCCGGTCTCATAGCGTTTGTTTTTAGTCTCTTGACGAAGTCTCTCACAGACACATCAATTTCTCTCTAATAAAAAATTTTTAAAAAAATAAGGTTTTGTTAATGTGATTTGTGCAATTTATAAGATCATTGTCCATGCCGGCCTCCTGATTTATGGCTTCGGTATACTAACATTGTTATATTTTAATTTGTTGAGCGAGTTATATATTGAAATTGTCAATTAATTTATCAATTTATAATCTTTGCAGTATGTACTTGATAAGGACCACAAGCATATGGTCGAAACGTCGTAATAATAAACTAAATTTCTGGCTAGTTTGGTCGACTACATTTTTCAACAATCCTTTGATTATTCGACATATTTATTATACTAGCGATATTAAGATATTTATTAATAATACTCAATAATATTCAATAATTTATGGAGCACGATAGATAGAGAGATATTGAGATAGTGAGATATTAATAGATAATGGATTAAAATAAAAAAAATTCCATACAATAATGTATGTATAATATATTATATTTTGTACAATGTTAAAAATTTCATTTAAGTCACATAAAAGTTTTAGATAAATAATTTAGTTAATTTAGTTTCCGAGAAATAATTTAGTTAATAAATTGGGATGTATTTAGAAACCAGAAATATTTTTGTAATGTTAGAAATTAAAGCACAGATTCTGGGAAAAAGGATTATAAATTTTCTGACATCTGTAAATCAAGAGGTACGAAATGAGACGACTTGTTTGTAAATGAAAAGAGATAATTTATTTCAATTCATTCTTTTTAACAAGATATATCGTTACAAACAGACCGGAAATAAGTTGGCTGGAAGTGCATATTTTTTAATAAACTATAGCTTAAACGATTGCTCCTTAATTGCTCCTCTTCTAAAATAGTTTTTTTTAATATTTGCAAAAAACGTAAAATTGACCATTTTTACTGAAAAACTTTTTTTTAATGGTTTTCGACAATTATATCCGGTATAAAACGATTGCTCCCTAATGATTGTTCCCTATTGTTCTATCATTAGTTTAACAATTATTGCATTATTTTATCGAAAATTAATAAATAAATCATTTCACAAATGACGACGACGCCACCTGTCGCCACTTATCGGAACTAAACGTTTTAATAGTTTCGTCACATTGGATATAATTGCTAAAAACTATTTAAATATTTAGTTCCTATAAGTGGCCGACAGGTGGCGTCATTTCTGAAATAATTAAATTTTCGATTAAAAAATGCAACAATTATTAATTATAATGATGGGCAATAGAGAGCAATCGTTTCATGCCGGATATAATTGCCGAAAACCATTAGAAATGTTTTTCATTGAAAATGATCAATTTTACGATTTTGCAAATATTAAAAAAATTAATTTTAGAAGGGGAACAATTAAGGGGCAACCATTGGAGATGTAGTTTATTTAAAAATATGAACTTTTAGCGCTAACTTATTTCCGGTAGCATAATCGCTCTTTCTGCATATCTCTTATACACTTATTATGCTTGCATTTACATTTAATAAAATGAAATATCCATATATTTATGCATTACCAGTACAAATATGTGAATTTGTTAATTCTAAGAGCACAATACTGTTTCATCTTTTGATTATACAAAGTAGTAAAAAGCTTTGTAAGCTCCAATACGTTAAATGTATAATTTATTATCTCACATGTGAAGTACATTATTTATATTTTCTTCTTCTTGGATAAACAAGTTGTCAAAATGTATAATCAATAATGTCTGAATAGTCGACGATAGTATTTTACTTGTAAAACGGAATTATCTAAGATCTATTCTTACAATACGTACAAAATATATAAAAATGTACTATATTAAACATTATTAAATGTACTATACTAAACATTACTAAACATTATTGTACTCCTATTAAACATGGTATTGGTAATGTGATTTAATCAGATATTCATTAAGATTAAATATTATTTTTCTTCTTTTTAGAGAATTATTATACTTTCTCATGTCTTCATTATTTGTTTTTTCTTGCACAATGTAAGAAATAACAGGGCTAAATATAAGTATATAATTACAATGTATAAATAAGCTTATACCCTACAACACAATGTGAACATATATTCAACATATAGCAATTTAATATTTATATATTTAATATGCGAATGAAAAAGAAAATTGAATTGTATCATTTGTAAAAAAAAAATGAAATTAATCTTTAGATTTTAAATACTCGTCTGTTTCGCATCTATCTTATCTATTTTATAGAGTTTTCATTCTGTCAAATTAAATCAGAATCGTCATTTGCTATAACTTGAATATTTGCACATTAAATTAATTAACATCTTAAATAATTCTCATCATTACTTTCGAGATGAAAGAAAGTATGTCTATGGAACAAAAATTAAATTTAAGAATTTGTCTCGTAAAAAACATTTTTATAATACGTAAAAAAAAACAAAATTAGAATTAAATATATAACACTCTTTACGACAAACAGAAATATATAATGAGAATATCAAGCGGAACAAAAATATGTAAAATCCCATTTTCGAGTGAATCTACATATTTTGTACGTTTTATAAAAATAAATCTTAGGTAACTCTGTTTCATAAGTAAAATACCATTGTTGGCTATTTAGATATTATTGATTATACATTTTGACAACTTGTTTATAAGTTTAGTTTTTTTTTATAAAAATGTTTTTAAACGAAACAAATTCTTTTCAACAAATTTAATTCTTTTCCGCAGGTATACTTTCATCTCGAAAGTAATGTGTGAGAATTATTGAAGGTGTTAATTAATTTGAAATATATACTTTATGAAATATATATTTTTTATATATATTTAATGTGAATCCGTTTTGAAATATCCGCATGTATTTAATTATAAAGTGAATCTACATATTTTTGTTTCATTTTATGCTCTCATCACATATTTCTGTTTGTCGTAAAGCATCGACAGTATTTGGAATCCACTTTAAAACTTCATAACGTGTGTTTACATTGTTGCAGGAATGAAATAACTATAACTTGCTACGATGAACGGAATGATTGCTAGGGTAGAAAGAGCGCCTGCCAAGCGCGAGGCATTGGATGCCGAACCGGTGGTTCTAGCCGCCGCACTTTGCGAATTCAGTATATTTTCGCACGGCGTTACCCTCCTGACGAAATTGAATATGGAATCCATTATATTTGCGGGCGTTGGGTCCGGGCATTTTTCCAATTCCGCCACGACGCAAGCTTGGAGACTTGTTATATCCCTGCGTCAGATCAAGATTTCAGTTTAATTCATGGAAACCTTTACAAGTGAGCATTTTCAAAAAATGAAAGAAATGCAAAGTTTAGGAAAATACTCAGGTGGCTGACTTTGTGCACGTCTTACCTGCATTCTTTGGTACCGAAAGTCAGTGACGGCAAACTGTCGAATCCGATAAAATTGTTAGACGGATCAGTTTTTGGTATGTAACCACCATACGTATTGTTGGCACAGTTTTGAATCGCTCCCTGTTTAGATTGGAAACATTCTGGTCCTCCAGCCGATATGAAAACTGCAAAGATAAGATAATCCATATTATTACAATGCTAACACAGGCATAAAATTAATTTAAAAAGTTCTCCAAGAGGTGTTTGAGGAATAATTTATATAATAATGTAATTTCTAGAATTTCTAGATAGCCTTCAAGTAGAGAAGCACCTAGAGACCTATCAGACTTACGGGCGATGCGATCTCCCTCCTTGTAGCAAATGAACTCTAACAACGAGTCGGTGATGTTGAGCACAATCTTCTTGTTTTCTCTCTCCTTTTCGTCTAGGCAGTGCTCCACTGTGTTGGTGAAGTTGTTGACGCAGGCACGCAAAATGTTGCGCTTGTTACAATAATTCTTAAATACTATGTCCAGGTCGCCGGTCGGCTTGTACTTCTCCATCTCCGCCTGGAGTTCCGTGATGTTGATGAGCGACTGAAGGCATTGCACCATCTCCACCTGGGCTTGCTCGGCGTTTTCGAACGCGCTGGCTCCGCCGTTTCTCGTGCACTTCTCCTTGAAGAGATTCTTCGTCTGCTCGATGGGCAGCGCCGACGTGTTCAGATTTTTCAGCTCGGGGACGTTGCCGACCACTCCGCCAACCTGTTGCAGTACTTCGTCGGTGGACGATACGCTCTCCTGCGAAAGCGTAGATGCAACGAGACCTGAAACGAGGAAAGAATGTCTTTAGATAGTCTTCTTATAAAAAATTCTTGCAAAATATTTTCTTAATTCTTAATCATTTTCTTAAATTTTCTAAAATTTACTTATTTATTATTTATTTTCTTTAATTTATTTATTTATTATTTATTTTCTAAAATTTATTTCTTTATTATTTATTTTCTAAAATTTATTTCTTTATCATTTATTTTCTAAAATTTATACAGATTATATGAAAATATTTTTTAAGCAAAAGATTAGGCTGAATAAAAATTATGGCTTTTCACAATGATAAGAAAATGATAAGATAAAAAATGAGCAGCAATTACAAAATATTTATTTTTGCACTATATTCTACACAAAAAAATTAGTAGCAATTACATCCTCCCTAATTCCTAAGAGATAGTCTTCTTATAAAAAATTCTTGCAAAATATTTTCTTAATTCTTAATCATTTTCTTAAATTTTCTAGAATTTACTTATTTATTATTTATTTTCTGAAATTTATTTATTTATTTTCTTTAATTTATTTATTTATTATTGATTTTCTAAAATTTATTTCTTTATTATTTATTTTCTAAAATTTATTTCTTTATTATTTATTTTCTATAATTTATACAGATTATATGGAAATATTTTTTAAGCAAAAGACTAGGCTGAATAAAAATTATGGCTCGCTTTTCACAATGATAAGAAAATGATATGAAAAAAACAAGCAGCAATTACAGAATATTTATTTTTGCGCTATATTCTACGCAAAAAAATTGATAGCAATTACATCCTCCTTAATTATACGTGTTTTTTTTTCTCAAATTATATCATGCCGGTATATACATATATATGTTATATAACTGTTGTGTATATATTATATGACATTTTTTTTTATTCTTTCATTTGTACGCAGGAAAGAAAACATCGATCAAATCGTATCAGTTCAGTTGTCAACGAGTGACAGTTGCTCAAATCCAGTACACAATGATTGCCATTGTTACGCAAATACGTCTTACATACAAAATTGCACTCTTTTGCAATGATATTTCGATCAAGCGGCAAAAGTGTCGCTAATCCGCTCAGGACGATTTCGAAAGGGAAAAATTTAGTTTTTTAAATTTCTCTTTCCTATCAATTATTCATAATACTTAATTATTAATAATACTTAATTATTAATTATTAATTATTAATAAATGATATTAAAATTATTAAAATGTTAAATTTAACTTATTACTAATTTATTAAAGATAATTAAAATTATTAATTTATTTCTTAATTTATTACTAATTTATTTATATAAAGTTAATTAAAATTACTGATTTATCTCTTAATTTATTAATAATATTATCCTATTAATTATTGATGACATTTAAATAAATAGCGTCACTCTTGTCTTGAAATTGCGTTTCTACTCTCTACCTTGAGTTTTGCTAATTTAGAGAATAATATAACACTTTGAAATTCGTAGATTGTCTGCTTCACAGACGTTTTTTTTCTTATCGTTCGTTTTTACTTCTATCACAGCAACGTGTAATTGTCAACATGTAATTGTACGCTATTCCATATGCAATATGCAAATGTAATTTATTCCAAAATGGCCTAAAAAGTGTGTTTGTGTGTGTAAATATACAATGTGAACGAAAAGTCCGGGCCCGATAAAATATCTTGAAAACAAGACATTTTAGAGAAAAACATGTTTCATACAAAAGTTGTTGGGTTTCAATAAATGCATCAAATAGCGAAACTTATTTGACCTTGAGCATAACCATGGATGAGCTCTCAAGGTCAACTTTAAAATTTTAAATGGAAACCTCCAATTTTTATTCAATACTCTTATAGCTTATCTCGAGAGCTTTTCAAAACATTATAATAAATTATTTTTTTATCGAGTACTTTTCGAGTTACAAGGCTTGAAATAATTTCTTAATTTTACATAAACCATAAAATATCCAATAAAATATTCATTTTTCGATTATCTTACCTTAATACTTTTATGTACAAAATAATGAGAGGAATCAATTGACGTAAAGAAAAAACATAGTTGTTTCTAAGAAAAAATATATAATTTGCAATAAACAATCAGAGCTCAATGATTGCGCTCAAGGTCAAATAAGTTTCGCTATTTTAATACATTTGTTGAAACCTAACAACTTTTGTATGAAACATTCTTCTCTAAAACGTCTCGTTTTCAAGATATATTTTATCGGTATCCGGAACTTTTCGAACACCTTGTATGTGCGATGGTAAATAAAAATGAAATATGGGATTCATTTCTCTTCATTAAAACAATATCAATGAATATTTGATATTTGATGATAGTTTCCTGCAAGATATTAATTAAAAAATAGCATTATGCAAAAGGTCAAGTCTGAATATTAAATTTTAATCATCATCAAATCATCTAATAAAAAAACAAGACCGATAAACTTTGTCATCTATTATCTTCAACTTTCAATCCGTGTTTTGAATTTTTCAACAAGTTTCGCAAAATCCTTGGTCGATACTAAGTAGATTATCGTTTCTTTGTTGACAAAGTTAAATTATTCCGATCATGAGAATGAGAGGCAAGCTTCCTTACGCGCGAGGTCAAAACGCGTAATCTATGGACTTTGTATTCGTGTTGGTCAGTTTTCAATCAGCGACCACGTACGCTTTATCTTTCCTCTTTGTTGCGTTTCTCGTCCAGGAAATAATCGGGGAGATAAAATGTCGACAAATTGCCTCCATTCGGAGTTTCCAATTTTTTCTCGTACACTGAGGGAAAAATTTTTTTAAATCAAATAAATTCGTTTTCTTGAAACTTTTGTTTTAAATGCAAGGAATTGTTTATTTCATTTAAGCAAAAACATTTCATTTTAATTAAATATGCATGTTATATTAAGTACATTATTTTCATTATATATTTTTTATATTTAAATACTATTTTTTATATTTAAATACTATTTTTGTAAAATATATACTATAATTTAGGCCCGGTTCCACAACTCGAGTTAATCCGAGTTTAATACGTTAAACTTGGTCCATTCACTACTTAAACTCGGATTAACTGGATTGTGGAACTGAGCCTTATTAAATTAAATATATTATTTTTTAAAATTAAAAAATTTTAAATTTTTGGAAATTAAAAAATGCATTTTAATCAATATTTTGTAAAATTAAAATAAAAATATTTAATTAAAAATTATATTTTTTTAAGCATATATATTTTTTTAAACATATGTAAATAAATGCTTAACTTAAGCAAACAGACGTTTTGAATACAAGTAACGTGATTAGTACCCACCAAATAAATAGCTTTCTTAAGTTAACTAAAATTTTTTTATTTCAAGATAATTTTTTCCTCAGTGTAGCTTTGACGGTGACATTTGCACCATTTCGATGATTGTCACGTCAACAATACCTCGAGTCAGGTTTTTTCCTCTCTGTCTTTTGCCGCGACGTAGAAAAGTCTCGATTAAATCGCTACTTCGTGAGTAATACGGTTTTACCGCTTACGAGTTCGAAAAACAATGAGCGAGGAGGACAAATATGTATCTAGAAATGAATCATCGCATTTAGAGAGAGGATAAAGAATTGAAATATTCTCGATTGACATCTAGAATAACGAGAGGAGTCAACATTCCGACTATCTGTCTGCCAATATTTGAGAGTTCGCGACAAATTAAGAGGTTCTCTTGAACAAAGTGAGTTCGAATTTATCCAAGTCAAGAGTATCTTTCTGGTTGTTTTACAAATTCTCCTTAATCGTTTTTCTTAATAAAAAAGAGTCTGTCAAATCTCGAAAAAGTTCGACAATCGAAATCAATATCAAAGAGAATGACATAATACGTCTATAATAGACCGATAAACATGTGTTTTCATTTTTCAAGCAATCTTTCGTTTCTATTTACACAGAAAAAAGGACATTCTTGTTTTGAAAATATATTTAATTTTAACATGGAAATCTTGAATGAGATTTTATTGAGTTAATTAAAGACAAATAATTAATAAAAAATAATTAATAAAAACTAATTGATTGAATAATTGCTTACTTGAATGAAGCCATTTTATACAGTTCAATAAAAAGAAATATACTCTTAGGATTTAATTTTCTTGAATGGGAAAGAAATAATGTTAGATAGAAAATAATATTTTTATATCAGAGATTATAATTTTCTTAAAGTAGAATTAAATAATTATATATTCTTGAGGTGACAATTGCATTATTAAAATAAGACTATACAATTGTCGAAATTTAAAATTATTAAATTCTTACGAAACGATGAACACGTTAGTTTAAGTATATAAGTTTTCATTTGACCATTGACACGTTAATTTAAAAGTATATAAGTTTTCATTGGACCATTGACATCTGATGTCAATGGATTTGACATTTATTTTTTTTCTGTGCAGTGAAAGCGAGACGCCTCTACTGACTTCGCGTATTATGCGTATGTTTTATGAGTCATTTTACGATGCAAAATCGGCGATAAAAGAATTATGCGTCTTAAATTGCACACGAATTTAAATTAAATTGCACGCGAATTATGTTAATTGTATGCGAAGCGACAGCTTTTTCAGGATTGCTCAACCGTTGAAATTACATTAAATTAGACTTTCGCGTGTATTAGCATCCTATCCAGACACTTCCTGGAATTTTTTGTATCGTTCAATTTATTCCACAGAAAGTAACCAAGCCTAAACGGATTCCGTAATGTTATGACGAAAGTGCATAATCGCATAATGACAAAAATTTCAAAGTTATATATAGATGTTGGCGAGGATGAATTTTAAATAATTAATTTTGCGAAGAAAAATGAAAAGAGAGAGAGAAAGAAAAAAAAAGATTGTCTCATCGAATAAAATATTTCTTTAAATTCGATTACTTTTATTTTATAGAAATTTTATTATTTATTTACTATTGGAGTCGGTTAAAATTGAATAAATTATTCTGCTAAATTCGTAAATTTTTCTTATTTTTCTTATTTTTTATATTTTTTAATAAACTGTAATTATTGATCATTATTGCAACATCTAATTATTAATAATCGTTCGATGCATTAATAATGATATAGGTAACATTTGATGTTTTTCTATATAATAACAAGGTTCGATATTTATTATGCATAATCACGGCACAAAGTGCAATCGATACACGTTCAAGGTTGCATCAAAGCTTCATCGAGCAGAAATCAATAGAACATTAAACAATATTTGCGTTATCGCACAAATTGATGTATGACGATCTTATAAACGCGAATGGATTAAAATCCAATATATATGCATCTCTTTATAATTTATAATTTTCCACATAAATAATTTTTACAAATCGATATAACTTTTTTTAAGCAATTTTGTTATCAAGTAGCTTAAGCAAATATATAAAAAAATTGCATAAGTTTATTTCATAGCGAAAACGATCTTCTTTATTATTTATTGTGCAATAATTATCGTTGATATATTTGTGATGTCTCCAATTTTTTAATTAACATTGATTAATAATCAATTTATTTATTAATTTTAAATATTTAATAATTAATTTTTAAAATATTTTAATTTTTATAATTATAATTATTATCTCAATTTTTATTTTAATTATTATACTTATTTTAATCTTTAAATTATTTTAATTATTATAATTATTTTAATCTTCAATATTTTAATTATTAATATTGAAGTATTATTCTAAATTCGTCAAAATTGTGCTGACGCTAAATCTTTGAGATAATCCTTTTGTCGAGAATAATATAATGATTCTAAAATTTTTAATTTAATAATATGAATCATCCTATCTTGAATAAAAAAACTTTTCACATAAAACAATTTATATCATTAGAAATACAGAAAAATATCGAGTACTACTTAATCATAATTATTTCTAGATATCGATTCTTCTCATTTTCCAAAGAGATTTATTCACAGTTAAATTAATTAAACGTTCAATTAATTGCAATTAATTGCATCTACGAACAATGATTCTCATTAAAGTGTAGATAATTTAGAAATAATTATAAATTATAAATAATTATAAATAATTTATAAATCAAATGAAATTATAAATCATTGCGAATAAATAAAATAGAGTTATAAAATATGAAATTATGAAAAAATAAAATTACAGATTAAAAATTTTCAAACGATAACATCGACAATTATCATATTCGATTAACGAAAGCAATGATTAACTGCAATTGCAAAAGTCGAAATGGGTTTTAGAGTCGATTGCAGATTACGTTACACCGCAATAACACGTTGTACATGTGTGTGTGATGATGCGTATGCGACCTAACATAACATTAATCATTAGAAATCGCAGTAAAATCTTGCGAAACATTCTCGAGCTGTAATCTACTTACATATTAGCGTGTGTGATTCGAGAAATGCTTGTGGAATTGTCAAGTAACATCCGAAAATAATCAAAGGAATTTTGAAAATTCCGATTTTTCAAATCGAGAGAAATCGTGCGTCTCTTTCATCGAATATTACGATAAATTTAATTTATGCATGCAACGTGGAGTTAACTTTTGACATCTAGCAAAGCTGGCAATAAACTAGCGAGTTGGCATTAAACGATCCTCATCGATCTATTCTTAACATTTTAAATTACGATGAAATAACGCAAATTTTGTACATTTTTATTTTGGGACGAAAAGCTGCAGAAGCTTTTCGAAATCATATAAGGAAGGTCATTTAAAATCGAAAGAGAATATTTTACTTTTGAATATTCGAGGTATCATTTTGTAATTATTTATATTATTAATTTTAATAATTATTAATTTGTAATTATTGATTATTTATTACAGATTATTTATTATTAATTAGAAATTGAAAGGACATTTTTTGTGTCTTAATTTGAAAAAAATCTTATTTTTAAATAATATTAATATAATAAATAAAATTAAATAATATTATTTAGTATTATTTATTAAATAATAATACAAATATTATTAAATATTATTTAATTTAAATAATATTATTTTTAAATAATATTATTATTATATAACAATGTTAATTATCGTATAATAAATATTATTAAAAATTAATATTAAATATTAATTATTAATAATATTTATAATATAATATGTTATTGTGGGAAATCTCTCCAGCTTAAATGAATTCGCGTGAAAATTGCGTTTTTCCGCGATAGAAAACTATAATTATTAAAATTACAATTATTACTCGTACAACGTTCACAATTAACAATGAACTTCCTTGCGTTCTGAAGACCTTGAAGTAACTCGATTCGGTTGCGTGCGAATTGTTTGGTATTGTTTCGAATTACGGTGTCCGAAGAAGCGATAAAAAATTTCTCGAGAAGAAAATTTCTCTATCTCTCCTCCGGATGCTACAGTTAAGGGGAAAAATATTTTACACAAAGAACAACATTGTAAAATATGTAAAACAAATCACAGATACACCACTGTTTACGATGCTATAAAAATAGGAATCAAAATCTTTTCCTTAACAACGCTTTTTTCACCGAAACTATCTCCTCGACCTTGTTTACGATAATTCTGAGTCATAAATTACATATCGAGTAGTAAGATAAAAATTTTTCAGACGTAATTTTGGACTACTTCAAAATACATATTTTATATGTGTCAAAAATACAGAACACGTGCGCGCATCTCACGGATATCCTACCTAAAAAAAAGTAGTCGAGATTTAAATCACAGAGTTTTTTGACGTTTTTTTCTCGTATGCTTCTCTTTCTCTTCCTGTAGAATTTTTTCGGATAACGCTTATCGCTATCTCGTTCAAAACAGCTATCGCTTTCTTTGTTTATCATTCTTGTATATACTAATCAATCACGAGCAGGTTATTCTATTACTCATGCTACGATGGGATTAAATCATGCTAAAATAATGCTGGAATTACATCTCCTCTTTTAACATCTTTATTCTATCTCGAAGTTTTTTATATTATTTTTTATTACATATATTATTTATTATTTATATTATTTATATTACATATACAAGAATCTTGAAGAGTTTAATGTTATATTATATATATTATTTATTATTATTATTTATTATTATATTATTTTCGTATTATTTTCATATTATTTTTATATAATTTATTTTTTATATTATCAACGCACTTTTCTCGAATTCACTCAAACATATCAGTCTAATTGTAAGAGAAAATAGCGAAAGACAAAGTCCAAGAAGATCTTATCTATTGAAACGGATCTTACACAATAATAATCAAACAATAAGATTGTCCATCGTTATCGAGTACGTGGCAGTTTCAAGTGTCAAAATCGGTGATCAAGGAACAAGATTGATCGATAGAGATCAAAGTAAAAATGGAACGGAATCAGTAAAAACGTACCGAGGAATAACACTATCGTGAACGTGGTCACCCTCATCTTGTCTTCGGACACTCACGGAAGGGTAAGTCTAGCGCACCCACGTACTGGCGTACGAAACAATCTCACAATGAGCTACGACAGCGCGTACGTAGTACACATGCACGTGCACCCTGGGGAGGAGGGAGAGAGAACAATGCACCTCGCTCTCGAGTCGGCGAAATGCACGGCGAGGATGCGACACGTTCCCGTTGGTAGTTGAACCGTCTCTGCCCGCTTCCTGTCGCCCTTCCTTTATTTTTATTACGAGCGGCCGCAATGTTCACAGCTGACTCGTAACAACCGAAGGTAGGAGAGGGAAAGATGAACGAGAGGGAAGACAAACTGACAAAGAGCGCAGAAAAGAGAAGGGAGGGAAATGAAAAAAATCAGACTAAATACTCTCGCGGCGGCGGTCGTTCCGCGACTGAGCCGCCGGGCGCGCGTGCGCCGCTTTTATACGCGCGCGCCATCTGGCGCCCGCGCGACGTTCAAAAGGCGGCCGCGGGCTTGAATTAATCTCACCATAAAAATCCTTTTTATGGGAATAGACGAATGGAGATGTAAGAGGAAATATAAGAAGCCTATCTAATTCTTCGCTTTCACGCAAATTAATATCTTAAGAGAAGACGCGATGAGAAGGAAATATATTCATTGCGTAGGCGTGTATTTGTATTTGTAGGCTGTAATCAACTGATCGTTATCCTTGGGAGAAGCTATAATAAGATTGGACGTAAGTAATTTTCTCTTTTAATAAATCTAAAGTCTTTCTTCTGTTGGTACTCGCTATTATTGCATATGTACCACAAACTAGGAGAGCTTTAACGTGAAGTCCTCGGTAGTATAGTGGTCAGTATCCCCGCCTGTCACGCGGGAGACCGGGGTTCGATTCCCCGCCGGGGAGGATTATTTTTTTTATTTTTAATAAACAATTATAATCGGTAATGCAAATATAGTTGCTCAGGAAATAAAATTATAAAATTTTATTCTTATAGTTGTCAATCTTAATGCTCTTTTTATTTTTTTTTTATGGTACTTGGACGCAAGTTTTAAATGCACGTTTTGAAGAGACCAGGATTACTTTTCAGATATGTGTGACATAAATTGGAAGGATATATAAAATTGGAAGTGCAACATATATCATAAAAAAATATATATTTAAAAAAATGTTCGAATTTAGTTCACACTATTAACTCTTATACAGTTTAAAGAGAGGATCGTATATCAAGCATCGGTGGTTCAGTGGTAGAATGCTCGCCTGCCACGCGGGCGGCCCGGGTTCGATTCCCGGCCGATGCAGTCTTTTTTTTTATTACATATAATTCTTTTTGAATTCTGATTCGTGCGATTATGTAATATTATATTATATTATTTTAGGATGGCATGCTTTCATAAATATGAATCATAAACTCATAGGAACTAAAAATCCTCGTCGGAGGAAATATTTTAGAGAGATATCTCTCGAAGATATTTTAATTTCTCAATTTATATCATATCGCGACGACTAATCATTAACTACTTAACAATTGCTTATCGGTATTATTACGCCACGAACAAAGATCGCTTGTAGTCGGACTTTGAATACAAACAAAACAAAATTATATCGAGTGACATAAGAGTTGCCTCGTCTCTAAAAAAACTTCGCTTTACATCAGTTGAATGTTTCACTACAATAATAAATAAGGAATAATAAATCATTAAGGAATGATAAATATACATTAGCATATTTTTATATAGACGATGCATTAGCATATTTTTATATAGACGATTTTATATAGATTTTTATATTACGATGTAATTAAAAATAATTCAGGTCGCAGAATTTCACGGATGTGAAACGTTGACACAGGAACCATCGCTCGCTCTCATTCCCCAGGAAGCCGACCTTATCTGTATTAATTGCAATTCCGCCCATATTTCTGTGAATTGCGTTATCCATATATGTTCTGTCAGCAATTCATTCATCATGTTATTTATGTAGAATCGCTCATCATTACAAGCCAGATTTCCCTTTCTAGAAAATTACACTGATTGCATACTAATCGTCGAACAACTAATCGCAGCGTGTTTTTTTCTTCTTCATTCTTGATTTCTCGTTATAAAAAATAGGTCGCATGAAACTTGGACGATTAATGTGCAGACCAAAAAAAGAAAAACACAGGTGCTGTCTCAGAATTATAGCTGCATGGAAAAAAGAAAATTAGATATTCAAAGGTGAAAATATCTACAATTCATGTCTTATATTCGCAAGTATTTATTCGCGGAAATAAACATAACGATTATAAAGAGACACGTAAGGAAAGAGTGCATATGCGACCTTCGTCGCGAATCGCACTGTGGAATTGGACCCTATAACCAACTTTTTTATTTATAAATAACTAATAAAGCGTCGAGGAGGAAGAAGAAGAAGAGACTGCCGAACAAGTGGCAAGCAACAACTCTTTCCTCGGTTTAAACAAATTTTTAGACAGTTGTCCGGTACAATATGTCGAGTAACTCAAGTTATAACGTGTAACTGGAAAGACAAGGAGAGAAGAAACTATAGCGAAGGTCAATTTTTAACAAGCTTTTTAAGGTGAACTTCTTCCCTCCTTCTCTGTCTCTTCGCGCGCGCCTCTTCTCCTCGATCGAGAATGTCACGGTGAATTATAACGATTAATAAGTAAATAAAGTTACATATGCATAGCCGTTTTAGCTCTGATCGTTCGGTCAACCAGGCGATTAACATTGTAAATAGTATACTTGTAGATTGCAATTAGCAAAAATACGTGCTAAGTCTAATGACAAGCTAACACACACTCGGCAACGTAGCACCTAAATATATGTATATTTTATATTGTATATGTTAATTTATATTTTTTAGCTGGACGCGACGATGTTGCAGGCTGTTGATTCGCACAGCGAACAGGCGGACGCATGACTCATCTCACGAAATACGAAGATCACAGCTTGTAAGCGTTGCGTATCATCAGGTCAAAGTACGCATCGTGATCTATGCTCGCACTGATAGCGCTGTAATAATTCATAAATTCCTCCATGGTTACCTGCAACGAAAAAGGAGATCGAGATGAGATTGCTTACAACGCAAATTACAATATGTATATCATGGATATGACTAAAAATACGCGAATGTACAATATTATTATAACAAGGAGTTCGATAAGGCGAGATTTTTTTATTGAAATTAAAAAAATGTATTTTTAATTACATAATTTTAATTAAATTTAACTAAAAAGCATATCTTTAATTATATTATAATTTTAATTACATTTAATTAAAGAGCATATCTTTAATTGTATAATAATTTTAATTACATTTAATTAAAAAGCATATATTTAATTACATTATAATTTTAATTATATTTTAATTATATTTAATTTGTAATTTTAATTTGTAAACATGCTGAATAGGTTTACAGTTTATCAGCCTTTCGACTAGTCTACACGCTGTTAATTTCATCCAGTGAAGTTGTATGGGCCAATAAATTCGATTGAATGACATTTTGCTCGTTGGCGAATTTTCCAAAGAATTGAATTCACGCGAGAAATACTCACAATGCCGTCCTCGTTGCCGCCGTGCTCGAAATTCAAGAGGAACTTGTTCAAAATGCTCTCCTCGCTCTCTTCACCGCTGATGTAACGCGGATGACATTTAACATTGTAAACCCCTTTGAGGTCGTCGATGGTGACCCGACCATCCCCGGTTTTGTCCAACTTGTTGAACGCCTGCTCGACCACGCTTCGCCGGCTCTGAGACATCGGTGGCTGAGAAGACAGATGATTTTATTAGAGAAAATTTATACCTAATATTTAAATACTTTGGTCAACCTTTAAACGTGATTTCCATGAAACGACATATTTTTCTATAAATATATAATCAAGAACAGTGACAATAAATCAACAACGCTCACTCTTATACCGACGAGGAACTCCTCGACGCTGATGTTTCCATCCTCGTCGGTGTCGAATTTCTCAAAGACCTCCTTAATCTCGTCCTCTTCCAGATCTATACCCGTCTCTTGTATACCCGTTTTGAACTCCTCCTCATTTAGCTTCTTATTGCCATCCTCGTCCATACGACGGAACACTCTGAAAAAAAGGAAGATATTAGCCACGAGATGAGATAGGACGACCAAAGGTCGAGGACGGCGGCGTTGAATGGATGATTCATGCACCCGAATCAGGCAAAAATCGTATCATCTATTTTTAATCATGTGTGACAAACACTACAAACTGGATAGGATACTCGAAACTTATATCAATCATCAACTATAAGTCATTCGTACAAAATCTATGTGAATGTATTATCAGTGTGAAAGTGAGAACTGGAGAGAATTAAATATTGATCTCTTGTTTTCAAGAAAATTTGCGCATCGACGAGATCTTGCGTAACGTCGACCTAATTAAGCTAATGACACCGTAAATAAAAGGACTCTGGGGACTTACCTACCCAGACCGAGGATGCCGTTGGCACCTCTAGCCAGGCAGAGCAGACGCAGTTTCTCGATGGAGTCCGTTGTGTTGTGTATGGCCCGCTGGGCCTTGTTAATCATCTCAATCTCCTGCCTCGTGGTGGCACTCTGGGGCCTCAGGCTGAACATGCTAGAAAGGGAAACGTCATTCGCTCACGTGATAGGTATGAGTCAGGTCACGACATGACAGGAGAGACAGTCACGTCAAAAAACAATGCCGCTGAAGATAAAAAGATAGGAGTTTAGGAGGAGCTTAGAGAGTAAAAAAAAATTCTTGATCACATTCCAACCAAACAAGTTGATCATCAGCGACATAATAAATTTATGCGCGGAATTTATGAGAATATATTACTCATACAGCACAAATATTGCAGCAATATTGCAGCAACATCGTAATATCCCATACAGCACAAAACATTGCAGCAATATTATTGCAGCAACATCGTAATATCTCATGCAACACAGAACATTGCAGCAATATTACAATGTTGCTACAATATTGCTGCAATGTTCTGTGCTGTATGGGGTTGGGTTACCCATACAGCACAAACCATTATTGTTATATTGCAGCAATATTGCGGCAATATTGCTGCAATATTTCTGCATACCCAGCACAGAATATTGCAGCAATATTATTAATATTGTTGTAATATTGGCGCAATATTGCTGCAATTTTCTGTGCTGCATAGGCTGTATAAACGCTTATAAAATATTTTGCACTTGCATAACGATGCGCGATAGCGATCTTTTACGCTTCCTTTTTTTATTTACTATCGTGGGTGGAAATGGATGAAAACTGGGTTATTGATTAACCGCCTTCCTGTCATTAAGCTGACAATAATGCCAGTTATTTTACACTGTGCCCTCGATGTCATCGACCACCCTTGTACATGTGGAACATTGCGGCTATTTTCGTTAATAGTCTTTAATTATTTCATGGATCATCTCCCTTGGATCGCGCCATCCACTCTGAAAGCTTCATTACAAGAGCTTTGTTGATGACCAACACTTTGCCAGGCACTCTTCTCGCTTTTTAATTTTACCAGGAATAAATAAAATCTACACCCAAAGCGTACATGACGCAATTTTTATGAATTTAGAAGCACATTAAATTAATTACGGCTGTTTCGAATAGATTCTGCAACATTTGCTAAAAAATCTCTTTCATTTAGCTGTGAAATATCTTCAGAGGTCTAAAGCAATCTTATTCCTCGTTAGAACTTGAAGATAATGTGTTTAGATAAAGCAGGAAGTTTCAAGAGCAAGATGACATTGATCAGGTTTTTATACGATAATAAAGATAGGGCAAGGACCTCATAACGATATCGACTCGACGTTTCATTTGCCTGTCATTTTGTTGATAAGCGAAACATCGTCGTCGTCGATGCGATATTAAGTATTTAGGAAACTAAGAACTTTCTAAGAACAAAGAAAAAATAGAGTGATAAAACACCCTGATTGAGAGGGTCTGCCATTCAGTTACAATTTATTAACATCACAACTTCCAGATGAAGATGAAAGAAAGATATACTGTTAAATAAATTTTATTCTTCAGGTTCCTCCAGAAAGCTTTCATCTCTAGAGGATCGATTCATTCAAATGATGTAGCGATATAAATTTCTCAGGAGCCAGATTGATCAGCTCCACCTCTAAAGATTCTTAATTCTAGAAGATTGGCACAGAAATGACATATGTTTTGGTACTAAAATTAAAAAGTTGGCCAAAAAAGGGGGATGATCAGCTTAACTACTGAAATATCGTGACGAAAAACCCACGATAGACGATAGGAATACCTCTACATCTCTCTAGACACACCAGGTAGACCCTCTTTATTTGCAAATGGTCCATGCAAAGCGCAGAGGAAGATGATTGATCGGGATAACTCACGTATGTAAGTCACGAGGAGACCTTTTCTTCTCGATTCCTTTCGCGGAATCACTTACCTCGGTTTCCGGAGAACTTGCGGCAGCGGAAGACGCGGTCGGGTTCACAGGAGGAAGCGGAGACCGGCCGAGTTCGTCTTCCTCTTCGGCGGCTGCGGTGGCGCGACGTCTTTTCCAAGAGTTCCGGAAGGCGAGTGGCGGTCCTTCGGCATAGCTGATCGTCGCGAATTCTACACGACGACGACACACATTATGTACACACCCTGGACGACGTGTGGGAAGTGGCTATACATTGGTCCCCGGGATGGTCGCGACGTATCCATAACGACCGGCGTGTCACAACACACGCGCATCGCGAACCTCGACGATTGCACGCGTGATCGACCGATTGATTGACCGATCGGTCGATCGTGATTGTCTTTTGCACGGACGATTGGAGAGAAACTGGAGAAGCCTCGACCCGGGGACCCACGATTTGGCGGTCGGTCGCTCTGATCTAGAATGATTTAAGTTATTACATCATTGAACGATATATATGGTTTTTTTCCTTAATTTAGATCCAATTTTATAATCTGCAAAAATAACTATTTTTATATGAATATAAATAATTGAATATCTTAAAATAATTGAATATCTTAAAATATCAATACATCTTTGAGGAAGATATAAGTTTGTAAATTTATTATTGATATGTATTTATAAAATTAAGTTAATTATGTATTTGCATCTCACTTATTAAATTATTTATGTATTTAATTATATTTGTAGAAATTATAAAATTAATTTGTAATGTAATTAAATATAATTTAATGTAATTAATTTAGATTATATAATAAATATGTAAAAATAATATTTTTATAATACAATTAAAATTTATATAATTAAATATAATTAATATAATAATTAATAAAAATAATCAAATGTAATTAATATAATTACATTAACTGGAGAAACCTCAGCTCGGGGCTCGGACCCATGATTTGGCGGTCGGTCGCTCTGATCTAGAATGATTTAAGTAATTACGATCATTGAACGATATATATGGTTTTTTTTTACTTAATTTAGATCCAATTTTATTATCTGCGAAAATAACTATTTTTATATGAATATAAAAATAATTGAATATCTTAAAATATCAATACATCTTTGAGAAAGATATAATAAGTTTGTAAATTTATTATTGATCTATATTTATAAAATTAAGTTAATTATGTATTTGCATCTCGCTTATTAAATTATTTATGTATTTAATTATATTTGTAGAAATTATAAAATTAATTTGTAATGTAATTAAATATAATTTAATGTAATTAATTTAGATTATATAATAAATATGTAAAAATAATATTTTTATAATACAATTAAAATTTATATAATTAAATATAATTAATATAATAATTAATAAAAATAATCAAATGTAATTAATATAATTAAATTAAAATTAAATTATATAAAATTGTATTATATGAATTTAATATTTGCAAAGACATACGCACACATGATATTTTAAAATAATTAAAATAATTCTTTTCATAAAAAATAAAATAATTTTCTTCTCCCTAAATTTATTTTTGCAAATCGCTTGTCAAGAAATAAATTCTTAAATAATAAAAAAATCTTGAATTATTCAAGAATTATTTCTTGATTTATTTCTTGATTATTTTCTTCTTAAATAATTGGAGAATAATTTCGACCGTGTTTCTGTGTGTGTTTTCTATTCTATTACTAACACATTCGCCCTGTTCTCGCTCCATTAATCGCGAGACATCGCATCTTTGAAGTGTTCGTTCGAGGGAGCGTCGTTTAACGCTTCGTTGCGTTGCAAATCACGTAATCGTCTTAAACAATAAACTGCGATGACAACAAGGCAGAAGCCTCGACTGAACTGCTCGTATATCCGGTCATTGTTCTCGTGATTTCATTTATTCTCACGCACAATGTTTCTCCCTCCATCAAAGAAAGAAAGAAAAAGGTAGAGAGAGAACATCGAGATGTATATATTAACTCGCTCGACGATCAAGTCCCTCATTCACAAATAAATATATAAAGTATTATTTGGAAATTATTTGATATAACTCCCGGAAAATCTCAGAAATCTTGTCTAGAAATTTTATGAAAATATTCATAACGTATTCAGGATGCCTCAAATTGTCAAATCATTAAAAATTCACTTTGCATACTTTTTTCTGATAAATAATTAATTATTCTTTAGCATCTTTTTTCATACTACAATTATTTCGACATTACAATTATTAGAGTAATTAATTATTTATCAGAAGAAAATGAAAAGTGAATTTTTAATTATTTCATGATTCGAGACAAGATGAATAAATATGCAAAATATTATTTGGAAATTATTTAATATAATTCCCGGAAAATCTCAGAAATCTTGTCTAGAAATTTTAAGAAAATATTCATAACGTATTCAGGGTGTCTCAAATTGTCAAATCATTAAAAATTCACTTTCCATATTCTTCTGATAAATAATTAATTATTCTTTAGCATTTTTTTTGATATTACAATTATTAGAATAATTAATTATTTATCAGAAGAACATGAAAAATAAATTTTTAATCATTTTTTATAATTCGAGACATCCTTGATACTTGAATATTTTGATAAAATTTTTAAACAAAATTCCTGGCTTGATGGCCAAATCAAATGATTGATACGCTTATTATTGTAACAATATATATATTATCGAGGCTGTCATCTCGCTTTTCGTTTCAATGCGCGATAATATCACCTTGACCCGTGATTAGTTTGATATCGATGGTGGCTCGCAGATCGAACGGGGGAGGGGGGGGTGACACAACAGAAAGTCCACGAACTAGATAAATTACCCTACATATTTGATCAGCTTCATCTAGAGTCGAATGCACACGATGTAGAGGTAACATTGCCTCTTGCTAGTGTGCTGTCACATACATGTGGACATGTATATTACATGTTTCGCGTTCTTGAACCCTCGCATTTGCATTTTACGTTCATAGGCTGATAATTAGCAGCGGAGTATGAAATAAAACACGTGTCCAGGCATGTCATAGTTGACGTTAAAATGAGTCACGTACTCTAGTATAACATGACATGGCTCAAGCGATCCCTCGAAGCGGCAATATTGTCGAAATAAATCCTGGATTGTCCAAATGAACTCTGTAAAAAAAATAATTTTCTCATCAAATAAAATACAAACAAATAATTCGTGATAGAAAAATGATGAATATCCTTTGCGAGGAAATTAAAAATTATAAATTTAATTAAGAGAGTCAATTTTACAAAATAATTTCGTGCTAAATGAATTTTATTATCAATCGAGGAAAAAAGTGATAGTAACTTTCCTACTTATCGACTGTTGATAACGAGACATACCTGTTTTACTAAACAAAATTTCTCACTCATCATCTTTTCATCGGCATTTTATTGACAGAAATCGCAACTGTCATCTATTTCACTTGTCAACTATTTCATCACTCTTACAATAATCGAAATACAAATCGACGCACATCACTCGAAGTTCTTGTTTCGCGATAAAAATAAATAATCGCGATAAAAATAAAAATAAATAAAATAATCTTAAGTAATCTTAAATGAAATAATTTTCAAAAATCTCAACCTGCCTCGACAATCTAGTCGAAGATCTCGTGCGCAAGAATTGCAATCGGGAGGAGAGAGGGGGACGAAATTATTGACACAATTGCCGATAATTCGATTTCCGATAACTCGGCCGACGCCGTCGAAGTGAATCTTCTAGAACAGCGGGAACGGCAGACGTGTAATAGGCTAGACGACGCGGACCAATCGTGCGTTGCCATTTGGACGGGGCTGCCACCCGGCGCGCTCGCCATTGGCCGCCGCGTGCTGCGTGGTCGCTCGCGATTGGCCGGCCGCCTGGCCGGCGACGCGTATATCGCGTCGCTTCGCGGCAGCTTCGCGACAGTCGGTGAAAAAACAGCGGAGCGTCAAGTTGTCAGAGCGACTCGCGAACTCGTCCAGGATACTCGGTCCTTCTTTTCTCTCCTTTCGAATCTAAGCGTCTCCCTCGATGAAGAAGCTCTTCGTGCTTTTCGCGGGACTATTCCTGCTCTCGGGTAAGTCGACGAGGGCGATCCTCTCGTCCCTCCGGAGAGAAGTGCCACGACTGTACGTGTCCTTTTTTGTCCTTTAGGATTAGTCCTGGCCGAGGATGACGTCGATGACGTCGACGAGGATGCGGGAACCGTGGACAACGACCTCGGCGCCAGCCGCGAGGCATCGCGAACAGGTACATGATTTGTTTTTTTAACAGTTGAATTTGCAAAGTTACTCTGTTTTTTCTGCGCGAAAAATATTGTAACAGGTGGAAGGACTCGATTGGAATTTAATAAGAATATTATTCAGTATAAGAATATTATTCAATAATATTTAATAAGAATAAAAGAAAATTATTAATTAATAAGAAAAAGAAATTATTTAATAAGAATATTGAATTAGAAGAAATTATTTAATAAGAATATATATTTGAATAATTATTCAAATATTGTAAATAAACTCTGTTTGGTAACCTTGGTAAGCTCTTTGATATAGAATTTGTCTATTATGGATTAAGCAAACATAAACATTGGAAGATTCAGATGCAAAAAAAGAGATCGAGATAAAAGAATCCTGTTATTTCTTTCATTTGTGTAGTTTTATTCTTTTGTATTGTATTCCTTTATATTTTGATTGTATTTTTTTCACATGACTCTTTCTTGATCTAGGGTTTATTTTCAAAAATATCGTTAAACGTTTGTGCTTGAATTAAAAGTTTCTATTTTAATACAGATCATGAGGCGGTACAAAGGGAAGAGGAAGCGATAAAGATTGATGGTTTAAATCCAGCGCAGATAAAGGAACTGCGAGAGAAGTCTGAGAAATTTGCATTCCAGACTGAGGTCAATCGCATGATGAAGCTCATCATCAATTCGCTCTATCGCAACAAGGAAATCTATCTCAGGGAATTGATCTCAAACGCGTCTGACGCACTCGACAAGATCAGATTGTTGTCTCTTACCGATAAGAACGTCCTGGATACAAACAGCGAATTGGCCATCAGAATAAAAGCCGATAAGGAAAACAAAATATTGCATATTATGGATTCTGGTATCGGCATGACAAAGCAAGATTTGGTGAACAATCTTGGAACCATCGCGAAATCTGGTACGGCAGAATTTTTGGGAAAGATGCAAGACATTTCGAGCACTCAGGACATGAACGATATGATTGGCCAGTTTGGCGTAGGCTTTTATTCCGCATATTTGGTCGCGAATGTTGTTGTTGTTACCACTAAGCACAATGATGACAAACAGTACATCTGGGAGTCTGACAGTTCTAATTATAGCATTGTGGAAGATCCACGCGGAGATACCTTGAAGAGAGGCACGACCGTAAGGTAAGTTGTACAATCTTTAAAAGATCACATCATGAAACAAATTGCAAAGTTTTGCGAAAGGAATAAAAATAGATCTCATATATAAGACAATATTCCAGTTTATATTTGTACTAAAATAATTCCATTCCTTATTTTATAGCTTACACTTGAAGGAAGAAGCACTGGACTTCTTGGAACCAGATACAATTAAAAACTTGGTGAAGAAATACTCGCAGTTCATCAACTTCCCCATATATTTGTGGAATAGTAAAGTCGTGCAAGTCGACGAGGAAGATGTAGAAGAAGATAAACCCAAAGAGGAGGATGTCGACGAAGAAGAAACAAAGGTGGAAGATGCGGACGAAAAGAAATCCAAGAAGGTGGACAAGACTGTATGGGATTGGGAATTGCTGAACGACTCGAAGCCAATCTGGACGATAAAACCGAGCGAGGTCGAAGAGAAAGAGTACAATGAATTTTATAAAACGCTTACCAAGGATAATCAAGAACCTCTGGCAAAGATACACTTCGTCGCGGAGGGCGAGGTCACATTCAAGTCTGTTTTGTTTATCCCGAAGGTTCAACCGAGCGATAGCTTCAATCGTTACGGCACCAAGTCCGACAACATCAAGCTGTACGTCAGACGTGTCTTCATTACTGATAAGTTCACCGATATGATGCCGAATTACTTGTCTTTCATTCGTGGTATCGTGGATAGCGACGATCTACCGCTTAATGTTTCACGTGAGAACCTTCAACAACACAAATTGATCAAGGTCATCAAGAAGAAGCTCATCAGAAAAGTATTGGACATGATCAAGAAGCTCGACAAAGAGGATTTCCAGACATTCTGGAAAGAGTACAGCACAAACATCAAGCTGGGCATCATCGAGGACGCGCAAAATCGCGCGAGATTGTCCAAGCTCCTACAGTTCCAATCGTCTACGCAGAAAAACCTGACTTTCCTAGCCGATTACGTATCCCGGATGAAGCCCAATCAAAAGTACATCTACTACATCGCCGGCGCTTCCGAGGACGAGGTGCAGAAGTCGCCGTTCGTCGAGCGGCTGAACAAGAAGGGTTACGAGGTACTGTATCTGACTGAGGCGGTGGACGAGTACGCGATCTCGGGCTTGCCCGAGTTCGATGGTAAGAAGTTCCAAAACGTGGCGAAGGAGGGCTTCTCGCTCGACGAGGGTGAACGGGCAAAGGAGCGAATGGAGCAGCTCAAAACGACGTTCGAGCCCCTGACCAAGTGGCTGGTCGACCTCCTGAAGGAATACATCAACATTGCTCAAGTGTCTGAGCGTCTGACTGACTCGCCCTGCGCCTTGGTCGCCACCATGTTCGGCTGGACCGGCAATATGGAGCGATTGGCGATTTCGAACGCTCATCAGAAGAGCGACGACCCCCAAAAGTCTTACTACATGAACCAGAAGAAGACCCTGGAGATTAACCCGAGGCATCCACTGATCCGGGAATTGCTGCGTCGCATCGAGGTCGACACGTCCGACCAGACAGCGAAGGACATCGCGGTGATGATGTTCCACACAGCGACTTTGCGATCGGGATACATGCTGCGAGAGACCTCCAACTTCGCCAACAGCGTGGAACAACTGATGCGAAGGAGCCTGGGCATTTCCGTCGACGAGGTACCTGAGGAAGAGGAGATAGAGGAGGCGGTGGGCGAGACGGAGAAGCCATCGGACATCGGTGACGATGAGAAAAACATAGAAGACGAGGAGCACGACGAATTGTAATGATAAGAGCGATATTTGAGGGACTCGATATTTTAGAAACGTAGCTATACGATGTATAGTTACCCCAAGTTTCTTCGAAGATACGGTCTTCGTCTACAAATAATTTCAATATACGCAACACTTGATAAGTACGTTGATCCAATCCGGTGTCCTGGAAAGTTTTCGTAGCTGTCATTGTTGTCAAAAACGTGCAAGAGATGTACCTAAATTCTTTTTTTTTACATGAGACGCCGTTAATCGCGATATATATACATATATATATATTTTTTTTTGTTTTGTTTTTTGTTGAATGATATTTCTGTCATCGATACCAACGAGAAATTGTGCATTTTAAAAGGATATTTAATTTATTACTTTCATTTGATCTTCCATCTTTTTTTAGAGTAACGTTAAGAGAGCACTGACTGAAGCGTTACTGATGTATGGGTATGTTTGTGGTGTACGTGTGAATGTGTATTTGTACATGAAATATGCAAATTATATTAAAATGATATATATATCTATACTATTGATGCGATAACGCAGTTTGTGTATCATATCCATCTTTTAATCCTGAAACAAGGATCTTGAGAATGATCAGTTGAAAGACAAGTGTTATTATTGCTGATATTTGCGAACGTGGAGATTACAAGATCGTACATAGTGCGAGAAAATATAGCATTAAATACACTAACGAGAAGTAAAACATGCCAAGTATTTATGTGTTTCAAGAGAAATGAGAGAATTAATAAAACTTTTTCTATGCATTATTATTAAAAGCAAAGTTATGATTATTCCTGGGATTTTTTCGAGAGGCCTAATATATTTATTAAAATTAATATTGCTCAAGTATTTTCAATTTTGATCGAAAATTACATATCTTAACTTTTGTATTGATCTGATGAAATTTTCTGAAATGTATACATGATCTCGATAAATACTTAAAGTTCTAAAAAATTCTTGCTTTATTCCAAGTTTAATATTATAAAGTAAACTAATAGATATAACTCTACATTTATATAAAATAAATGTATATACATAGGATGTAAATTAACTTGTGCCCAAAAAATTTATGGCAAGATGAAAAATAAGTCGAAAAATCTCTTATATTTTTTTTTATATATTATTAAAAGAGGATTTATTAAATAAGTTTCACTTAATTAATTACGTTCTTCATATATCTAAATAAAAAAGATTGATTAAATCAATTTTATTTCATATAATTCCTTTTTCATCGAGCATCACGAGAAACGGTTTAGGATCTTCGTACTTATTTTTCGTCAATAAATATAAACTTAATGAATCCGTATTAATCAACTTTTTTTAGATATATTTTCTAAGAAAATGAAATTGTTTTAGGGATGGCAAATATAAAAAAAGTATAGGATCTAATATAAACTTTTTCTTTATCTACAAAACGAAAAATATTTGCTCTCGTGAGAAGAATGGAGCTACTCAATGGAGTTCTCTATTCTTTTCAAAGCAAGCTTGTCTCTTCCAAAGGAAGAGAAAAATTCCTTTTTCTGATTCGCTCAAGGAACAATCGATGCTGGCCAATGCTATGGATGGCCCATCCCACTTAGCGTTATAAATCCTTTGTATCCTTTGGCCAATCAAAATATGGATCAAAACAAAGGATCCCCACACGGTTCTTGAACATTGGTCAAGCATTTCACACAATGAAACTAAACAATGAATAGAATCTGGGCCAGTGAAGTCTGCCTCCTTTCATTTTTGAAGAATGAAACCTGCCTCCTGTAAAAGACATGATTTCATTACAATTAAAGTCCTATAAAAAAAATTAACAAGTATTCTTTTTTTTTATCAGTGCTAAGATGGTATAATTTTAACGTTATCAGAATTAATGATTTATGAAATTTTCTTAGATTAAATACATATAAAATATATGTTTTACTTAGAAATGTAGTTTTTCGTATAAATTTGATTAAATCCTGATTAAAGCAATTCTAGTCTTGATATCGAAAGATTATAATTTAGAAAATCCTGATGCAATTTCTTTGTTATTCAAAGAAAATCTTTTTCGCCGGAGCTTTAAATTAATACACTTGAATTTTTTTGAGCAATTTATCGAAATTGTATTAATCTAAATTTATTTGCGAAATTTCCTATAATTGAGTCCAATTCCAATAGAAATATCTGTAGCAATGTTTTCTTCAGCAAAAGATTTTTACTACGTTCGACAATCCTTCGATCTAGCCCATACAACACAGAACATTGCAATAATATTGTGGCAATATTGCAATGTTGCTGCAATGTTACAACAATATTAATAATATTGCTGCAATATTCTGTGCTGTATGGGAGGATGATTTGCCGGTTGGGAGGAAAAATGTCCGCGCTGGAATCGCTCAGCATATTTTCCAGCTAATCGATGACATTTTCGGACATCAATCTAATCGATCACTTTAATCTTTTTCTCGAAAAATCTCCAACATTCTCATACAGCACAAATTATTGTTATTACATTGCAGCAATATTACAGCAACATAGCAATATTGCTGCACTGTAACAATTCATACAGCACAGAATATTATAGCAATATTAATATTGTTGTAATATTGCAATATTGCCGCAATATGTTGCTGCAATATTGCTGGAACGTTCTATGCTGCGTGATGATGGTCAGTGCTGTATGGGATGGTCAGTGCTGTATGGGATGGTCAGTGCTGTATGGGATGGTCAGTGTATGAAATTCGAATACCTGGAATTTTCCACGCCTTTGTTCACATCCCAGCAAATCCCAGCAAACACGTGTTTAGTTATATAATTCCCAGCAAATGCAGAATATTACAGCAATATTGCAGCAATATTACAACATTGCAGAAATGTTGCGGCAATATTACAACATTGCAGCAATGTTGCTATAATATTCTGTGTTTGCCGGGTTGTTAATTGTAATTTCCCGCTCAACAATATAACTGTTACATATTATGTAACAGTTATATAACATGTAACATTTTTATTGTTGAGTGCGAAATTACAACTAACAGTTATATAAATGTTACTTGATGTTTTCTGGGAACCCATACAGCACAGATCATTGCTGTTACATTGCAGCAATATTACAGAAATATTGCAATATTGCTGCAATGTTCTGTGCTGTACGAGAATAACGATTATATACTTATTAATTGTAATTTCCCACTCAACAATCTACCTGTTACATGTCATGTAACAGTTACATAACATGTAACATTTTTATTGTCGAGTGCGAAATTACAACTAACAATTATATAAATGTTACTTGGTGTTTGCTGGGACAGCACAGACCATTGCAACAATATTGCAGCAATATTGCTGCAATATTGTTGCAATGTAACGACAATAGCCCGTGCTGTATGGGCGCGTGCCTAACATAATGCACACGTGCATGCCGGCGAATTTTGAAACAACGACGCGTCGCGTAGTTCCGGCCGCCATTGCTGAGGAGACGCCACCGGTCGGCCAATAGCGTCGCCCCTCGGACGGTCGTCGGTCGTGCGCGCTTTTGTGGGGACCAGCAGGCAGCGGGGGACCAGGGTGCTCATTTCCGTTTTCGATTCGACGTCACCTCCAACTCCGAAAAGCCCGTGTGTTTTGTGTTTCTTTCGGGCCACGATGATTATTATCGCTAATTTCACGTAAGTAAACTCTGTCGACCCCGTCCCTCGACCTCGCCTTGGCCGGCTCGCGCGGACTATCGCTCGACTATCTGGTTGCGTGGCCGCGAATCCGCGCGAACGCACGCCCCGGCCCCGAGGCTCCCCTTCCCGGGGGACGGGGGGGAAGAGGACTCCTCTCTTCCCTAACCCGACGAGACGACGTCGGACCCCGGGATCTGGAGCGACTCCTGGGGATCGTTCGACCCAGGTCGGACCCCCCTCGTCCCCCTCGTTTCCGGCCAGCCGAGGACCAGTCGACCTCGATCCACCCCACGGGACGAGTCGACCGGTCGAGAACTGGTCGTTGAAGACCCGGGCACCCGGTATAAACAAAGTAAACGGCGTCGGTCCCTCGGGATCCCGACCATCCTATTGTTCTCGTGGTCTCCGAGGGGGGCATTCTCGGCTTGTCCCGTTTGGCGCGTGGGGAGGGGGAAGAGAGACGAAGGGGCGTCTGTGGGCGGTCGAGCCTCGATTGTTTCCTCGGTTTTTTCTCTCTTCCTGGAGTACCTGAACGCGTTAATCGCCCTGGAATGTCGACCAAGCACATTGACAGATGATAGTTATATATATTTGACCTGAAAGCTTGACAAGCCAGCTTTTTTCCTTCTTTGCAGATTGAAGCTTTTGACACTGGAATTGAGTTTCTTCGGACATTAAGGCAAACACACATACACATACGTATATAAATAGTCTTCAAAATATACCGACGTAGCAGAGGAAACGCATTGCTGGTCTTACGACGCAAGGATAAAGGAAGATCCAGGAAGATAGCGAAACACATTCTCCGCATAAAGAGTAGTAATTGAAGACAAATTAAGGTGCGGAGATTGGTGACTGCAAAGCGCAACTCAGGAATATCGTAAACATGGGCATTCAAGACTTGCAAACTTTCCTGGACAGCAATTGCGTGCAAGGTGGATCCGTGCCTATAGATTTGTTGAAGATTGCACGTGTGGTTGCGCAAAAGTCACAACGTAATCGTGTAATTAAGGGACAACAGTTGCACACCTTTGGTAAATTCAGGCTAGTCCTTGATGGAGAGTGCTGCTTGGATCGATTATACGGTGGATTTTTCTCAGGTAATTATAAGATGATGAATCTCACAAGGTTCTCCTCGTGAAGTTGATATACAGAGCAATTATCTGCCTTTAATCAAACTGTATTTTATTTAAATTCATGCGATATGGTTTTAGCACACTGGTGATTGGTGACTAATATAACTTAATGAGAACTTAATAAAAACTTTCGAAAAGAAAGAATTCATTATAAAATTTTATCAAAATATAATTGAATTGCATTCAATGCAGCAGACTAATCGAACTATTAGAGTCACGTAGACAGACAATAGATGAACAAAATTGTTTTGCTAGAATATACAATTGTAAATGTCAACACACGTGTATCAAGACACAGCATGTAAAGCAAGATGCTCCGATTGACGACGAGTCGATGATCATTGAAGACAATGGCCTTCATCGCAAACCTTGCGTGATAATATAACATATTATTTTAATCATGTTATAAAGACACTTGAAAAGTTTAATTCAGAAAGACAGTAAAAATGACTTATATTTTCTATCAAAATTATAAACACGTGCAAATTAATAGCCGGCAAACAGGCGAGATTTAAAACTTAATCGTAACATATATTACTTTAAAAATAGCACTGATATAAAATATTTTCTGTTATTATAATAAACGTTTTAATTATTGGACTTAGAAGAAAGAAGGAAAGAAGAAAAAAGTAGAATTTATGATTGGGGAATAATAATTATATATTGAAGAATAGTGATATGATTTGCACTATTTTTAAACAGGAAGGGACCCTAATCATGCAGTGAGGGACCAGATAAATGACGATTTTGTAGCCAAGTTTTATGTTCATCAATACTATCCTAATATGTGACATATCGAAATATATCTTTTTCAAAACTGGTAACGCGATCATCTTATCATGTATATCACTTTTCGTATTTTAACATGACTAAAGTGTCATTAAACTTCTCCACGCATACCTGCATTTATCACATAGGTACGCATTTTATCAAACATTTATTAACAATATTTTTTTGTCAGTACAATATTATAATATAATATTTTATAATATTATAATATATATTATATTATTATATATATTATATTATTAATATAATATTTTATAATATTATATTATAATATTTTCATTATTATGTGTTATATTTTATATATCTTTACATCAAGAGTAATGAATGATAAATTGAAATATTGAATTGATAATCTCGTCACGAATTTTGAAAAAGATATATTACTATATTTATACATATGTGTATTTGTCTCTCTCTGCAATATATAATAAGATAGCTTTTTGCAATAAATTTTGAACGGATTAAGCCTTCGATTAAATCTGTTTCAATTTTGTTTAATAAATCACATATTTGACGTGCTTATCAAACTCACAGATTGGGCTTGCGGCGGACAGTGGAATCGCATGCTCCAGTTTCTCGCGGTTCTCATACAAGCGATGGAGATGTCAGGACTAGAAATAGCTGTATTCTTTAATGGATGTTTCGAGCCTCTCCGGCGAGCAGATTGGGTACAACATCAATTGCAAATGCGTGCAAAAGTTAACAATGTAAGTCTCTGCAGTTACGCCATTGGATCGAATAGAGAAAAATGATTCAGATGATGAAAATTGAGATTTATCAAATTATTGTACTAAACTATTAAGGTCCTGAAACACATAACAACGAAAGGTACGCCGCCGCCGAAAATCTGGTGGACTCCCCCAGTATGTTTAAGGACAAGCTTACGCATGGCTCTTAGGCATTTGAATGTCACAGTTGTAAGTTAACAAACATCTTCATTTTTTAATCATATTTTTGCACTTATAATCATCACACATTTCAAATTTTGATTGAAATGTAAAAATATGTATGTACAATAAGTTTAAAAATTATTAAACGTTGGCTAAATCAACAATATTAATTTTTTGACAGTTGTGTAGCATGGACGACCATCACCAGGAAGTCATTGCGTATTGTCGCGAGAATAATTACAATGGGTTGATAGCTGATGATGCAGAATACGCTGCATTCGACCCTCCACGATACTTTTCGTCTGAACAATTGAAGCTTACATACAAGGTATAGATGTGTTTAGCAGGGTTGGCAAAAAACTTGTTTTTTTTTATTTTAAACAAAAAAACATTGTTTTTTTTTGTTTAGAACAATGTTTTTGTTTTATTTGTGTTTTTAAGTAAAGTAAAAATAAAACATATTTTTAAAAAAAAGTATGTTTTAAACAAGCAAAAAACATAATATTAATAGCTTTGATCTGTGTAAATATTTAAATTTTTCGCTAGCGTTAAACTGTAAATAACGTTGCCAAAATTGACAACGCTATTAAAAATATAAATAATAAAATAAAAATAATAAGATGGATATTATTTTAGTAGAATATTTATTTTTGGATATTAAATAACAATCAATACAATAAAGATTACTTAGAAGATATTAATTGACTTTACATTTTACATTTTAGCATTTTAAATTAATAGTACATAACTCATAGCAGGTCAATAGTTCTAAAAAAAAGTTCTAGTTAATAATATTTAATATAAAATCTTTGGTTCCTTTCCTATTCTTATTAAGTAATCTCATGCTTAACTCTCAACATAAATTATAAATAAAAAATAAATAAAAAGTCACAATTCTTCTTTTTAAAAGAAATTTTTTTTAGAATTACTCACCTGCTATGAGTTATGTACTATTAATTTAAAATGCTAAAATGTAAAATGTAAAGTCAGTCAATACCTTCTAAGTAATCTTTATTGTATTGATTGTTATTTAATATCCAAAAATAAATATTCTGCTAAAATAATATCCATCTTATCATTTTTATTTTATTATTTATATTTTTATATCTATATGTTACACAAATATAGATAAAAAACTAAAAACACTAAAACAAAAACTTTTTTTCAACATACATAATATTAGTTTTTGTTTGTTTTTTATTTTTTTTTACAATTTCTCTTTTCCAAATGATCATATATTTTATTTACGATATTTTAAACGGTTTTAAATAATAGTTTAAAACAGTTTAAAACAAAAATGTTTAAAACAGTGGATACTGTTTTAATCAAACAAGTTTTAATCAAACAATTTTAATCACTGTTTTAATCAAACAGTTTTAATCAAACAGTTTTAATCACTGTTTTAATCAAATAAGTTTTAATCAAACAGTTTTAAACACATTGTTTAAAATATGCCAATCCTTTTTAGCAATAAAATAGCGAAAATTATTTTTTATAACAATAATTTACAATATATAAAATTTCTCTCTTCTTCCAACAGGGTTCTCTTGACACAAAAGAATATATGCTCTCTGAATTCACTAAAGCCCTCAACATACCATCCGACAGGCTGTGTATACTAGCAGCTTTACTTGGCAATTACATATTGACCGAAAGTGACTTGGCTGATTTCTACAAGAATCATAACATTAGTACTAACGTATTAAACAAGACGAGCGTCGAACAAATGATCAAGACGATTGCAAACTTTGTCAGGGAACTTTCGTCCGTAGAGTTGGATGTAGTTTCGCAAAAAGTCTTCGGTTCCACCTCGGACCCAAGGTGTTCTAAATTGAGACAGTCTGTCCAATATTATTTGAATGGAACAAAAGAGGGATTTCTACACTATAAGCCTGTGAAACCAACAAGAGGTAAGATAGCATAAAAAAGAAAAGTTTTCTTTAAACTATTTTCTTCTAAGTATTACAAAATATTTAGAAAAAAGAAACACAGGGTGTTTTAGACCACCCGTACCACCCATTTAAAAACTAGAGAAGTGGTTATTTCAAAAAAGTAAAAACATTTTCTTTATAAATCAGGCGCTCCATCGAATAGTGATATTTTCAACTTCTGGTTCCGGCCGGAAATAGGCGGTTCAGACCGGAAGTGTATTTTTTTAAACGAAACCCTTTATTTTTCATTGTATATTCTTGTAGCTTACCTCGAGAGCTTACCTCGAGAGCTTTTCAAAACATTATAATAAATTATTTTTTCATGTAGTACTTTTCGAGTTATGAGACTTGAAATAATTTCTTTATTTTACATAAACTATAAAATATCCTGTAAAATATTCATTTTTCGATTATCTTACCTTAATACTTTTATGTACAAAATAATGAGAGAAATCAATTGGGGTAAAGAAAACATACAGTTGTTTTTAAGAAAAAATATGGAATTGTTAATTGCAAATTACATATTTTTTCTTAGAAACAACTATGTGTTTTCTTTACCTCAATTGATTCCTCTCATTATTTTGTACATAAAAGTATTAAGGTAAGATAATCGAAAAATGAATATTTCACAATATATTTTATGATTTATGTAAAATTAAGAAATTATTTCAAGCCTCATAACTCGAAAAGTACTTTATGGAAAAATAATTTATTATAGTGTTTTGGAAAGCTTTCGAGGTAAGCTACAAGAATATGCAATGAAAAATAGGGGGTTTCATTTAAAAAAATGCACTTCCGGTCTGAATCGCCTATTTCCGACCGGAACCAGACATTGAAAATATTACCATATTCGATAGAGCGCATCCGATTTATAAAGAAAATGTTTTTACTTTTTTGAAATAACCACTTCTCTAGTTTTTAAATGGATGGTACGGGTGGTCTGAAACAACCTGTATATTTCTATATCAATCTCTTTCAGTTCACAAATTAGATTCCAAGCCGAGCTCACAGGCTCAATCGAATCTGTCGGACACGCCATCAGCCTCGGAAGGTGATTCCAACTTGGAAACATCGAGATTCGCGTCCGAAACTCTGGAGAGCGAACGCGAGAGTTTGAACGCGTACAAACAGGCAACTGCTAATGCCAAAGCAGCGCCGCAAATTGTGATCGATCCACCCGGGCTTCAGAGTCACGGAGACTCTGATAAAGACGCCATACGCACAGAGGATGAACAAAGTATACCAATAAAACAGATAAATGCGACTTGGCGGTTTATCAAGAGTTTATTCTCTAACTAAACATTCGGAATTCTTCCAACAGGTGATGGACACGCCATCAACGGTACTCACAATCTCCTGATTAGCTCGTCGAGTTCGAGTAGTAGCTCCTCTGCAACGTCACCTTCCCACGCAACAGCTGATTCTGCGAGGCAGCCGGAAAAAACGGCCAATATCCCCGTCACATCGCCGGAGGTCATGCGTACCGCTTCGGAGCGTCATCAGAAGGGACTGATGTCACCGTACATCTATCAAATTCTTATCGCAGGCGAAATCAAATTGCCAGTTCTGTTGGAGGATGAGAACCATCGCGAATTCCCTTCCATTCACGTGATTTACAGACCAATCCGACAAATGGTATATGCGATTCTGTTCAATCTTCATCATCGGATGTATCTAGCTACAAAGAGTAAAGAAAAGGGTGGTAAGTATCATACATTAATTTTATTTTTTATATTAAATCCTAATTCTGCGCGAATTTCTGCTCACTAGACAGCGAGAAAGTCGAAGTCCCAGATGTGATAATAAAGGAATGGGTATGGTCCAAGAGCAATCCATATCAGACTCCAGAATTGGTGAAGGCAGAACAGATTGGTTGGGGCGTTCCCACAATACAACGTTTATGGTTTGGGTAAGCAATTTATCTATTCAATTAAGTCGAAGAAATTCGCATGTAATTATTCAATTAGCGTTGTGTAAGTTAATTTGTTAAAATTGTCTGTAAATTGACAAAATTTCCTGTTCTTTAGCACAGTTATCGATGATAAGCGGCGTAGACTTAGGGGATTCCTAACTTGCATGAGGTCGGACACGCCTCTCATATTAAATACCTCATACGTTCCGCAACATCTATTGGTCATGGCTTGTGTCTTGAGGTAAACATCGGTTACAATTGTTTTAATCTAATTGTATAATTCATGTCTATATTATTTTTATTGGAAATAATGTAATCGACCAAAACTAGCCAAAAAATTTTTATTTATCTATTACAAATAAACAAAAAAAAATTTTTTTTGGCTAATTTTGGTCGATTACATTATTTCCAATGAACCTTTGATTAATTGATTAGCGATATTAAGATAATTTATAAAATTATTTTTATTTATTCATAAATGAAAACTGAAAAACTAATCAAGACCTAAATCAATCCTAGACGGATAAATCTTTGATATCTTTTCTTTCGCAGATACATCATGTCTTTCTCCGACAAGATAAAAATTCTACGCCGTCAAGAGCTGGATGCCTTCATCGCGCAAGCTTTCTCACCAGAACTTATGAATGCTCAGTATCTACAAGATCTGCAGGTAAACTTGAGTAATTTTTACAGCTGTTAGCTTCGATATTACCTCAGCAGACCGACGTTTAATGTATCATTGGCGTATGTAGCTTCCACTAGTGACGTCGCGCGGAGTACAACTGGCTACCTTGTTCATGGCTGGTATAGAGACCGCGCTATTAGCGAACGACGCTTGCGGCGCACCGATTCCATGGTTAATGTGCTGCCCCTGGCTTTATTTCGACGGTAAATTGTTTCATCATACGCTCGCTCGTGCCACTATTGCCAAAAATCTACTGGAGCTCTGCAGTGGCCACATTGACCGCGTGGTTAAAGTCGAAAGGATGAGGAAAGCGATACTCGAAGGAATTACCCCGATGTTTGCTCGCCCACCGTTGCCTGTCGCACCAGGTGTGTGACCAGATTCTTCATATTTCTTTAATGAAACTTACTTCTTGAGTCTATGGCGACATTAGCCAAGGGAGAAAGTGTTGGTGAAATCGTAGCCGAATTGGCAGAGCACTTGTTTGACTTCCGGCGAGTAATTAACTTTGTTCAATGCTTCTCTCCCTCTCTTCCAGTTTCTTTAGCATCCTACGATCTTTCGTAGAATGTTTTCGAATGGAAGTAGAGTAAAGCAGCTAATATTGCTTCGTGAGCTCCACCGATATGGCCTCACGAATCTCAAAACTGCGACAAAATAAATCAATAAGTGCATCTCTCACACGTGAAACTAATGTTTGGAAAAGATGGGATAGTACAAAATTAATAAACAGAAAAAATTCACTTGTAAACACAGTTTATTCTTATGTACAGGGTGTTTCAGATCACCCATACCACCCATTTAAAAACTAGAGAAGTGGTTATTTCAAAAAAGTAAAAACATTTTCTTTATAAATTGGGTGCGCTCTATCGAATGGTGATATTTTACACTTCTGGTTCCGGCCGGAAATAGGTGATTCAGACTGGAAGTGCATTTTTTTTTAATGGAACCCCCTATTTGTCATTGCATATTCTTGTAGCTTACGTCGAGAGCTTTCCAAAACACTATAATAAATTATTTTTCCATAAAGTACTTTTCGAGTTATGAGGTTTGAATCACTTCTTAATTTTACATAAACCATAAAATATCTTGTAAAATATTCATTTTTCGATTACCTTAATACTTTTATGTACAGATTAATGAGAGGAATCAATTAGTGTAAAGAAAATATACAGTTGTTTTATGAAAATATATGGAATTGTTAATTGCAAATTACATATTTTTTCTTAGAAACAACTATGTGTTTTCTTTACTCCAATTGATTCCTCATTATTTTATACATAAAAGTATTATTATTTTATACATAAAAGTATTAAAAGAGTAAGATAATCGAAAAATCAATATTTTTCAAGATATTTTATGGTTTATGTAAAATTAAAAAATGACTTCAAGCCTCATAATTGGAAAAGTACTTCATGAAAAAATAATTTATTATAGTGTTTTGGAAAGCTCTCGAGGTAAGCTACAAGAATATGCAATGACAAAGAGGGGGTTCCATTTAAAAAAATGCACTTCCGGGTCTGAATTGCCTATTTCCAGCCGGAACCAAAAATTGAAAATATCACCATTCGATAGAGCGCACCCGATTTATAAAGAAGATGTTTTTACTTTTTTGAAATAATTACTTCTCTAGTTTTTAAATGGGTGGTCTGAAACACCCTGTATATGATGAAAATTAATCGTTTACAAGTAATTTCTATAAAACACACACGCAAAGTATTATTTAATTTTATACTAATTTGTTTTATATGTATAATATCTCGTGTATTTGTCCACATATTAGTATAATATTAATATAATATATATTAGTATAATATATTAGTATAATATATTATCGACTCATTGATACATGTAATAACTTTACTCTTTATTATCACAGGTATTCGCGTATCAGTTCCCTCGAATATTCTGCCTGCTGGTTGTCCTCCGGCCATTAACGAGAATCTGATGCGCGGTGGTCGAGGCAGCGGAACGATGCAACCTCAACGGGGTCTAATGCGACGTCCTATCCCATCGCGAGGTGGTCAGTTGGAGATCGCTGGAGTGGTAGTGGGTCAGTGGGGCCCGAATTACGGGCAACCTGGTCGACCCATGCCACAACCGTTGCAGGGTCATCCTCGTGGACGAATTCCACCGCAGGTAGGATATAGTGGAGTTGACACACACTAGGCTATATGTGTATACATATATATATGCGTGTTTGCGATACCATAATATGTATATGGTTCCGTATCGTTGCGTGTATATGGGAGAATGTAAGGAGCACACGATGACGATATTCTGAACAGATTTTAGGGGAACGTTCGAGATATTGAATAGTCTCGATCCGCTTTCGCTATTTAACGTCGCCAACGTGCATTTAGGAGGGACATCACGTAATACCGATTTAACGCAGATTTAGTCGCATTATACATTTTATATAGTTTTTATACATATACTTATATATATATATTAATTTTTATATGTATAGACGCGTCTCCGATATCAGGTGGAAATGAATTAAAAAAACAAATCATGTGTATCTCCGAGAATTTATATATATATATATATATTAAGCAGTGGAGGATAATTACATTTATCATATATTATGCAATTTTGTGCATGTTATTTCCTTACTACGTTTAGAAACGTTTATGAATGCAAGTATTTTGACATTTGTATAATACTTTCTTTTTATAGCTTTGCAATCCTGTATTATCGCATTTGCATGTTTTTTGTATGTAGTATGGACACTGTTATAAAATAAAGGTCTTTATATCTTTTAATTCGGAATATTTTAACTTGTGTTCCTTATTTTAAGTTTTATTTCGATAGCTCGATTGAATGTTATGTACGGAATAGCTGGCTGAATCACAAGCAATATATGTGTACGTGAAGTAGTTTATATTTAGTTTATATATACATAGAAAAAAATCATATATATTAGATGAAATTGTATATCCATTTCCAAAAAGTACCTTACTTATTCCAGAAATATTGTATAATATTTATAAATATTCCCTTTATTAATTGTTTATGTAATTCACGCTATGTGTATGTAATTGTTATATTAATTGTTTAATTGTTCATTTATATATTACAAATTTCTCATTGATATGAAAAATATGATAATTTAGAAACGCTATTAAAATCATCATTAATCATAGACTCAAAAAAGATTAACAGAAAGATACAAGTATTTATTTAAATGAAACAAAGTGAAAATTTATGTAAATTATTTATTCGTGTAAATGTTAACAATGCATTGAAGATTTTCACAAATTTATTCAATCATATATATATATATATATATATATATATATATATATATATATAAAATAGAGCTCATCATTTATCCATAAATTGCCCCCTTGTAAAAGAATTATCATATGATATATTATAATTTTCTCTTCCTGTTTAATAATTTATACAAAAAAATGTCGCGCGTGTGTCGCAATCTAGATGACGATTTTGTTGCAGGTAACGTCTATTGGTGGGCTCAAGTACGGTCTTCCCCGTGGATTTAATCCGATAAATCGGCCGACCTTTCAGACACGCGGGACCAACCGTGCCCCGATCGCCGGACGTGGAAAGAAGACTCAAATGAAGGTAAAAGGATCTTGTAGGTATATAAAAGCGAGAAGAATAAATGTCGGGTACGAATAAATGAGAATCTTAATTTTCGCCTGTCGGATATCCGTTTTTATTGTTGAGATGTCATTAAGTCCTATAAATGAATATCTTTCCGCGTATGTTCTAATAAGACACTTTTCACTTGACGAATGAATGCATCTTAGTTTATCGATATTTTAGGTAACTGGCAAGAAGAAGACTGCTATTAAAAAGACTACTACCGAGAAAAAAGACGGCAGGAACCGTGGTACCATTAACGATGAAATCACAGATTATAAGTGAATATCTCAAGCTTCTCTCTGTCTAAAAAAAAACCGCGTATCGTAGAGCTAAAGATTCTTCCTCGCAAACCTGAGACTTTTTATTTTCTCGTTCAGTTTAGCGCAAAATTCACGTCACTTGTAATTTAATAATATATTTAATATATTATTAATTGTTCTCCTAATTAAGATTTTCATTACAATTAATCTAACATTTTGTCAATTCGTCCGTTATATATAGAAAATTACATGATTCACAGCATCTCATTCTCTATTTCAGCGAAACTGAAAGCGATGACGCAGCTCGTGGAGTGTTGACGAAGGACGCACTGCCAGTAGCAGGTCAGTTTGATGACGCGGTGGAAAATGGTGGTAAAGGCATGGAAAAGGGACAGGGTGATGCACCGCTCGTCGCTCCAGTGGCCACGGAAAGCTAGATATTATCGGCGTACAAAGAGAAAATCTCACGAAAATTGTAACCACTTCCCGACCATGACTTAAGACTGCTAACAATCTACGTATATGTTCTATGAGCGATTGTGCATTAGTAACACTTGAATATCCATTTCTGAAATTGTCACGCGGAAATCTTTCTTGGTAATGTCATTATCAAAATGTAATCGAAAAAATATTCACAGAAAGATTTATATATTATTAAGCTGACGTCAGACTATGCATGTACTCGTCATTCGTAATTCGTAATGGTTTGCGAAAATCCTGCGTGGATTCTCTATTCGCAATCGATATTTGCGATTTATGACTTTAGCGTTTATTGACAAATAGATGTCCATTTCGTTGTCGATTTGAAAATTTTCGTTTCATTACCAATTTTGTTCATTATAATTGATAATTCAGATTGAAAACAACAATTATAATTGATAATTCAGATTGAAAACAAAGAGATTATTTTATGCCACAAAAATGTTATAAAATGTAAAAAATAATATTTTGTTGGATGAAATCTATCATTTAGAGGAATATAATAATATAAACACATACAAAAATGTATATTATGCATACATCACAACTATTTATTATATATAAATAATATATTTATATGTGATTGTACATATATACATGGATATATTATTATATTCTGTCAACAGAAAATTATAGATTGTCAAATTTATTAACATTTGAAAACTATTTTTTAATATTATAAAACGACAATTCTAATTCTAGTTTTATTTTGCAGAGAGAATATGCAAATACATGATGCGAAACTTTAAGTTTGACAATGAAATGGATGCTTTATACATTTATCTCAATGCATAGTGTAGCGCCAGCTTTATGTGTAATGTTGTAAAGAAAGTTTTCTTATTTTATTTTCATTATCTTATTTTTCAGACAATTTATTTTTTATTATTCAATATCAGAAAATCTTTATCAAATAAATAACTGCAATGTGTGATTTAAAAACATATTTACTTGCAATTACCTGGCTTTATTTAAATTAAAATTTTGTAAAAAATATATATATATATATATATATAATATATATATATATATATATATATATATATATATATATATATATATATATTTATATATAATATATATATATATATATATATATATATATATTACAAAATTTTAATTTTTCAAAATTAAAACTGCATATTTGAGGATTAATATAAATATTTGTCAGATGAAAGGGATTTTCGAAGCATCAATGGCGTTATTTAAAAGCTGTCTGTTTCCTTAGTGTTACTTGCACAAAAGCTCGAATGGGTCCAAAATATTGAAATATTAATAAGAGACGAGAGATCTTTACTCAAACTGGTGAGTCCCGGTACCCCGGTGACACACGGTAAAGATTTTACCCATTTTTGACACGATGACCTCACTGCCAAACATACTATTCTGTATAAGATATAAAGAAAGAGACAAAAAGACGAGAAGAAAAGAAAAAAAAATCGTGCTTGTACTAAAAAAAAAAAAAAAGGGGAGAAGAGCGAGCAAATTTCGCTCGCATTATTACTCGACTGATTACGCGTGCGCTAATTTTACTACTCAAAGAACACAAATCGTCAGCTGCTATAAGTATTTAATTCTTAAGAATTATTTTTTTTACAAAAATATATATTTTCCGGTATTATATGAAATGCTCGCTGTGACGTTATCTCAGTGATCCGATCTGATCGATGAAGAAAGTAGTTCGACATTACGCGTACACAGATTACACATATATACATACACGCTGTACATTACACGATTATTGACTTTTGTAGATAAGAACGAGGCCAGATGGAGCATTGAGATAGTCATTAGCATATGGAGACTGATGCTTTTCATATAGGTAAAATATATATTGATATATATATATACATATTATTTAGATTAGAAAAGATTCCCACGCATATGCAGTATATTATACGTAAGTTGTGCCTGTGTACGATGCATGAATGTATTATACTTGCGAGTACATGAGAGCAATTGTACGAATTGTAGCGTGTGTATGAAAGTAAGAGGGAGAAATGAAGAACGAGAGAGAGAGAGAGAAAGAGAGAGAGTGAAAGGAGCCACGATAATGATGTACATAAACGTGGCACGTTATGCTGTTATGAATGCATATGTAACCTAGGTCATATATTTATTTGCGACGAAAGATTGTACGAATGAGTGTGTCTCGAGCGAAATTTGTGGTTTAGATACGATAGCGTTTCTATCTCGAGAGCAGACTTGAGGCTTATCGTGAGGGCTTATATAAAAATGTTGAGAAGAGTGATTTCTCTTACGGTATGCCTCATATTGTTTGGAAAATATGCTACATTACGGCTACATACGCGAGAGTTTACAAGTTGTTGATTCGAAATCATTTGTGGAGATACATACCTGACTAAAACGTATATTTAATTTTCGCAATTCAAGTGTGTTGAAGATTTGTTTGTTGAAAATTCCATGTTTAAGTTTGACAAAGGAAAAATGATGACACGTTCGAGATACATTATTGCCCTCCTAGATTAATTGTTAAATACGAGATTTGAGAAAAAGAGAGGATTAATATATATTACGTTTGAAAAAAAAAAAAATCACATCTTTTCGTACGCGCACGTCTAGTGTAGCATATTTCGAGAAATGTTCCTCCTTTAATTGTACATATGAACAGTTACTTTTTAGAAGTGACGAGTGTGATTGATATATATGATGTATATACAGAATCCAGGTGCGTGTGTGCTTATCACGCATCAGGGAATAGGAAGCGATTATGTTGAAAAAAATATACTATTTATGCGTAGAATAGTCTAAAAGACTTTCTACCAAAGATCATCGGAATTTAAGAGAGAGAAAGAGAAAGAGAAAGAAAGAAAGAAAGGGTTTTCTTTTGTCAGTAGAAATGATATATAACAACAAGATAACAAGACAGCACGACAGAACACGATTATTAAAATAAGTACCGAAGAGAGGGATGAGACGAAAACGTGTCCAAGACACGTGGGCGAAGGTAATTAAAGCGAGTAAAAAAAAAAGAGAAAACCATTTATTGAGGTAATATAATGAAATGATAAGATAAAATGTTATATTTTTGTAGATTTGTTATTGCGTAAAATGCATTAGGACACTGTGAGAAACTTTATATAATTTGAGTAAAATGACAGTTAACGAGCCTGAGAGTAGTTAAAAATGAAGTAAGATTTTGTGGGAGAGGGAGAAAGAGAGAGAGAGAGAGATACGAAAGTGCTTTAGATGGCATGTTAAGGAAGTGACATCCGTGGATAAATTTTGTCGAAAAGAAAAAGAAAAAAAAAAAAGAGTCGAGTCCCACGTTTTCCTATGTTTCCGAAGCTCTCAAGTTTTCCGAGTTGCTCGTAGGAACAGGAAAAAAAGAAAGAAAGAGATATATATATATACATATATATACACACGCATATATTAACATATATGAATACAGAGATGAATTATATAACTAATAATGTCAGCTTCAATGTGCGCCGAGCATGTGTGGAAGTAAAATTCGACCGTTTTATTTCGCGATGCGAAATCGACGTCAGCGTTCGCTTTTAACGCACTTTCTGCCCAAAAAAATTGGCGTGTGCATCTGTAAACCGTATATATCTTGGCAAACGCCAAGTAACATTTATATAATTATTATTTGTAATTTCCAACTCAACATGTTATATATAACGTTACACATGTTACATGTTATTGTTATATATAACGTTACGTATGTTACATGTTACGTAACAGTTATATAACAGTTATATAACATGTAACAGTTATTTATTTTTTTTAAATGGGAAATTACAACCAACAATTATAAAAAAAAGTTACCTGGTGTTTGCTGGGTACGTTTTTCACGTGACACATGATGTATGATTTCGAAATCATCCGAGTCTCTTATACGATAACGCAATTAGCGTGCGGCTTACTTTGCAAGGTACACGCGCCGATGAAGGTACGATTGCTGAAGAAAAAAAAAAATAATGTTTTTTTCCGAAAAACGTAAATTTCGAAAATTGACAATTGTATCGTTCGTTGTCGAATGATAAATGTTAACACTTATACACACACACACGCACACACACATACACGAAACATATACGACATACATACAACACGTACTAGAAGCCGACTTTCTTGAATCTGACGAAATACGAATTTGAGAGTAAAATGCCACTTTACGCTTTTACGTAAAGACATATGTGATTTTCTTTCCGAGAGAAATCGAACTCTTGATACATAATATATATGTATGTAATACCAGATATAAAACGAGTAAAGACACAAATAACGATGTAAATGCAACGTCATCAGTCGCCGCTGCGCTGATGCACGAGCAATATGCAATAATAATAATAATATAATAATAATAATGATGATGATAACGTGAAATAAATAATTTAATGTAAAAAAAACGCGAAATGCGTGTAATGCGTGCGAAAAAACGAAAGGAAAACGAGAATCCACATTGAATAACAAACGGAAAATACGGAAACTCGAACGACGTAAAAAGAAAAAAAAAAATGAAAACAAGAAAAAACAACAGGCGCAACCTTAAAGCTCGTCTGTGCTTTTCGTTATTGCGATAGATAGAAGGAGGAGAAGCGGGGCCCACGAAAAAAAAAACACACACACTCGTCTATGATAATAATAATACCGACATTACCGTTGTAAAAGAGTTACAAGTTAATCTATGCTCGTATTTATTATATATGAAGTAACAATCTCTATAAATGATCTTCTCAGATGCAATTGTATGTGTTGTGAACAGATAAACTAATAACGAGAAAAAAATTCACATTGTGCACCGAGTATAAAATATCGAGAGAGGGGCCCTCTCGAGGGGGCCGCCGATTATAATTATATATCTTGAAGAGACGAAGAGAAACGAGTCTGTTTTCGCTTTAAAAAAAAAAACGTTTAACGTTGATGAAGAAGGGACAAAATAAAATGGAAACAAAGCGCTCGAATGACGGCTGTTTTTCGTTTGATTTTTCGAGGACACGTATACTTTTTCTAGAGGGCACGAAGAAATATATAATATATTATTGCAGCCGATCGTAGGACTCTCGTTAATTAACGCTCTAAAAAACTCGTGTATTTCTAATGAATAGTCGTATCCTTTCTTCTCGGAAAAGAAACCTTAACTAACTATATATTTCTACGTTAATCTCAATCTTCTCTTTTTGTTTTAAACTTTGTAGAAACGTAGGTCCCCATACTCCACAGACCATTGTTGTTACATTGCTATAATATTGCTGTAATATTCTGTGATGTTGCTACAATATTGCTGCGACGTTGCTACAATATTGCTGCGACGTTGCTGCAATATTGCTGCGACGTTGCTGCAATATTGCTGCGACGTTACTGCAATATTGCTGCGATGTTGCTACAATATTGCTGCGATGTTGCTGCAATGTAACAATAATGGTCTGTGTTTTATGGGTCTCACAGAAACTTGAAGAAAAAAAAGGAGAGATCATTTAATTTCAATAACTTGTTTTAAATGATTCCAAAAAAAAAAAAGAAAAAAAATATATATTACGTTTCACTGTATGCTTTGATAGATGTAAAACACGCGCCAATGATACGTGTCATATTTTTTCGCGTGTCTCTTTTTATTTCTTAACTTAATTGTTGCTGCTATAGCCATATGTGCGAGTAGAATCAGAGATCTTTCATAGCGATCAAGGGTGAAATAACGTGAAACAGGAAGGGGGAGCTCTTTTTTAGGTTGCTATGTAATCACGACGCGATTTCTATAAATTTTAAGTTTTCTTTTGTCCTTAACCGTAGTTTTGCTTGCTCCATAACGTAAAATAACGCGAGATGTAAACTAAAGTAACGATATAGAAGCAAACACGCAAGAGTATATAATATTAATAAAGTAAAAAAGTATAAATATAAAAAAGAAAAAAAAAGATTGAACACTTATCGATGTAGCTGAAGAAAAAAAACGCGTGTGGGCCCCGACACACATAACACGTACACACACACACATACACACACACACACACACATGAAACACACACCCCCCCATGTATATTCTTATTAAAATATTAAACGTAACGTGTGTATATTCCGCTCTATTATTATTATTATTATTTTTTCTTTTCTTTTAATTCATAGCCGAGAAAAAGGAAAAAGGATTACACGCAATTAACGCGATAACATGTATGTTTGATAATCATTAGTACATTTATATATTTTCGTTTTTACTTTCTCTTCCTTAAATATTTAAAAGAGAGATGGAAGGATGTGTGTGGGATGACAAAGAGAGAAAGAGAGAGATGTACACCACGTGGGGCGTGGATGTATTCGTTGCGAGGGGTGAGAAAACGCCTTCAGGTATCTTTTAACATCCGGAATGTCGTTTCCGGTCTGCGAGAAGGAACCCAGCAAACACCCAATAACAGTTATATAACTGTTAGTTGTAATTTCTCACTCAATAATATAATTGTTACATGTTATGTAACAGTTATATAACTGTTACGTGTTATGTAATTATTATCTAATCATGTAACAGTTATATTGTTGAGTGGGAAATTACAACTAACAATTATATAAATGTTACTTGGTGTTTGCTGGGAACCTATACAGCACAGACCATTGCTGTTACATTGCAGCAATATTGCTGCAATATAACAGCAATGATCTATGACGTATGGGAAAAAGCGAAGAATGGAGAAGGAGGGAAAATCGCTGGTTGATCCGAAAATGATGAAAAACATGCGCTAAACTGTTATATCGATAATCATATAATTTGACCTCGGTGGGTCGGTCCGATGGTGGTCGAATCACTTTATCCAGGCACGCAAAATGAGCGAAAAAAAATGTAAACCTGCGTAAATTATGCATATAAATATATATAAATGTATGTGTGTGTTTGGAAATTAGGAACGCGCAGAGGGAGATAAATCCATCGTACACGATCCTAATCGATTAATCGACAATTCAAGCCAGATTCAAATTAACTCGTAGACCTCCTGGGGAGATTATATGGTAAATCGTCCACCCCACATACACCATAGCCGACCCATTCGCGGTCCCTCGCATTTATATAAACGCAAATTGATGTATTCTCTCGTTTATCAATACCATTGTAAACTTACTATTGTAACATGTATGCCCCATTCATGTCTAGTGTCGAGCAGAACTGATTCTACGCTTTCGCTAGTTCGAGAGGAGAGATCGTGTTTCCGAATATAATCTATTATTCACATGCAATTTTTATTACATGATGATTTGAGCCCAGCAAACACCAAATAACAATTATATAACTTAGTTATAATTTCTCATACAGCACAGAACATTGCAACAATATTGCAATATTGCTGTAATGTTGCAACAACATTGCAATGTTGCCGAAAATATTGCTGCAATGTTGCAACGACATTGCAATATTGCTGCAATGTTACAACAAACATTGCAATATTGCAACAACAATATGTAATATTGTCGCAATATTGCAGCAATGCTACTACAATATTCTGTGTTTGCTGGGATATAACTGTTACATGTTACGTAACAGTTACATAACATTATATTGTTGAGTGGAAAATTACAACTAACAGTTATATAAATGTAACTTGTTTTTACTGGGAGGGGACAAGAAGAGGAGGAAAGAGAATCAGTGCTGGCGAGGACACGAGGCAACCGAGAAAAAAAAAAGATTATCGTAAAACTCTAAAGTCACACACGTTTAAACTACCTTTAAACAAAAAGAAGGGATACATATTCGGAGAGTAGCAAAGATAAATAACTAATATAAATGTAGTGGCTCTAAAAAAAAACTCTATAATACTACCGCAAGGAGAAAAAAAGGAAAAAAAACGATGATATATACCGATGATTATTCGAAGTATAAAATGCAAAACGCACTCTTAATGAATGTTGTAACGATTTAGAGAAATATTTAAATTGCATTATTACTAATACTCGCTGTGTAAATCCGATTGCTTGGGGCGCGAGTGCTCCGCTCCCTCGATCATCCCCTGTGGATCCCATACAGCACAGAACATTGCAGCAATATTGCAGCAACATTGTAATATTGCTGTGACATTTCAGCAACATTGTAATATTGCTACAATATTGTAATATTGCTGCAATATTGCTGCAATGTTCTGTGCTGTGGGATCCTCGAGGAGGGGAAGAACGAGAGCAGAGCAGTCGGTTCCCAAGTGAAGCGGATAAATTTCAGTTTCTTTCTTTGTCAGTAATCTTTGAGCGTAATATTTAACCCTTCATTTATATATCTTCTCTATATAAGCAAAAACCTCTCACAACACACTCATACACACGCAGAATTAGAAGTATTTAAGATTCGTAGAGAGTCATCCGTTGAGTTTATTAAGAAGAAGCCTTTGCGCGCGACATGTAATGTGCGGCTTTTGTAAAAGACAACAAACTTTCAATCCAAGTCTTGTAAGAAAGCTCTTGGCGCGAGAGAGAGAGAAAGAGAGAGAGTGAGGTGGAGAGGGTGGCGGAGTGGCTTGGGTAGGGGGGCGAGGAGAGTTCTCGGATACGGTTGGCTGACATTTTCGGAAGTTTAATGATTTATTGAAAAACGTGTTGTCATGTCTTGAATACAATTAAAAAGAGTATGAAAAATTGCATCCCGAGCCAGTATTTTATTTACCAAGTACACACTTTTAAAACGCAATAAACACCCCCTCCTGAATTGTTCACGATTATCCTAATTCTCGTTTATTGCATTTTATCTCTTTTAAGCTCGCAAATTAAATAATTTATTTAATTAAAATTAAAATTCGAGGCGATCAACGATTTTTCAAAAGCAAAACTTTATCAAGATTTTTTTTTGTCTTTACATGTATTACTTAATTAAATCAGAATTGTGTGATTTAGTTTCAATTTTAGAATAGAAATACATAAACACGATATTATAAAACGAATTTAGAAGTATTTTTTTAATTTGACAGAATATTCATATTTTGATACATCTAAAACTTTATTCAAAATTTTTATATGCACAATTTTTCATCTGCATTGTTTAATATATGTACACAAAAATTTGTTCGTTTAACGTTACACAAAGTAGATGTATATTTTATAATTTATTTGTCACTAAAATGTATAACATATGTTTCCATTTTATTTTGGATTATTATAATATAAAAAAATTGCCACTGATAGTTGATATAGCCTATTGAAAAACATGTACAAGTCTGAAGATTTAAGGATTTGCGAGAAATCGCACGCGTTTTATAACATTTTCGTAATATATATTTTTATAATATATATTTTTTATTTATAATATATTTTCATCCTATCGTGTAATATCGCTTCCTAGATGCAAGAGTCAATTAAATAGAAACTTTTGATAAATAGAAAAGTATCGTAAAGTTTCAAGGCAGTACGACTTATTATTATTATTATATATTTCTATCTTCTTATTCTATTATCAGGACATTATTTAGTCGGCTTGAGAGGATTCTTTTTCTAATGATTCTTTGAGAGGATTAATCCCCTCGCTTACTGGATACACGTAGAGAGTTTTCTTCCATTCCTCTATGTCAGTAATATGATAAGCTTGCGTTTTTTTGTCCTGTTGATCGGTTATAAATTCCAAAGAATACTGCATCTTACGGTTATCCTCCGGAATACCTATAAATAAAAAATTGTTTAACAAATTTGACTTTCTAAATAGAAATACTATCTTGGAAGTGTACATGCATACTCTTATCTCGCAATTTTTAATTTCTTCATTCATACTTTTATGCATTTTTATTTGCAATCTTATCAAATTAATTCTAATTATTCACAGAATTATATATTCTATTGTGCTACAACAATCTTCATATCTTGCAAGAATGAGTAAAGCACTTGCATTGTAATAATGCTCTTTTACATGAAAAAATTTTGCTTATACACATTATATATTTATATTCGTCTTGAAGCAATAATGCAACAATAAGAAATACAAAATGTAAGCAAGTAAATAATACTATAAAACAATTTATACAATTGTAATATAATTTTCTGATAGAGTTTGGTGTACTTTGGTCGTTAAACAGTCAAAAATCGCTAAATGTAACAAGACTTGCATTCTTTATTACCCATTCATAAATAATAAGGTAGAGAGATGCAAGAATTATCATTCTCACTGATTGTTTTGTCTCCTTCGTTGTTTTCCTTCGAGTGATTTCCCACCACATGAATACTCAGTTTCCTAAAGTTACTTCCATGCAATGTATGCTTCGCAGTCCACTCTCTAAGATCTTTAAGCTTGATGTCCTTTATCGCGAGCACTTCTCGCTCAAGTCTGTCAAACATGTACTGCCAAGTCGTAATCTCGTTCCAGTTTCTTACAACTTCCTCATCTAGATCGATATCGGCGCACTGCTTCTCCTTTCTCAGCGCCTCCTTGACGTAGTCTAAGTCCTCTTCCGGTAAAGATTTCAGTGTCTTATTAAACGATTTCAAAAAGTCCTCGATCCGCTGGTCCACGTGCTCGGTCGTGTACTTGTTCGCCTGAGTTTGAATCGTAATCGAATATCCCAAAATCCCGTAGACGTCTTGGTGGGTGCAGGAAACATCGTAACCGAGCTGCTCCTTGGTTCTGAGCCGATTGAACAGCGGTTCCTCCATTATCATCTGAAATAATCACAGAACTTAATATTGAGCGGATAAAGCTAAATACGAATGTTAAGAATATTTGCCACATTTGGAAATCAAAATACAAATGTGAGACACGCAAATAAATATGAGGATTCTACAGATTAAGTATAATTGATGAGATGATGGGATTCATCCACTTACTATCAATAAATCAATCAAGACCGATAACTCGACCGACTTAGTTCCAGCCTGATAGTGATTCGTCACCACGGAATTCACGTCGGTCTTGTTGATGTTTCTCACTTTGCAATATTGTGTGCCTAGAGGTATCTGCGTAATTCTTATTTGCGGCATCATACTCGGGAGCAGCGGCTTGCAGTTGATTATTTCGATGTATTGTCGCACGTTCTCGATCACAGCATCTTGTGTCATGTTGCCCTGCACGAGACACTGGATGAAGAGACGTTCGTTGAAGGATGTGATGAAATTTCGGAATTTTTCGAAATTGGTGTCGCACAGAACGTTGTACAAGTCGATGTGCGTGTAATGGACAAACTTGAGTATATGCAACCTCACATCCCTACAAAAAAATCCAGAAACATATGCGTTAGTGATCAATTAAATATACAGGGTGGACCAAAAGTCTGGATACAGTCGAATATCTCGTATAGATTGCATTTTAGAACAAAATGCTTTAGACAAAAGTTGTAAGGATTAAAAAGATGTATTTAACTGTAATATCCATTTGACATTGAGTGGCGTCGCCAAGGCCACGGCAAGGTCAACTTGAATTTTTTAAATGGAATCCCCTATTTTTCATTGCATATTCTTGTAGCTTACCTCGAGAGCTTTCCAAAACACTATAATAAAATATTTTTCCTTCAAGCACTTTTTGAGTTACAAGGCTTGAAATCATTTCTTAATTTTACATAAACCATAAAATATTTTGTAAAATATTCATTTTTCAATTATCTTATTTAATACTTTTATGTACAAAATAATGAGAAGAATCAATTGGTGTAAAGAAAATACAGTTATTTTGAACAAAAAATATGTAATTTGCAATTAACAATTAAATATTTTTTCTGAAAAGTAACTATGTGTTTTCTTTACACCAATTGATTCCTCTCATTAATTTGTACATAAAAGTATTAAGGTAATCGAAAAATGAATATTTTACAAGATATTTTATGGTTTATGTAAAATTAAGAAGTGATTCAAGCCTCATAACTCGAAAAGTACTTTATGGAAAAATAATTTATTATAGTGTTTTGGAAAGTTCTCGAGATAAGCTACAAGAATATGCAATGATAAATAGGGGGTTCCATTTAAAAAATGCCCTTCCGGTCTGAATCACCTATTTCCGGCCGGAACCAGAAGTGTAAAATATCACCATTCGATAGAGCGCACCCGATTTATAAAGAAAATGTTTTTACTTTTTTGAAATAACCACTTCTCTAATTTTTAAATGGATGGTACGAGTGGTTTGAAACACCTTGTATAATTAATTTTACAATTAATCATTTTTTCTCGATTATTCAAGAATTGTGGCAGATATACTAAATATGAATAAATGAATAGGTACCTGACGAGTTTCTTGGGCTTTATAAATGTGTTGTACAGTTTCTTGAGTTGAAACTCCTTCAAAATCTCGAATAACTCCTTCGTAACAAGATTCGGGTAGTCCACTATGTATTTCATGACAGTGAGTACTAAGAGCTGTGAAATATAAGAATGTAAATAAAACTCAAAATTGTGTAGCTATAATTTAAATTTAGATCTTCTCTAAAAGGAATTCTTACAGGCAGTTTTTCGTTAAATCCATTAAACTTCATTTTAATACCCTTCTCACTAGAATATATGTTGAAATCAAATCCCACCACTATTGCTGCATATATTTCTTCAACCAATAGGAAGTGTAGTATATTGCAGTACAAGTCCAGGAGAGCTGCACTGAGATGTCATTAGTGTGAATGTTTTTTTTTGTTAAATAAAAGATGCAAATAAATATATAAAGTTGTAACATTTACAACAAATATATATTGAAGATAGATATTTTGAAATATGTATGTTCAAAATCTCAATTTTCATTATTTTTTATCTTAAAGGATGTCATGATAGTGACAAGTTTTTAGAAAAATTTAAAGTTTAAAGAAAATTAAAAGTAAAAAAAATAATAGAAAATTAAAAATAAAAGATTTTAAGTGAAAACAATATTTAATTGTAAGATATAAATTAAATAATAAACTACAATTTTTTCATTTTTCATTTCAACTTTCATTTTTTCATTTAGAATTAAAGATTTTAATTTCTCAGAATCTTGAAACTTGATTGACAATTCATTATCGACATATTAATAAAAAATTCAGAGAAATAATCTTCCAAAATATTAGTGTAGTGAAATATTTATCATTAGAATATTAATAATATAATTTAGAATAAAAATCATGTATATTTCAATACATATTTTTCACAGCTTTTTTGCTTATTGTTACTTACTTCTCCAGCGATCGAAGTCTCAGAGGAGAAACAAAGTGAAAGTTCATGTAACATTCTGGCAGACGAAACTTTGGATCCGGGCGATACCAAATCTCGGATATGGCATCGGTGTGAATTTTCACAGGATACTTTGGAATGTCCGCCGGAATCGGTATTAAAGTAAAGTCGCTGGTGAGGAATGTATTCGGTATTGGCAAGTGAAAATCTGGCAAGGGCTTGATGGTTTTCCAGCGCTCGACCCATTCCTGTGGTATTTCAACGTCCGTATACTTGGTATTGAACCAGGGCTCAGTCTTGTCCAACTCGGCGTTAAATTTTCCATTGAAGATCATGATATTCGCATTCTCCGGTCTCAGGTAGTTCAGGCACCTTTTTATGGCTTCCGGATCGTACTCGAAGTAAAGCTCGCTTCCAGTTAAGTAGTCCTGCGATGGATAGTAATGCATGCTGCCGCACAAATCCTCTACATACTCTATTGGATCCTCTTCGTCGGCAAATCTAGAAAGATCTATAGTTATATACTTGATGAAGAATCACCTGTCACATTTTGATACATTTTTACATTCCATTTTTTTCCCTCCAAAGCCACCTTAATCCTCCTTAATTTATTTATGAGATTCCTTTACCTGAAGTTATTCTCTCTGATTTTACAGGATTCGTCGTAGATCCTCTCCTGAGGGCCTTCTGTTCTCAACAAACTGATATAAGAAAATACCGCATCCAGTACTTCCTCCAAATGATTCTGTCCTTCATCCGTGAGCAACACAGTGACCTTGAATAAAGCGTACATAGAACTGTGCTCGAAACCACTCTCGGTGTTGCCGCTGAACAATTCGATTCCCCACATTTTTTTACGCAGATAACTAATTATGGAGCCTTTCCCTTCGTGCCCGACGAGCCACGAGACATATTCATGTGGTTTGCTTTTGTAGAAATCAAGCAGTGAAGGCATTGCCCATGTTATTTTCACCTGCGAAAGACAATCTCGATGTTACATGTAAATTTTTATAGGAGATATGAAGATTTATATGCATTTTAATTTGTATATTTCATTTAGTTTATGTAATAATCAGGGTTAGCATATTTTAAACAATGTGTTTAAAAGTGTTTGATTAAAACTTGTTTAAAACAATGGACACTGTTTTAAACATTTTTGTTTTAAACTGTTTTAAACTATTGTTTAGAACCGTTTAAAATATCGCAAATAAAATATATGATTATTTGGAAAAGAAATTGTAAAAAAAATCAAAAACAAACAAAAACTAATAGATGTGTATATTGCAAAAAAATTTTTGTTTCAGTGTTTTTAATTTTTTATGTATATTTATGTAACATATAGATATAAAAATATAAATAATAAAATAAAAATGATAAGATGGGTATTATTTTAGCAGAATATTTATTTTTGGATATTAAATAACAATCAATACAATAAAAATTACTTAGAAGATATTGACTGACTTTACATTTTACATTTTAGCATTTTAAATTAATATTACATAACTCATAGCAGGTCAGTAGTTCTAAAAAAAAATTTCTTCTTTTAAAAAAAAGAGGTTTTTTAATTTTCTTTTATTTATAATTTATGTTGAGAGCATGAGGTTACTTAATAAGAATAGGAAAGGAACCAAAGTATTATATATTAAATATTATTAACTAGAACTTTTTTTTCTCCAAAAATAAATATTTTGCTAAAATAATACCCATCTTATCATTTTTATTTTATTATTTATATTTTTAATAGCGTTGTCAATTTTTGCAACGTTATTTACAGTTTAACGCTAGCGAAAAAATTTAAATATTTACACATATCAAAGCTATTAACTGTTTTTTGCTTGTTTAAAACATGATTTTTTTGTTTAAAACATGTTTCTTTTACTTCACTTAAAAACACAAATAAAATAAAAAACATTGTTCTAATGACAAGTTTTTTGCCAACCCTGATAATAATGCATGAATAGATGCAATATTACAAAGATAAAGATAAAAAAACATTTAATAATTTTGATAATAATGCATTAAGCCAATGGCATTTCTTAATTAATTTTCCTTGGAACTATTACAACTCTTTAGATTCACAAATAAATATTATTTTATGTATGACTTAGTATATTATTATCAATCATTGAATTATAACACTGTATTTTAGATTTACATACTTGGTTAATATCTTCCACAGATTTAACTTTGTACATTCTTCGGAAAGCAGGAGTATCGAAGGATATGCCATCTTTGAATTCGGCAAAGTCCTCCGGAGGCAACCCGTTGCTCGGCACATCGGCGAAGCACGTGATGACGTATTGCTCTAAGGTATCCAGCGGCAATCTCGCCTGCAAACAGATGTACCTTACTATGAATTAGTTGATTAGATTCTCGTCGCAGTTTTAATGAAATAAACTCTACCTGTAGAGCCAGTTTCATTCTGTGGGCGCTGTAATGGTACTCTCTGAACTTGTGCAACTCCGCATACAGCTTGTCGTCTTCCACATTGTCGCGCAACGTTATCAGATTGCCCCAAATAAACTTGTTGGCTGGATGACCATCTCTCGCGAAGGAGGAGAACAATTGCTCCTTTCTATTGTCGTCGTAGGGCAATGCCGACTGAAATTCTACGTCAGAAAGCTTATCAAGACAAAGTGCATTAATATAACTATTATTACAATTATAATAAAATATAATACCGCTTTCCACAGCTTCTCGCTCGCGCGTGATGGCGTCTTTCTTCATCAAGGGTTTAATAAAGAATTGAGCGAAACGATCGAGGGCTTGTAACAGATGCTTTTCCTGGATATCAAAGTAAAATGTCGTATGCTCGCAATCTGTTTCAGCATTGGTGGAACCACCGCGCTTGCTGAGAAACGCATCAAAATCATTTTCCTGCGAATAAAATGGTTCTTGAGCATTTAAGTGCACGAACAAATGAATTTCTTTATAATGGATCTTATGTACTGTTGTTGAAAAATTATATTAATAGATATTAATTAAAAAATTTAATTTAATTATATATAATTATAATATAATATTATTATATAATTATAATTTTAATACCTGTTAATACCTATTAATACCAATTATTATATAATTATAGTTTTAATAAGTTATAAGTTTTAATAAGTTATAAGTTAATAGTTTTAATAAGTTATAAGTTTTAATACCTGTGGATATTTCTCTGATCCCATAAAAACCATATGCTCGAGGAAATGTGCCATGCCTGGAATTTCTGGTGGGTCGCTAAAACTGCCTACTCCCACGCACAAGCCACATGCTGCCTGTTTAAAGAAATAGATACATAGATTTATAAAGGTAGTAGACACGCAATCAGACTCAAATTATATAGCTTATTATCACCAATAGGTGAGGTAAATTATATTAGAAAAAATTAATATAATAACAAATCCAATTGTCTATACAAGTTTGTTGTATGTACCATCTTTTCATTTCTCTTGACTCGTTTAGTTGACGAAGAACTATCTTCATCATCGCTGGAATCTTCATCTTCGTTTTCATCCTCATCTTCTTCTTCATCATCTTCGTCACTATCCTCATCTTCAGTTTCATCTTCGCTACTACTTGCTATTATTGATAAATAACAAATATTACACATCTTTATATATATATATATATATATATATATATATATATATATATTACAAACAATTATGTTAATTTTTTTCTTTAATATACATTGTTTACGTTACCTATTTAAATACTTATTTTTCATATTAACATGATAAAAATATTTTTGCTCACTTTTATCCTGATCATCATCTTGGGAAGAAGATGTCTTGGGATGTATATCAGCTATTAGCAAAGCTGTCAAACCATTCTGTAATTTGATGACTCTAAAAAAATTTAGATATAATATTAGTGACAGAATGAGAATCCAATCAAAATTATAAAGTCAGTAATTATAAAAAAAATGTTTAGTCTAGTAACCAAATATTTTTAACAAAAAAAATATATATATATAAATTTTGCATCGAATAATCTAAAATGCAATCTTAAAAATCTTTTAAAAAATAACCCATAGATTTTCTTATTGTTATAATAAATTGATTGTAATATTGTTATAATAAATTAAATGCATCCAATATATCTTGTATGAATCAAAGATATTTTCATTAGTATTACAATTATATACAAACCATAAAATAATATAATAAACACTATAAAAAATATTATAAAAAATATAATAAATATGATACTATAAGAAATATCATAAAATACTACAAAAAATATTACTTTTTTCAAAAAGACGACTTTCCAGTTAAACGATTCAAAAGTGACTGAAATGACAGATAAAAAGAAATTATGATCAAATATCCGATATATAAAATAATAAATTGACAATTAAATCTTTTATGATATTTATGATAATTCTTATCTTCTATTTCTAGATAAGATGACACGTTATCAAGATTAAAAAAAAACCTCAGCTTTCCCAAAAAAAGGATATTCCTAGAAAATTAGACATGAGTATCTTTCGAGGCTTCAATTTTATTAATTGTCAACAAAGAGGGAAAAAAACATCAGTCTAACCTATACTCCTTCGTATCGTTCTCCGATTTTACGGGCGTCTCCAGGTACTCGACTTGATGACGTTTGTCGTCGCTTTCAACGAGCTTCACCTCCGGCATTATATCGGGACTAAGGTTAGATGGACGTGTGGAATAGGATCTAATCAAGAATTCTACGCCGGGATCTCGAGTTCCCTTCGGTCTCCTCTCAAACGGACTCTGCACGTGCTCCCTCAGCGCCTTAGCTGACAGAAACACGTGTCTTCTCTCGCATCTGACATCGATCAGCCGTAGAAGAAGAGAGAGACCACGTGTCATATGGGATAAAGCGGATAAAGTGACGACATTTTAATCATGGAAAGCGGAGATGTTAGATCGCAGAGTCTATTCTAATTTCAAGACTGCTTTAAGAGGCTAACACGGCTCTGTGATTGGTTGATAACAGCTTAAGGTTGTTCTCATGATGGGTTAAATATAAAATCGCGCTATGAATATCGGCCTTAATGTCCCCTCCGCTGATAATTGTAAGTGTATTGTAATTTCTGATATTTCTGATAAAAAAGTAATCTATCGAAATCGAACGAATCTCTAATTAATTCTGTCATGTTGTTACTGATGCTTCAAAGATAAAAATAATTGCATAAAATAAACATTTTATTTAAGGTAGAATGAATATGAATGAAGTGAAAACTGGTATGTATAATAACCATTTGACAGAGTTAATCTGATATGAATTTTTGATTTTTAAAAGCCAAACAAATTATAATGATGATGAAAGGTAAATATTTATGAAAAAAAAAAAACAATTTCTCAAAATAAATAAATGTATAAAATTCTAGAAATTTTTTTTTAATTCCATGATTCTTGGAATTTTTAATCTTTCTCTTTGTGCTATTTATTCTGTTGATTTTTTTTTCTAATCTCTTTAAAAATCCAATTTTGTCCATTCAAACTCTTTAAATTATTAGATTTTTTATTTTCGCAAATTTAGATTGATTAACATTTTTTAAAATATATTTATTGTTTAAATCATGGCTGATGATTTAAATGAATTTAATACGTTAAGCATTTATATCATTAGTTATATGTTTAATCATCAGTTGCATTTAAATTAATTATATTTTTATAAGAATATTTTTGTATTTATATATTTGTATTTTTATATTTTTATAAATCTACTCTTTATATGAGACTAAAAATATAATTAATTTAAATTTATCAAAATAATTATCCTTATATATTCATATAAAATAAATTCTCTTTAAGGAATAATATTAATATAATAAATAATACATCTAAAGGAATATTATATAATATATAATATATTTTTCAGGTTTTCGAAAATAAAAATCCAGAGGAGCCAATTTACTATTTAATAATAATAATAATTTTTTGGGCCAATTTTTCATTTTAATCCCGAGAAGAAACGCAAAGAATACACACAATGGAACAATTACTATTCGAGGTAAAACAAGAATACGCTTATATCGGAAGTTGGTTTCACCGAGGGAAACCGCGAATCGAAGTGGAACGGCCACTCGACACCGTGTGATTTAACGCGGGTAAGAACATGGCTATTCCTTCTCAAGGCTGTTCCTTTGTCTCATAGTCCCTCAATTAAGTTTTACTGCCGTAAACATCAGGGATCAGAGCCCAGAGTCTATTACCAGTACGATAATCTCTCACATATATACTCTGCAAAGGATTCGTAGGATCGAGGATCTTTAGAGAAGGCGAGAGGACGTCCGCGCCTTCCTTTTGCCTGCCCTCGACGAGGGAAAAGTCGTCGGGATCTTCGGGATCACGAGCTCCTTCGGGACACCCTGTAGAGAGGCATAAAAGGCCGAAGAGGAGAGAGGTGGAGTAATCAAGAGTGGGCATTAAGAGACGCAGAGCATGTGCGTTGGCCTCTGGTTCTGGTACCGTTGGTCCTTCACCCGCGATGGATCACGACGTATATAATGTAACCTTGGACCTCTCCCGTTTTATTTTCGTCAGTTTTCAAGTCTGGCTCCGGCTCTATCTATAAGATGCACTCGCGGTTACCCCTCTCCTCCGCGATGGGAGAAGAGGAGGAGGGAGGAGGAGTCTTGCGCCTACGACGTCTGTCGAGGATAATGCGCCAGTATGCGTTTCCTTTCCTCCTCTTCTCCTCTCCTCTTCTTCAGAGGGCTCTTCTCTACTTATTTCTTTCTTTCTTTCTCTCCTCTCATTCGGTTCAAGAGAGAGAATTTCCATTCAAAGAGATTAACTCATCTCCGGCAAGATGACCCGCATGGGACGATTCTCTTTAATACGAATGAAATTGAGTGACGAGATTTTCCGAAAAATGAGAGGGAAATCGGTGCGAATCTTCTCTCTTTTTTTCTATCAAAAACACGAAACGTCATGTAAATTAATAGCGAGTATTTTCTCCCAAATCTTTATCAATCTAGTCTTAATTTTATTTTTATAAATTATTATAGTTGGTATAAATTATCATATTATACTTTTTAAATTATTATTATTAATTATATTGTATTATTGTTTATTTTCTTATTTTATTTTTATTATTATCATTACTATTTTATCATTATTATTTTATCATTATTTTATCATTATTTTATCATTATTATTATATTATCATTATTTTATTATTAATTTTATTACTATTTTATTATTACTATTTTATTTTATTTTATTAATACTATTTTATTTTATTATTAATTTTATTACTATTTTATTATTACTATTTTATTAATTATTATTATTATTTATATCAGAGAGTTTTATTGTATCCTAATAGATAATTGTAGAGTCGAGTAGAAAAAGGGGCGCATTTTTCTCACGGTACAATTTATGTTAACAATTGAGATCTCTAACAATTAGAATGAATTCTTCGATAGGAGCGATTGTTTCATTTCACTCGCATTATCTCCGTCGTGTAGTTATTACTATGGAGTTTACGAATGCATTGTAGAGAGACCATAGTACTACGATGCGCCATGCATCGTGCACAGGTTCAGTTACTCGCTCCCCCTTCTCCCTGATACGGCTGATAACTCAGCATACATATATATATATATGTATATACATAGTATCCAGCTATCGCAGGCATCGCTCGAGTCATAATATACACGGTGTCGTGAAAATGACACGTAACTATAGCCTTCCTCTCGCGATACCACTGCTGAAAAATGAGACTGGTGATTCATTTGAAGAGTGAAAAAATTAGTCTTCTAGTTCATACGATTCAATAATTAAATTCAACGAATAAGGATAAATATTCCAAAGGTGACGTTCCCAGAAGCACAGAATATTATAGCAATATCATTAATATTACTGCAACATTGTAGCAATGTTCTGTGCTTTATGGGTTGTGATAAGATCAGAGGAGAGAATCGTCCCAGCAAACGCCAATTGTTGCTTGTAATTTCCCACTCAACAATATAACTGCTACATGTTATATAACAGTTATATTGTTGTGTGTGTGTGTGAGTGGGAAATTAAAACAGTTATATAACTGTTATTTGGCTGGGGTCATCTTTTATCGATTAGAGAAAAATCAATTTTCTAATTATGCTGATGCGATTTCTCGTCCCAGGTAGAACATGAAACTCATAATGACATCATTATGATGTCACCTAAAAGTCATTTTAGAAAAATCATAATGATCTCATTTGATATATTTTTGGCAATGGTGATTTATTAATATCATTTTATATATTTTGGTGATTTATTAATATCATTTTATATATTATGGTGATTTATTAATATCATTTTATATATTTTTGGTGATTTATTAATATCATTTTATATATATATATATATTACGCAATTATTTGTTTATTTAATTATTCATGTATATTTTAATTATATTTAAGCAACATAATCTTTTTAAAATTATATAAACATAAATGTTTATTGAACTTAAACATTTATGATTCTTGTTGTCATCTTTAACTCATTTTTGTTTAGGTAACTTTTAAGTGATAAATAAAATCATGATGACGTCATGATGTTATGAGTTTCATGTTCTACCCGGGAGGTGTACGCTTTTCATACGCATCCCGATATATATCTTACATACGCGTAGATGGAATATAAACGTAAATAGTCGCGTAACTTTTCGATCGGAGAGTCGTTTCTCAACTTTTGAGACGAGAGAAAGGATGGAAAACGGAGAGGGGAAAAGAACGAAAGTCTGAGAGAGAGAGAAGAAGCGAAGGAAAGTGGGAGAGGGGGATAAAGGGAGAGTACTACGAATGCTTGCGTATGGTAAGTGGACTGTAGTAGTTATGAGTCAGTCACACCCACAAAGCCGGTTGTGGGTTCAAGATCCTCTCTCTCTTTCTCTCTCCCTCCCTCTATTTTTATTTCTCGACGAGTGATATCTCTCTCTTTCACATCCATATCCGCACAAGCACGTGATTGTGCATACGAGCACGAGGTCACGCGTACGTCTCGAATCTCTCGGCCTTGTTACTCGTATATCTTGCTGATAAGAGCGCAAGGTAACGTGGGAATTTTCGAGGATTGACGATGAGAGAGAAAGAGAGGATATCTTCTATTTCGATTGGAATCTTTTAAATGGAAAATCATGAAAAAAAATCATGAGAAATGAATTTTCTTAATGTAATTATTCTTAATAATCTGTCAATGAGATATTTTTATCCTCGACTTAATTTTTTTTATTCGCCAGGTTGATCTGTTGGAGGCTCCTGGTTATTGATAAAGGCGCCACTTGGATCACTCCAGGAGCTCCTCGCGATCGTAAACCGGTCCTGAGTGTTGCGCGTTTTGTCGGTGCCTGAAACACCTGACGAAACGACGTCCGCGACGATGCAACTGATAAATAAGGGGAGATTCTCTGAAGGAGAAGGGCAGAAGGTAGGGCGCGCATTCGGAATGCGAGCGTACACACGGTCGAAACGCGATGCCTGTTTGTCTCTTTGTAGCTGGCCGAATGAAACGAGGCGATTCGAACCCCCAGGTGTATTTCCTCTTCCATTATTTTTGCTTTCGTTGATTAAAAATTGAGAAAAAAGGAGAAGAGCGAAGAAACTTGTACATAGCTTCGACGAACAAAACGAGATAAAGCACATTTGTTGAATTTCAGGAATGAAAAAGGTTTAGAGATAATTGTAGAAAATTATAAAAATTATATAAAATTAGAAATAATTATGTAAATTATAGAAATTATAGAGATAACTAAAATAGACAGTAAAAATAATAAAAAATATTATTTTTATGGCAAATTTACTGATATTATTTATGAAAAAAATTAAAAATTTAGTAATATTATTTATAAGAAAAATTATAAATCTGCTAATATTATTTTATAAAAATAAAAATTGAGAAAAAAGGAGAAAAGCGAAGAATCTTGTACATAGCTTCAACGAGCAAAACAATGAAATAAAGTACATTTGTTGAATTTCAGGAATGAAAAAGTTAGAGATAATTGTAAAAAATTATAAATAATTATGTAAATTATAAAAATTGTATAAAATTAGAATAATTATAAAGTTAGAAATAATTATGTAAATTATAGAAATTATAGAGATAATTAAAATAGAGACAGTAAAAATAATAAAAAATATTATATTTATGTCAAATTTACTGATATTATTTATAAAAAAAATTATAAATATATATATTGTATGTACAAAATAATAAATTCACTAATATTATTTATGAAAAAAATTAAAAATTTAGTAATATCATTTATAAGAAAAATTATAAATCTGCTAATATTTTATAAAAATAAAAATTCCTTAATATTAATAAAATATTAATAAAATAAATTCCTTAATTTCCTTAATACTTATTAATATTAATAAATCTATTAATATAAATATAAAATAAAAATTCCTTGATATTAATGAAATGAGTAACGTTTGCGTGGAAGGTGTTTCAATCTCGTAAATACTTCATCTCGTTATTCCCGAACGACGGCATAAAGAGAAACCGACGCGAGGCGCAGCGATACAAAGACGGCTGTTACAAAGTAAAGTCGACGGCGGGGAATCGTTTCAGTGGGAATCGCGGCCCCGATCGAGGGCCGGGCGGCGATCTCGCGTGAGCGAGGTTCTTTGTGATCGGGGCTCGACCGAGAAACCGGTTTCATTGGCGCGGAGAGTCCCTCTCCTCCCCCCCCCCTCTCTCTCTCGTACGCTCTTTATTTCTCTGCGAAGTGAACCGGCCTGTTTCAATGTAAACTCGCTATCGCCGATCGTATGTAATCGGACGACACGCGTGCGATCGCATATCGATAAACGTACGGTTCGCAGATGCGCGTCAACCGCTTCCTTCCTCTCTCACCCCTCTCTTTTTTTCCACGCTGGATTACGCAAGCGAAGCAGTTAGATCGGCGGGAGAAAATGAATAACGTCGCGTTACATCGGAATAAAATATTGAACGATCGACAAGTCGATCTAACAATAATAACATCGATCGTTCAAGAGGAGAGTACATGATTACTCGAATTAATATTGTCTCATGAGCGACGCCGCGAATAAAAATGATAAATAATCGATTTATAATCGACGAAGAGTATACATGACGTGAGGTGCGATCGCGATCGTGTTCCACGCGTGGAAGTGTGCTTATCAGCATTTTATTACAAATTGCAGTCATTGCACATATACATCATCTGTACGCATTTTTAAATGTCGTGCGTCCTACACGAACGTTACACACTCATTATACTTATGATAGAAATATTACAAACAGGTACAAAAACTACGCTACGCTAACTTAACTCGCTACCTTAACTCGCTATCGACCTCCCTTCGGTGTCGCCTATTTTGTTTATCGCTAAATGCACTGTAAGCGTTATGTAGAGCTTGGTCTCGCTCGCCTGGAATGAAATTCAACGTTCGAACGCAACGAACGATTTATCTATTATTTATAAATACGACGTACACGTGGTGTACATCGAGTTGTAACTAGATAAAATGTCGAAGATGGAATTTCGCGTAGCCACTTTCTTCTTCAACATTTGTTTTTTCTCGTTTTTTTTCGACAAAAATCTCTCGGTCCGAGTGGAAAAAGAACTTTGTTATCAAAAATTCACTCTAGTAGGCGGACATTTTTGTTTATAAATTTGAAAAATCTTGCCAACTATGTATTTCGACATTTATTTTATAATTAAAATTGTAAAATAGATCGGGGACTTTCTATTGCTAATTAGTAATATCAGTCGATGATGCATAAAAATAATGCCTCTGCTGAAAGAGCTGGATACAATAATTCGGTAGAGGAGAGAATTAAAAAAGATTTGTAAACATTTTACGCAATAATCACAGGGGAGGGATAGCAATATATACGTGAATTATATCGTCGAAAAATCGATATGAGATCGTATGTCATGTATCTTTACTGTAGTCTACACATTAACGCTAACGTTTTAATTTTATCTTTGACCATGCTTGGCAGTGTTGAGTTGCGAACTCCCTTTTCGTATATTTATTCCTCGATTAATTTATCTTCTATTCGCGCGGACGGTACGAGAAAGCCGACGTGCGTCATCTCTGTGCGCTTTTATCATCTTGCAAAAATCGCAAAACGAGAGAAATTGGAAAATCGATGATCGGAAAACGTTTATTACAAAATGGCACACTGAGAGAAAAATAATGCTGAATCAACGTCGATGGAATTATTTTATTAATTCAACAACGTTACCGAATCAATAAAATCTATTCCAATTCCAACACCGATGTTGTTTATTCAAGATAATTTTTTTCTCAATGAAACTTGATATATATCCGAAAGTTTTTAGTAGTGTAATGGAAAAATGAGATTTCTCCGTTTAGAATTTTCCCCGCGTGCATGTCTATAAAATGTACAAATAGAGTAGAATGCCAACTGATCGCTCATCGGGTGTGAAACTTTTCTACGCGCGCGCGACTGGTCCCGTGTCACGTTTGTAAAAAAAGGAAAAAAAAAAACAGCCTTTGTACACTGCATATATACACGTAATTTGTACATTTTAAAATTACAGTTATTTACAGGAGCATTGTATATATAAAAAAAAAAAAAAATACAAATTATCCATACAAAACACAAAATCGATTATTTACAAAATCTAGATATAAAAAAGTACCATACACAATTATTTACAATATAGTCTGGCGATAAAAAAGGTGCCTCGTGTAATCAGGACGAGAGGGTTATAGCCCAAGGGACGACTCAGTCGGCCTCGAGAAGGGACCCGGTGATCGCGCCAGTTCCAGGCCGAAGCGCAACCAGGTGCGATTTCTTTCGCGGCGACGTCGCGCTGACCTGCTGATAGACGTACTTGCTCTGTATCGGCGAACTCGAGAGGCTAGCGGTCTTCTGGCGTTTTGCGCATGAGACGTACTCGTACACGAAGGACTGCTCCTCCCTGGGGAAGTCGGTCAGCCGGGTGTCGAGGAGCTCGGCGGCGTCGCCGAGATCGAGGCCCTCGTAGAGCTGGCCGACGACGATGTCGTCGTCGACGATGTCGATGTGCTTGCTCTCGTCGTACGTGACGTTCTCGTCGTCGTTGATGATCTCGTCGGCCGCGGAGCCGCCCGTCTCGGAGTCCGCGTAGCTCTCGGCGTCCTCGAAGAGGATCTCCTCGTGCCTCTCACCCTCGTACTTCATCTCGCCCCGTTCGAGGAGCTCGAGATGATCGGGATGCACCATGGCTCGCTTGATCGCGATGGGATCCTTCCTCGACCACTTTCGCACCTCCTCGTCCATCTTGGCTACCTTCGACGGATGGATCGCCCAGAGGCAGCCCTTGCGCTGGCTACCGTTGCCGGGGGGCTTCTCGATCTTCTCGAAGCACTTGTTCAACGACAAGTTATGCCTCACAGAATTTTTCCAGCCCGTTGGCGCGGTCTTGAAGTAGGGAAAGTGTCGGCTGCGTGAAGGAAACGAGAAAATGGAAGATGAAATTTGCACTAATCTTGGATGGGTTTAATTAAAAATGTATGTATAATCTGATAGATAATTAATTAAATTAATTTGCGAAATTATATAATATCTTTGGCGAGTCGAATTTACATAAATAATTTATAATAGAAATAAATAACAAATTTTATTTATTTAAATTTCATCTTAAATAAAATAAGATATTAAAATAAATAAAATAAGATATATTTTAATAAAATTTAAAAGCCAAGTTTTTCTCCCTCCCTCTAATAAATATACTTCAATATATTAATGTCAAAGAATATTTGAAGAAAACAAAAAAGAAAACGAAAAAATGGAAGATTCGCACTTCTTGGATTTAATTAAAAATGTATCTCTAATAGATAATTAATTAAATTGGATAAATGTACGAAATTATATAATATCTTTAGCGAGTCGAATTTACGTAAATAAATTTTATTTAAATTTCATTTTAAATAAAACAAGATATTTTAATAAAATTTAAAAGCCAAGTTTTTCTCCCTCTCTCTAGTAAATATACTTAAATATATTAATGTCAAAGAATATTTGAAGAAGACAAAAAAGGAAAATGAGAAAATGGAAGATGAAATTCGCACTTCTTGGATACATGTAATTAAAAATGCATCTCTGATAGATAATTAATTAAATTAGATAAATCTACGAAATTATATAATACCTTAGCGAGTCGAATTTACGTAAATTTTATTTAAATTTCACTTTAAATCAAATAAGAAATTTTAATAAAATTTAAAAACCAAATTTTTCTCTCTTTAGTAAATATACTTAAATATATTAATGTGAAAGAATATTGAAGAAAACAAAAAAGGAAATGAGAAAATGGAAAATGAAACTCGCACTTTGTGTTTAATTAAAAGTGTATCTCTGATAGATAATTAATTAAATTGGGTAAATTTATGAAATTATATATATATCTTTAGCAAGTCCAATTTACATAAATAAATTATAATAAAAAATTTTATTTAAATTTAAAAGAAAAATTTATTTCTCTCTTTTTCTCTCTCTCTCTCTCTCTCTCTCTCTCTCTCTCTCTCTCTCTCTCTCTAGTAAATATATTTAAATATTTTAATGTCAAGGAATATTTGAAGAAAAAAATGTAGAAGATTATCTCTTAACTATGCTCATTCTTAGAGAAAAATTTCTTTGATATTTTAAAACCGTAAATATTTCAAAGATAAATTTCCTTTGCTTCAACATTTTTGTTTTGACAAAGTTTTAGTGAAACTATATTACAAAGTTATTTCAGTGAGACTCGAATGAGACTTCGTTCCATGAGTCGTGTTAGTCATAACGGCAGAAACATAGGCAGGTGGTAAACGACGAGAAAGCAGACCCCTGCTGTTGGTTTTAAAAGAGACTGTACCTCGGCATGTGCCCCTGGTTGTTCCAAGGGCCCCATACAAAATGGCAGCTTCTCGTTCTCTCTTTCAGCTCTCCTTCCCTCCCATAAAACCCAGGAATAAAGAGGAAAAAGACAATACTTTTGCCCTTCGTATCTAAAAGAGGAGGCAATAAACGACAGCACACTCCATTTATTCTTCCGCCAAAAAAGTCAAAAATAAACAAAGACAAATTAAAATAAAATTAGCTCGAATTTTCAAAAGTTCAAAAGATTTTGAGGAAAAGATAGTTTTTCTAAAAAGGTGTCTTTTTAAAAAATTAAAATCTGTATCGAAATTACTTTCTTCGTAATAAAATTAATTAATAGTAATATTTAAAATAATTAATATAATATTAAAAAATATAAGTAATATTGATAGTAATATTAAATTATAATAAATAAATTCAGATATAAATAATTTCAAATATAATAAATAAATTCAGATATAAATAATTTCAAATATAATAAATAAATTCAGATGTAAATAATTTCAAATATAATAAATAAATTCAGATATAAATAATATCAATAATTAATTGAGATGAAAAATAATTTAGGTTTGAAAAAAGAGATGATATAATGACTTGCAGCTTGAAAAATTTGATCGAAAGACCCGAGTCGAAAACTGGAAAGATTCCACTTTTCACGAAAATTAATTAAATATCTAAACGATATTTAATTATTGAGAGCAATTTTGACACAAAATTCTTTCGATCGCTCGCACTTTGCGACAATAATTTGCATGACACTCACCACATGAAATTGTAGATTTCGGAGACCGGCAGCAGGCCCGTTTGGCTGTTTTTCAACGCCATCGCGATGAGACACGAGTACGAATACGCGGGCTTAGGATAGGGGTTGTCGCGCCCCGTGAGATCCTTTTCACGTTTCGCTGCTTGAATCATCACCGTCGTCGTCGCAGCCGGGCTAACATCGTGCACATTATTATTATAAATCTGCTTGCGTATGTGACTGCCCGGGCTAGAGGTCAACATCTTGATGTCCATCGTGCCGGACACGGTCCCCATCTTGGGGTGCTGCATCTGCACCCTCGTCAACTGTATCGTCGGCGAGGAGGAGGCCACGGTCGTCCTGACGCCGGTGGACGATGACGACGACGATATCGACGTCGGGGTTTCCGCGTTCGAGGGTGCGAGCAGTCGTTGAGCCGCATCCTGCTGCTCGTCGTCCTCCGTCTCTTCCTCCTCCTCCTCCTCCTCCTCCGTCTCCTCTTCCTCCGTCTCCTCGTACTCCGTTTCGTTGTGCTCGTTTTCCTCGATCTCCTCTTCCTCCTCTTCCTCCTCTTCGCTTTCGTTCTCCTCGTCGTTTTCGGTTCGCTCGACCTCGCTTTCGTTCTCCGTCTCTTCCCCCTCGTTCTCAACAACGTTCTCTTCCACGCTCGCCGTCTCCAGCATCGCAGCTTCGCTGTTGGACGCGGGGCTACGGATGGGCATGCACATGTTGCGAGGCAATATCAAATTCGGATCCAACGTCAACGCCAGCTCGCTGTCGCTGTCCAGATTCAGCTCCTCCAGGTTGCTGTTGGAAAATAGAAGGATAGAAATTTAGATTTTCCGTTAACAATCATTTCACCGTGTCTTTCCCGACCCATCGGAGTAGATGCTGAGCTCTAGAGAGCCCCGAGTTCTCACCTGTTCGAGCTGCGGCTTTTGTCGTTGAAGCCGACCGGGTCCTCCTCGGTCTCCAGGACATCCTCAAAGTCGAACCCAAGACCCGGGCCGTGCCAGCCGATTCTGCCCGTGTTGTCGCAACGCCGGATGTCCATATGGAACATATCCGGACGGCCTTGGAAGGCGTCGGAGATGCTGTCGCTGCCGAACAGGCAGTCCCACGGATCCCCGGACAATCCCTGCTCCATCCCGATGATGCTGTACGCATTTACGGTATCCAATTCCATTCACTCGACTGCAAAGGACACGAAGCGGACTGTCAGAAATCTCTATCAGTTAATTCGCTGGATGAATTATAATCTTCGAAGGCAGTTTTATTTTCCTAAGAGCGCATCTATAATACTTTTATAGCCCTAAAAAAAGAACAAGCTTTTAGATGACATTGTTTTGCAATTTTTTATCATATTTATATTTAATTTGAGCGATATATTTTTTTATGATAATAATATTATTTATATATAAAAATATTTTAATATATATAAAATATATATATATATATATATATATATATAATATATATATATGAAATATATAATATATAAAATATATAAATATATATATAAAATAAATAAAAAAAAATATATATATATAAAAAATTTATGCATAAAAAAACATATAATTTTACACTCTTTGGCGCACAAAGAGAGAAGATACTCGTCTATCGGTTTATGCACTAGTGACTGCAGGGCTTCCAAAAAGTTCCCCCCCCCCACCCTCCCCTCCTGGCACTTCACCCCTGCGGATTCATCCATATTTCAGCATGTGTGCTTTTTTTAACGACACCCAGAATGCATCTCGGATTAGTACTATAGCTCAAGCTCTCTCGTAGATCGATCATTTTCATGGATCGGCCTTCATAAGGGCGCCCGGATTGGTACCTACGGCCCCGGCATGTTGTGCGCTTCGTCGAAGAAATAATAGCCCGCTCAAGTTGAGACGTGAGACTTCCCGAGAGAGTTCCTCGTCCCGAATGAAAGCAGATCTGTACATCGGGACGCTTATTCGCTGATCGAGACGGTTCAGGAAACGGTGGAGCTCTCGCGAATCTCTCGTGCCTCCTCGAACTCGTAAATTGCCCTCGAGCATGCTGATGATTTTTCCCTCCTGAAGAATTTTCCCCTTCTCTGTTTATGCTAATATTGCATTAATTTTATTCTTTGTGTATAAGTAGAAATTTGTACATATATATCACGAATTATATATATATTATATAAATATTATATAAATATTATATAAATATTATATAAATATATTAATATATTATATATAAATAATATATTATAATATATTATATATTATATATATATATTATATATATATTATATAAATATTCTATAAATGTTATATAAATGTTATATAAATATTCTATAAATATTATATAAATGTTATACAAATATTCTATAATTTATATTATTTATATTATTAATATTTATATTTTTAATTTTATCGAATTATTGGTGATAATTTTATTTGCAATTCTCGGTTCCTTCTGAATTTTTTGAGCGATTTACGAAGTAGATATGAAATAATTTGCTTCGAAAAATTTTTCACAATATCCCTATCAACATATTCCACACTATACGAGTATTGGATTGTGTTTTACTACGCCAGGTAAAGCCAATAGATTCACGTAGGTGCGCCAACGTGTCTACAGTTGCGAGTACACATTTGTGCATGTATGTGTATGTGTGTGTGTGAGAGAGAGAGAGAGAGAGAGAGAGAGAGAGAGAATGTGTACAACGAGGATCTTGAACCCACAATCGGCTCGTGGGTGTGACTAACTCATAGTAGTATAGTCGATTTACTATACGATTTATCAGACTCTCATAGTACTCCTCTCTCGCCCTTCCCCCTACGCAGCTCTTTCCTCGTCTCCTCTCTTTTGTCCTCCTGATTCTCATTCAAAGATAAAATAACAAATGACGAAAGTAAGTAATGCATGCGGAGAATTTTTTTAATTAAAAAAATAATAATAATAATAAAAGTTTGATATCTCGATTTGATATCCTAACTGATTTGATGGAAGAATTTTGAGAGAGAGATTGTTTCCAACATTGCTGAAATAAACGTTGAAAACAGAAACGAGGGAGATTATTTCTTTTTTTATTCTTTTTTTATTCTTTTTTTTTTTTTTAGAATAAATTCCAACAAACTTTGTTTACGCTTATTTGATTTTAAGCGCAGCTGAAACGAGCAGACCTATCTCTCCCCTCATTCTTGCCCATACACGCACTGAGAAAAATCGTTTGACTGTACCAACAAAATATATGATTGAAGGCATTTTGGTTAAATTAAACAAGAATTTCTAGTTATCATGATAAGACTCGATTTTTTATAACTAGAACGTTTAATAAATTTTACTATAAGGATTTAATTAATATTTTCTGGTTGGATCTATAAAATTTCTTGTTACATTAATTTCTTTGCTTACTTCTTAACTTAACTCGTATTCAATATTTGCCACGAAATGTATATAAAAAACTAGTATTAACATTAATTCCGAAGTATATATTTTTTTTCCTTACGAGCAGTAGTGCCAGAAAGAGGACGCTAGCTCTCTGATTGTATGTGTTTGAGCTGCATCCTCTTCTTGCATCACTGTTTATCAGTTTAATTTCTAACAAACTGAACTTAAAATAATTTACTCAATAATCTGGATTGAATTTATGCAATAATCGTGTTAGAATTCAGAATATTAAACAGACTTCTGAGATTAGATGGAACAAATTTTAGACGACTTGATGCTGGCGAGTTTAGTATTATTAACCAGAAAATTTGGTAAATTTAACAGGAAGAAATTAATCAGATTCATCTGATAATTCCTACAGGAATTCTGGTTCGTCCGTTTTTCAACAGACATACTGGTTGAATCTACCAAAATTCTAATTAATGCAACCAGATTTTTTTCTCAGTGCAGTTTAATTTCTAACAAACTAAACTTAAAATAATTTACTCAATAATCTGGATTGAATTTATGCAATAATCGTGTTGGAATTCAGAATATTAAACAGACTTCTGAGATTAGATGGAACAAATTTTAGACGACTTGATGCTGGCGAGTTTAGTATTATTAACCAGAAAATTTGGTAAATTTAACAGGAAGAAATTAATCAGATTCATCTGGTAATTCCTACAAGAATTCTGGTTCGTCCGTTTTCCAACAGACATACTGGTTGAACCTACCAAAATTCTAATTAATGCAACCAGATTTTTTTCTCAGTGCAGTTTAATTTCTAACAAACTGAACTTAAAATAATTTACTCAATAATCTGGATTGAATTTATGCAATAATCGTGTTGGAATTCAGAATATTAAACAAATTTTTGAGATTAGATGGAACAAATTTTAGACGACTTGATGCTGGCGAGTTTAGTATTATTAACCAAAAAATTTGGAAAATTTAACAGAAAGAAATTAATCAGATTCATCTGATAATTCCTATAGGAATTCTGATTCGTCCGTTTTCCAACAGATATATTGGTTGAATCTACCAAAATTCTAATTAATGCAACCAGATTTTTTTTCTCAGTGCAGTTTAATTTCTAACAAACTGAACTTAAAATAATTTACTCAATAATCTGGATTGAATTTATGCAATAATCGTGTTGGAATTCAGAATATTAAACAGACTTCTGAGATTAGATGGAACAAATTTTAGACGACTTGATGCTGGCGAGTTTAGTATTATTAACCAGAAAATTTGGTAAATTTAACAGGAAGAAATTAATCAGATTCATCTGGTAATTCCTACAAGAATTCTGGTTCGTCCGTTTTCCAACAGACATACTGGTTGAACCTACCAAAATTCTAATTAATGCAACCAGATTTTTTTCTCAGTGCAGTTTAATTTCTAACAAACTGAACTTAAAATAATTTACTCAATAATCTGGATTGAATTTATGCAATAATCGTGTTGGAATTCAGAATATTAAACAAATTTTTGAGATTAGATGGAACAAATTTTAGACGACTTGATGCTGGCGAGTTTAGTATTATTAACCAAAAAATTTGGAAAATTTAACAGGAAGAAATTAATCAGATTCATCTGGTAATTCCTACAAGAATTCTGGTTCGTCCGTTTTCCAACAGACATACTGGTTGAACCTACCAAAATTCTAATTAATGCAACCAGATTTTTTTCTCAGTGCAGTTTAATTTCTAACAAACTGAACTTAGAATAATTTACTCAATAATCTGGATTGAATTTATGCAATAATCGTGTTGGAATTCAGAATATTAAACAAATTTTTGAGATTAGATGGAACAAATTTTAGACGACTTGATGCTGGCGAGTTTAGTATTATTAACCAAAAAATTTGGAAAATTTAACAGAAAGAAATTAATCAGATTCATCTGATAATTCCTATAGGAATTCTGGTTCGTCCGTTTTCCAACAGATATACTGGTTGAATCTACCAAAATTCTAATTAATGCAACCAGATTTTTTTTCTCAGTGCAGTTTAATTTCTAACAAACTGAACTTAAAATAATTTACTCAATAATCTGGATTGAATTTATGCAATAATCGTATTGGAATTCAGAATATTAAACAGACTTTTGAGATTAGATGGAAAAAATTTTAGACGACTTGATGCTGGCGAATTTAGTATTATTAACCAGAAAATTTGGTAAATTTAACAAGAAGAAATTAATCAGATTCATCTAGTAATTCCTACGAGAATTCTAGTTCGTCCATTTTCCAACATACTGGTTGAATCTACCAGAATTCTAATCAATGCAACCAGATTTTTTTCTCAGTGCGTGTATGTGTGCATTATGGAAACAAACATCAGGCATTGATTCCAGTATTCCAGCCAGTAGATTGCGCGTAGTCGCGCACAGACACACATACACACACACATACATATAATAACAACATCCGTATCTCGCGATGGACCAGCCGTAGATACAAGGCAGCGCGCCGTCTCTGCTCAGCCCGCGCTTTTCGCCGAGTATCGATCTGATATGTCTGCCCTCTCTTCCCCTTCTCACTCTCCCCGACCTCACCCTCAACCCCTGTCATCCACCCTCGTCGTATCCTTTCCCCCCTGGCTGGTATTTGTGAGCTGCAAGAGCGTGCACCAATGCCGCGTTCGTATTCGTCAGGGTGGCACCCTTCCTCTCCCTCCCCCAGCGTATTCTCTTCCTCGGGAGCCCGTTTGAAAATTCACCCCTCTCTCTCTCTCTCTCTGTCTCACCCTATTTCTCGTTCTCCCCTTCGGGTCCCTCGCAGAG